AGATGACGAAGTGTCAGAGAATTTATAAATTAATTTCGTGTTTTAAGTACATTCTCAGTGAATAATTTTTTTGTTAAAAAAATGAGTTTTTTATTTTAGTTTTTCCATTTAGGCTACTTCAGCTCAAATTAGGCTACTTTAGGCTACTCAAGCACCGAAAAATGGCGACACCTGGTCCTAAGCTGTTGGCAACACGGTTTGATCCATGTATGTATGATTTCAAAATACCTAATAAGCATAATGAATGAGAATATAAAAAACAGTAATATATTACCCATGAAACACGTACGTTAGTCCTTGTAATTAATTATGGATCAGAATTTTAAAATATGTTGACGCTTGTTAGAAAGTCTGACGAGTATCGAACTTGGTAGGAATCCGAAATGGTTGGGCTTATCATGATCCAACGTTAATCGATTCACGTAACCAACGGGAAGTAGTTGAAATAAAACATTTGCTTCAATGACGGGAGGTTATAAAGCAAGGCGCCATTTTGAATTCGTATATTAACGCCGATGCAATCGTATTGTCACTGGGAGGTCCGCATCCGGCGCCGGCCATTTGCATCGAACGCGACACGAATCGATTATTTTGTTAGAATTAATTTGTACCCATTAGTGCCGACACTGGCGCTGTCGCTGCGTAAATTTCTAGTCCTCTGAAGTAGAGACATTCTAGATATATTACGCTTAATAAATATGTTAGACTAATGAGTGAATTACGGGATCTAGATGATTTATTGTCCATATAACATCTTTACATCAGCATTGCTTGCTGAGTTTTCCACAAAACGTTAATGTTAGGTTAGTGTTTAGTTTAACTATATAGATATTCAGATCTAAAATCTTTAATGAAAACTTACCTACAATACATCGACGAAAAATGACTGCAATCTGTTGGTATGCTGATTACTTTGCATACTAGGACATACTACCGCACTCAACAATTTTCTTGCTTTACAATACTCGGCTCTAAGAACGAGTATAATTAAAAAAATAATTAACTCAGCCATGTAAACCTAGATCACCATCTTATACAATATACAATTAAGAATTTGCATGTACCCATTAATGGAACAAACTTATAAGTGCAAAATCAGCGACAGGTGGCCATGCACGTGCCACTTTGAATAAAACGCAATGAATGTCAAACGAACTCGCGAATATGCATCCAAGCGCCCTTTTCTAGCAATTACGTGATAAAAATATAGTCCTATTCATATTCACTCAGAACTCAAAGTACGTGAGCTACACAATGCGCTTACAGCGTTCTATGATGTTTAAGAGAAAGATACTTTCTGATTCCATATCATTAAGATATTTATTGCCGTCGGTGCGTACGCTATCGTTTTATTTTGGTGGTTAAATTCATGCTCATAAAAGACAATTTCGCTGGTACAGGGTGTGTCCCGACTGAGGGTTAATTCGCCACCCTCTATGACTGTCTGACTTTTCATTATCGAGATGTTTTATTAAGGAAGGGCCTGGTATATGCTATACTAGGGGAAAACTAGGGTTGTCTGTAGAAGAAAATTTAATGAGTTTTCTTTCTGTTGCAATGTAAGAGATATTTAAAAACTTTGGCTACTTATTTGGAGATTATTATTTTTTAACATCTCTATTTATAATATTTTATAGAATTGCTACCATAAATATTAATATTGGAAAGGATTATTTCTAACTTTTAATTATATTTATTCCTGATAAAAATAATAGGTTATATAAAAATGTAGCATGGGATCTAATTTGATTAAAAGGTAAGCAAAGTATAATTACAGCTTCCTAACAGCCCTACAAAGGATCAGCCGCCAAATATTGAGTTACCCGGCGCAAAGAGTGGGAGGAATGTTTACACTGGGATTCAGGGCTGACAATATTGCATTCCTTTACAGAGCTGCTCGTACATAGTAAATTTATTGGTAATATCGGCACTATAATTTGTATGTACATTTCCTTTTTTAGAAGATTGTTTTAATATGTATGTCTGTAACTTGTTGTGTATATAATATACATATATGTATTATATTTGGCTAACTTAAAAAAGAAGAAGGTGTTCAAATTCACACGTTCTATTAGTGTTGTTTAGTTCGTTTTCATGAAAATAGAATACATATAAAGATCAAACTCGTAGATGTGCAAATTACTGACTCAAAATAGAAAACACATTTGCAAAACAAAATTTAAAGACTCTAGAGTCTAGAGGGCTTTTCTTTGTTCTAAATATCTCACTAACAAACTACGCAGTTATAACGACGGTCTGTATTCTCACAGCTTTGTTACTATAACATTGTTATGTCTGGTAGCTGTTAGCTAAAACATATCGCCGTTGTCTATCACAGGACATTCGGTACATTAAACAAGCGATGTTATTACCGACAGTTTCCACGAAACACTGTTTAACTAAACATTATAGACAATGCCACGCGCCGAATCCAAACATATGACTCAAACAATGACCATTGCTGACTGACCATATAATAATTATAAAATATGACATATTGATGGAGGAAGAGAGTCAGAATATACAAATTTGTAATATCAGATTAAATCGGATAACTTTAGAACACAACAGATAAGAGAAATGCGTAAATAAATTTCTTGCAGAAAAATCAAAGTAAAAATATATAATTATAATTCTTAAGGAAACTGTTTTTTTTTTGTAGGAAAAATTATACGTATCAGATTCCACGAATCCCTCGTGGGCGAACTACTGGGCTAACTTTGACGTATCTTCATTACGACTCGACTTTCCTTTCGCTTCGCTCATGTGAGCTCCTAGGTACATTTTATATAGATACAAATAGTTATTGCGAGTGTATTTTAGAAGATAAACATATGCTATTGTGGACTTTTTTGTAGTTCTTTATAAGACCTATAATTTTCTAGTGCATTCTTTAGATGTATCTTTTAAGCCAGCGTTAGTCAAGTAAAATAAAGACGACTAGACAGAAACATTGTGTTTCCCCCTGCAAATTAATGAATCCAGTGAATGGAAGTTTTTCCTGTAGTAAAATATAAAATCCTATATATAACCTATATAAAATCCGCTCAGTATTTTTAGCGTGAAATGAACACAAATATGTATAGAAACAAACAGACATACAAAGGAACAGACAAAAATCTTAAAAGCTTTTGTTATGGTGTCTATATTCTGTACACAATACGTAACAATCATTGTTTGAATTCATGTTTTCATAAGCAAAAGGATTTGTGTACAACCACATAGTATAGTCACGTAAATATTTATTAAAATATTTATAGGAAAACCATTGTAAATTAAATCATGTATAAAATTACCTAACAACAAAAATAATATTATGTAGTATCTACAGTGATATCATGGCGTCAGAAAAAAAAACGTTTTTAAGTGCAAAGATAGTAAACACACGTACATGCCAATTAGAGCTTTTAAAGCTAATAAAGAAAAATCACCTAATTGATTTAATTCATTTAATTGTAGTAAAAGTGTGTAAATACTAAATATAGGGAGCCTAGGGAGGACCACCCGATATGATCTAATTGGTACTCAGCGATAGTCGCTATAATTGCCTCGTACTTATGCCCACTGACTTAAACTCTTCAAATGAAACAATATAATAGAATGGACTATGGGACGAGTTGAAAAATTGCCATGTTTAAAAGGCGACGTCAAAGAAAAAATAAATGCGCATTCCGTTTCTTGTAATCACAGGCCTTCATTATTAAAGTCATTATTTTAATGTGTTTGTTGAAGTTTTACAATTACATAGCATTTAAATATTTACTTATATAATTAAAAGAATACGAATTGTTGTACAGTTGGTTCTATTAAGATAAAACGTATAATTTACATATTACATAACATAATTTTGTACAAGTAAACATAAAACTATGGTAGAAATATATGAACAGAATTTTTTTTTTATAATTTTTAAAAAGCACATTCATTGATGTTAATTTTATCTGACTTCGGTTGATACTTCCAAATATAAGGCATATTTTAGAAGAAATGAAGCTTAGTCATCACTTCTAATCCTCTTATACTTATAAAAAATGTAGCGTAACTAAAATTGAAGCATCTAAAATCTACGGATGGAACATGAGGAAACGAAATTTACATACAAATATTTATAAGTAGACGTAGATCCCATATTTAGAGGTGTTTAATACAACAGTCCGTCTTCAAAGCGTTACTAAATACTCTTACTACTTAATAATATTATAATTTTACATATTTTTACTAAAACACTAATATTACATATAATCTGTGATTGGACTTAAATCCATTCTAAATAGTTTAACTTTTAACAAAGGAGTCTATAATTTTTAGGATGTACCTTTTTTATTGGGTAAAACAGAGCTCTGGCAAAAATTATATTCATTATTGAAAAAATCACGTTATATGTAAGTTTCAAGCAAACAGATATATTTTAATGTTTAACACGGTAGGATACAAACATAGTTATTTCAAGTTGAAAGTTGCGTGCAAGATTTTTCCCGTTTTCGAGGCGCACACGTGCAGGGTCGTCGGCTTGTGATTCATGCGCGTCAGGTACACAATAAAACAGTATGCCAGCGCTAGTTTCTTTATGTGTTCGTACGCTTAAGGTTTGCTGGTTATTAAGTGCTCTTATGTCTGACAGATTTTATTTAAAAAATTAATCTTCATATACAAAATTATGCATAATTAACCTTTAAAAATAGTAGTTAAAAACTACTTAACCAGACAAGACTATTACAACTTTATTTTTAACCGACTTCATTCTAATATCTAATAACCTATTCGTTGTTTCAATAATATTTCTCCTTTCTGAAATATAAAAGTGAACTAGCTCTCACATAAATTGTGCCGAAATAAAAAAAAAAATAATCTATAACATTCTTTATAAAGCACGACAGCACATATTATATACCTAAACACAATCTTTATTTAAACTTTAAATTGGACGAAACTCAAAAATATATTCAATTTCTTGTTGACTGATGATCCAATAAAGAACGCGCGCGGCGTCTCAAAGTGAAATGGGTCCAAATACTCAGGTGCGCGGGCGCAGCGAACGGATACATTGTGATGCCGCGCCGGGCTCGCCGTGCAGCCAGAAAATAGAATTAAAAGACAAGCCACAATGGACCCAGCCCTCACAATACACGTACAAATACGGAGCTAAATCCCACCAAAATGCTTCAGGTGTTCGTGTTCGTAGTTAATGCCAAGGTTACACTGAGAATAAAAAGACACTACACATACAGGTATAATACGTATAAAAGCGAAACGCTTGTTAACTATAACTGGAATGTTGTACAAAATAGCAATGATTCAATAAAAGCTAACGTTCAAATTGTACAAAAGTAAATATTTTCGACAGGGTAAAAAGTATTTATTTAGTACCTTATATATAGCTTTTTAATTAATAATATTAATACTATTGAAAGAAAGTATCGAATAATATGAAATGTAAAATAATATTATTGAATGAAGATAAATTAACTACAAAACATCCTTTTTATTCCTTATTTCGTACATAACACTTAGTACCTATATAATAACACGCTTGATGATTATTATATAAGAATAAGCACTTAAAACAATAATAATCTAAATCTTTTTTTCTTTTATAACATACTAGCGACACACCCTCGCGTCGCTCGGGTTCGTGCCTAGCTTGATTCCCCATTTTCACCTCCTTAAAGAATGATTTCCAGGATAAAAAGTATCCTATGCCTTTCTCCGGGTCTGAAACTATATTTTTACCAAATTTCATTTAAATCTGTTCAGTAGATCCAGAGATTACCCCCTACAATGTCACAAACTCACAAACTTTACCTCTTTATAATATTAGTATAGACTAGCGGCTCACTTTTACTTCGCTTCGGGTTCGTCTCTAGTGAAAAACAAAAACAAATGCATCCCACGGGAACCGTATATTTTTACAGAATAAAAAGTAAACTATGTGTTATTCCAGACTATAATCTTCTTACCGGTGGAAGGACTCTGTCAAGCCTGAGGAGTCCGACTGGGTGGGTACCACCCCCTTATCTATTTCTCCCGCCAAGCAACTTAGATTACATTGTTGTGTTCCGGTTTGAAGGATAAGGTAGCTAACGTAATTACAGGGAAGAGGCATATCATCTTAGTCCTCTCAGTGACAACGCACCTGCGGTTCTGTATTTTTGTTTCATAAAACATAAGTGCATCAACGTTAGGTGTTATGGGCGACAGGTACTGCTTTCCATCAGATGGGCTGTCTGCTCGTTTGTCACTGAATACAATAAAAATAAATAAATATCTGTGCCAAATTTCATCGATATCCTTCCAGCCATTTCGGAATGATTGAGTTACAAACATCCATCCAAACTTTTGCATTTATAATATTGATGGTATTATCTCCCTGACATCGAACTAAAACCAACTAATTAACTAAAAAAAATATAAAGTACTAGTGACTCACCCTTGCTCCACTGGATTTCGTCCCTATTTTATGTTTTAAAGTGTCAGTATAGATTTCTGAGAAATGAGATATTTTCTCTAAGAAGTATCCTATATGTTAACCCGGATAACCAGCTATTGGCATACCAAATTTCATCAAAATCTGTCCAGTGGTTTTATCGTAAAGCGTTCCCAGATAGACAGAGAAATTTACAGGAAAAAATCTAAAAACTATAGATTCGGCCTCTGTATTTTTCTCAAAATATATTTAATGTACAGATACGACTCAGAATTCTATAATATGTATATATTATTAAAATCACGCAGAAAATACTTACATTACACACTTATACATACATTATTGGATAGTTCTTTTAAAACATTCACTAGATTATTAATAAGTAGTTTTAAAAGTTATAAAATACTTGCATTGCCCGCGGCTTCGCCCGCGTTTAGATGACCAGAAACCAAATTCTTATGTTTTACATATTATAATACTCTTACATTTCAGTTTTTGTATTATTTCTCAGAAATGAGGTATTTTCCCGCGGTAAAAAGTATTCTATATGTTGATCCGGATAACCAGCTATCACCATACCAAATTTCATCAAAATCGCTTCAGTGGTTTTTCTGTGATGCGGTAACAGACAGACAGACATACAGACAAAAATTCTAAAAACTATAGATTCGTCCTCTGTATCGATAATAATGATTATTTCAATAAGATTTTCCAAAAAATATTTAATGTACAGATTCGGCTTAGTTACAATTTTATTATATGTATAGATATTTTATTGGCATACTCGAAATGCCTGCCCTGCATTACATGAAGATAAACTTAAAATATCTTCGTTGCGATGCATTGTTATTTCAAAGGTTGCTACATAAACTTTATTCTAAATTTAACTATGAGATTTACATTTGATATTTAAGTAACACAATCGAAGTGACGTCGATTCAAAAAGTCGATTGTTGATTCCGCCAGTTTCTCAGGTGTCAGGAAGGTCGACTCCATTATACAAAGACCTCGAAGTACCGTTATCGCATTGTCCGTGTTCTCTTAGGTGGTCTCATTATATGCTTAATCCCGATAACCATATTATCTTATTGTAAAATCTGTATCACTTATACTTAATTACCATTGTAACAAGTACCTCTTTTAATTATAAATACATAATTGTTCTCATGTTGTAGCGATAAAGAAAGTTAGCACTGACGTATAATGAACTAAATGTTGGTTTGTTTGTTTTTTTAATGAAACCTCTTGCAGAAAATATATATAATAAATACAAAAGGTGGAGCAAGACTAAAACATATTTTACTTTTTTCAAAATTTTAATTATTTTTACTTCTTTTTTTAAAATAAAATACACATAATTTATACGTTCGTATTGTTATCAATTAGGTAGTACTTTATTTTGATACTCATAATAAATAATACCAATCATTGCATTGCACAGATCATAAAATATACAGTAGTATTTAATCTTCCACTCCAGCTACCAGATCATCACATCACCAGTATCGATTTCGGGTATATAAGTTATTAAGATGCACATATTAGTAACTAGCGGCTCACCCTGGCTCCGCTCTGCTTCGTTGCTAATGAAAAATTAAAACAAATCTATCCCACGGGAACCGTATATTTTTCCGGGATAAAAAGTAGCCTATGTGCTATTCCAGACTGTAATCTATCTCTGTGCCTTTCATCCAGATGGGTTCAGCCGTATTGGCGTGCTTGAGTAACAAACATCCATCCATCCAAACTTTCGTATTTATATAGTAGTAAGATAATACTTTTTAGTTTTACTTGCAAAAAGTAACTAGCAAGGAAACCAAAATTAATAGCCTAATGAGCTTTTATACTTTTAAAAAATATACCAACTAACAGAACATTGCTGCCATCTATAACTTTAATTGTGAGCATATTTAAAGTATATGTCTCAATAGATGTCGTTATACAAAAACGTCTACTGCCATCTAGTATTAAATAGATGTTGTTATATAACGACATCTATTAGTAAATAGCTACAACTTTATTTTAGCGGTAAATTATATATATTTTTATTATAGCAACACTAGTAGTATATATATCGACGCCATGTCTAAAAATCCTCTACTTTGATTGGTCAGCTACCTCTTGGCGCTCTTCTTCTATTCGTGACAATGCGTGCAGTTGCGTCGCAAGAACCGGCATCGGCCATTTTGCCGATCTATAGTGTTGAAACCAGTGATATAATATTTTATCCAGCCGCATTGCGGCAATCGGCTACTTATTCTTTAAAAGTAAGTTATTAATGTTTGTATTTTACATTCCACAAGGTTTTTGGATATTTATTTGCACTTCTAGGTATCTCCACGATAGATTTTTTTATGTCCGTCGTGGTCGTTATTTGAGTGCAATATTAAAAAGCTCACCCATTTGGAAACACAAACTAATTCTGTTTTCATTAGTTACGAGCCTTACAATTGCTCTGCATTTCATTGATCAAGAAACACGTGGTAAGAACAAACTACAATAAATTTATTGTTTTAGGTTGGATAAGACCGATTCAAAATGTATTTATACAACTTGACACTCCAAGGCTCTACAGCCATTACACATGCCGTACATGGAAACTTCTCTGGCACAAAACAGCAAGAAATAGTGATATCTCGGGGTAAAACGCTGGAGCTACTTAGGCCTGATCCCAATACCGGCAAAGTTCATACGCTGATGAAAGTAGAAATATTCGGAGTTGTCCGATCAATGATGTCATTCCGCTTGACCGGCGGAACTAAAGGTAATTGACCCTAAATACCACGTGGTTACTGGTTAACCCCACAGTTCATAATACTATTTTAAACTAACCACGTTCCTTCCGGAAATGCCTTTTTATTCAACGATTTTATCAGACCATCAGTCTACTAAATTACATGTCAATTACATAATTCTAAAATTTGTATATTGCATTGTCTTGCTTCATGGTCTTTTATATAAAGATGCATGGTATAACTAGATGCATAGATAATATCCATCGCGTCGCTCTTGGACGTTCATAATATAACAACTGGGATGTTCGTTGTATGGTACACACTAAAAAATATAAAGAATTTTCCAATTTAATTAGATCTACTCTTTTCCAATTAAATTAAATACATTTTGCATTTACTTATTTTAGATTACATAGTTGTTGGATCTGATTCTGGCCGCATAGTTATATTAGAATATATACCAGCCAAAAATATTCTTGAAAAAGTTCATCAAGAAACTTTTGGAAAATCAGGATGTAGACGAATTGTCCCAGGACAGTACTTGGCCATTGATCCTAAGGGGAGAGCTGTTATGATTGGTAAGTCATCCAATTGGGTCATAGTTCTACTATATTAATATTTTGATGTATATTTATGTTCATATTTGTAGCTTGAATCTAGAAACTTATACATAATATATAAAATACAGAATTATAAAGATAATATTTTTTTAGGTGCAATTGAAAAGCAAAAATTAGTGTACATATTAAACAGAGATGCTGAAGCCAGATTGACTATTTCATCACCTTTGGAAGCACATAAATCTAACACATTGGTTTACCACATGGTGGGAGTAGATGTAGGCTTTGAAAATCCCATGTTTGCCTGCTTGGAAATTGACTATGAAGAAGCAGATGCAGACCCAACTGGTAAATATGCAATTAATTAATTTTTAATAAATAAATCTATTTCTAAATGATTATTATGAGGTCCGTGTTTCCGATTGACAGTGACGTCAAATCCTCTCTGTATGATATTGTGCTAATGATTAACCTTTTCAGATAATAAAAGTGCAAAGTATTAACTTAATATTTTTTACAGGTAAAGCGGCTCAAAATACACAGCAAACTCTCACATTTTATGAATTAGATTTGGGTTTGAATCATGTTGTAAGAAAATATTCAGAGCCCTTAGAAGAGCACGCAAACTTTCTGATAACTGTGCCTGGTGGAAATGATGGTCCATCAGGAGTATTAATTTGTTCTGAAAATTATTTGACATACAAAAATTTGGGTGACCAACATGATATTCGATGCCCTATTCCTAGACGAAGAAATGATTTAGATGACCCTGAAAGAGGAATGATCTTTGTATGCTCAGCAACACACAAAACAAAGTCCATGTTCTTTTTCTTGGCACAAACTGAGCAAGGTGATATATTTAAAATAACCATAGAGACTGATGAAGACATGGTGACAGAGATTAAGCTAAAATATTTTGATACTGTTCCTGTCGCTACTGCTATGTGCGTGTTGAAGACTGGCTTTCTGTTTGTAGCGTGTGAATTTGGCAACCAGTAAGTATATTTTTTGTGCTTATTTTCTTTTCAGGATATTATTATGTACTTTTTTATGCATGTAAGCCTTGTGTACTTGAAATTTATTCAATTGCACTACTGATCCACATGCAAAAGTAACCATCTCTGAACCAAGGTCCTCCCTTTATTATGGGGTGAGTGCACACTGATATGAGATGAACAAATTCATGATTAAAAATATATAGTCTATTTTTCCTTACGTGTCCTAAATGGTAAACAAACACTACATTGAACAAATATCATTTGTTTTAGAACAATCACACATTTTAGATTTGGTTTTAACGTTTATAACTATTTCAGAAACACACACGCTATGAATTACACTAATAAAAGCTGTTAAATAATGATTTAAACACATTATTTTTGCTAAAATCAAAATATTAACAGAATCAATTTCCACAGATAAAATATGAACACAACATTTTGACGTTTCGATGCGCTACTTTGTCTTTGAATCATAGAGATGGAACATTGAGAATGAATTATCGAGATCCATTCTCGAACTGAACTTTAAAAAAAATAATATCTTTAAATTACAAAGTCCGACATTTTGTTCAAATTTTTATTAGGTTTTAAAAAAGTTGTATCTTCTGTAGAATACAGAAGATTTTTAATTGCTTTTAATCAACTTATACTTATTATTTATTTGTTATTGTAATTATTATTATTTCGTATCTTATTGCACTCTTTATTAAAATGGACTGAGGGATTTCGTTCCTGATGGAGATCTCCCGAGCGCTTATTTGCTTTTTTAGTTTAAAGTTTTAAAATGAGTATATTAAGGCCAAAAATAAAAAAAATAGACAAATGACATTTTGACAGTTGTGTATCCCGGCCACCGCTGAAAGAATCATTCGCCACGTTTGATGTAATATATGTGTTAGACGAGCCTGGAGAATTATCATCGGTATCCGAGTAATAAGAATTATTAAAATAACTTGTTGTATTTTTTCTACGCAATACTTTACGTTCACTGCATAGTAACCATTAAGTTCAATAGACTATACATAATTTAAGGATATATAGATAATAGATTTCATATAAAGATAAAAATGTATAAATAATTAAATGTAAGTTATATGAAAGGAAATATTTGTTTAATATTGCTTGTTTAACTTAAACTTCAGTGATGTTGTAGTGATCAATTTTATATTTATTTTAAAATATTATTTTAGTTACCTGTACCAAATTGCACACTTGGGTGATGAAGATGATGAACCAGAGTTCAGTTCGGCCATGCCATTAGAGGAGGGTGACACATTCTTCTTTGCTCCTCGTCCTCTTAGAAACTTGGTACTTGTGGATGAATTGGATTCACTATCTCCTATTTTAGGTAATATACATATTTATTTTAAAGATAATCCAAAAAATATTTTTCTATATTATTATTAATAGAAATTTAATATCAATGATGTAAACAATTTTCGCTCCGTGTTTCATCTGAAATACTATGACGATCCATTAACCAGATCTGAGATAAATTTTAAACTACTGCATACATTTATAATAAAATTACGATAATATTAATATAACTTTTGCATATTTTAGCTTGCCATGTAGCAGACTTGACTGGGGAAGACACACCACAGGTTTATTTGGCGTGTGGACGGGGGCCAAGGTCTTCTTTAAGGGCTTTAAGGCATGGTTTGGAAGTGGCTGAAATGGCCGTCTCGGAACTTCCTGGATCTCCTAACGCTGTATGGACTGTGCGCCGCCATAAAGATGGTGAGTACCTTTGAAATTTTCATGATTTGTTTTGTGTTATTGAAGGCTAGTTTTCATTAAATTGGATAGTAAGCTTCATAAAAACCATTTAATTACTTTTGCTTAGTTTTTTTTACAACATTCACTAAGGTGTAATCTTGTTTAGAATCATTAAGGGATTAGATAAGTAAAATATAGAAAGTGTCATACACACTTGTCCTTACTAATTAAAACATTATAAAGGAGGAATAAGGAGCTTAATGATTATATTTTTGGTCCGTGTTACTGATATATTGTGACGCAACACTAATAACCACCTATGAAAAGCTCCTCTTTTATCAACAAGTTACTAATAAAACCCTGGTTGTTTGTTATACATAAACACCAGTGGTTTTTCTTTTCAGAATCTGCTATGGGGTGAAGAACTGAAGCCATCAAACACAGGTAGGCATCGACTCGATTCACTTCACTGGGGGGCTGACATCAAACGAAGACTGCTTTATTACAAAAACTTGACCATTTAGCTGAGATTCTATTGGTGTTTTTTCTTTGGTTGCAGATGAGTTTGATTCTTACATCATAGTGTCATTCGTAAATGCTACACTTGTGCTCTCTATTGGTGAAACTGTAGAAGAAGTGACAGACTCAGGCTTTCTGGGAACTACTCCCACGTTAAGTTGTCACGCTCTCGGGAGTGATGCTCTGGTCCAAGTGTACCCAGATGGCATACGGCATATTCGCGCAGATAAAAGAGTTAATGAATGGAAAGCTCCAGGCAAAAAGTCGATTGTAAAATGTGCTGTCAATCAAAGACAAGTTGTAATTGCTTTAACTGGAGGAGAATTAGTCTATTTCGAAATGGATCCTGTAAGTACTGAGTCGTCACTTGCGTTTCATGTGGTTGTTTTATCAAAGCAACCATATAATTATTATATGTATATGTATTTTTTTTATTTATAAATATTTGAATAAATTATTTCATTTTCCCCGACGTGTTAGTGAGACGCGACTTTCGGGTTGTATCTCACTAGAGTGGCGCGTAGCTGTACTATACAGTGATGAGCCCACAACGTCGCAGAGTATACCTCACTCCCTTATGGTTGAGTGAGGACTCGGCATATTCCATAGCCAAACTGGAGTCATTCAGATTGTGAAGGTGGCAAAACCATGCCGTGGACAAACAAACCATTAATCATATATGACTGGAAATATTTAATTTTTAAGTGTTATTTAATTAATATAAGCATTAATTTACAGACTGGTCAACTTAATGAGTACACAGAAAGAAAAAAATTATCATCTGATGTATCTTGCATGGCATTGGGATCAGTGGCTACCGGGGAACAACGAGCGTGGTTCTTAGCCGTGGGCCTTGTTGACAATACAGTCAGAATTATCTCCTTAGATCCTGCAGTAAGTTTTACAATCTACATCAAATTTACTTATTTAGTAAAATAAATATTCAATATGATGATAAAAGGACACCACTGAATTTATGTGATTACAACAACCCAAAAATGCGTTATTCTCAAACTATCTGACTTAAAATATTAATTTACATTAAAAAAGACACTTTTCATCATTTTTACTTAGATTTACGTATTTTTCAGGACTGCTTAGCCCCTCGTTCTATGCAAGCATTGCCAGCTAGCCCCGAGTCACTTTGCATAGTAGACCAGCCATTTGAATCTGGTGCAAAATCTGCCCTGCATTTAAACATTGGACTGAGTAATGGAGTGCTTTTGAGAACTACTCTAGATTCTGTTAGTGGAGATTTGGCGGATACGCGAACTAGGTAAATATTTATATTTGTTGGTTTTTCTAAAGCTCCTTCTATCCTTTCAATGATGTCAACAATTTCGCTCCGTGTTTCATCTGAAATACTTTGAAGATAATTAACCAGATCTGAGATAATATTTAGAATGTAAAATGATTGGACACTAATGTACAGTATTTTAAATTAGTGTTTATCTTTTAGATACTTAGGATCTCGTCCGGTTAAGCTATTTAAAGTGAGAGTACAATCGGCGGAAGCGGTATTAGCCGTATCTTCTAGAACCTGGTTAGGATATCAATATCAGAATCGTTTCCATCTCACTCCACTTTCATATGAATGCTTGGAGTATGCTGCTGGCTTCAGCTCAGGTTGGTATTTTTGTATTGTTTTTTGATATAGAAATCTTAAATAGACATTTAAAATAATGATTGCTAAATATATACTTAAAAGTTAATATAACTAGTGATTTTATACCGACGTATTGTCGAAGTGCGGCTTTCGGGTTGCGCTTTGGTAATGGTGGTGCGTAGCTGTGCCATACAGTGATGAGCCCACAACGTCGCAGAGTATACCTCACTCCCATATGGTTGAGTGAGGACTCGGCATATTCCATAGCCAAACTGGAGTCCTTCAGATTGTGAAGGTGGCAAAACCATGCCGTGGACAAATTTATTTTCTAAAAAAATATAGTTTGTTATTTACAAAGCTTTATGAATTATAAATATTTATGTAAGTATTTCTATTTCAGAACAGTGTACTGAGGGTATTGTCGCCATCTCTTCCAACACACTTAGAATTTTGGCATTAGAGAAATTAGGTGCAGTTTTCAACCAAACATTCCAACAATTAGAATATACCCCCAGAAAATTTGTTATTAATTCTGATAACAATCAAATCATTATATTGGAGACTGATCATAATTCTTACACTGAAGAAATGAAGAAACAAAGAAGGTATACATGAAACTTCACTTTTTTTTCTGTCAACTCTTAATGTAAAAATTACAACTTATCTCATGATGACAAAATTACACACAACCTGAATTCTCTGTTGATACTCCTGCAGTACTGATTCTATATGAATTATAAGATATTGTTTTTGCATAGTATGATGTTATTCAATAAATTTATTATATCGTTAGGGTTCAAATGGCACAAGAAATGAGAGAAGCGGCAGCGGGGGGAGGTCCAGAAGAACAGCAGTTAGCAAATGAAATGGCAGACGCGTTCTTAACTGATGTACTGCCAGAAAATGTGTTCTCATCTCCTAAAGCTGGGGCTGGTTAGTGTTTTCTATACTAATATTATAAAGAGGTAAAATTTGTGAGTGAGTGAGATTCTTTCTCTGGATTCTATGGATCTACTGTACCGATTTAGATGAAATTTAGTAAGAAGATAGTTTGAGACCTGGGAAGGACATGGAATATTTTTTTTTCCAGAAATCGTCCCTTAAGAGGGTGAAAATGGGGATGAAAGTTTGTATTGGAGAATCAAGCTAGTTACATATAAAACAATAATGTATCAATTTGATTTAGGATATGCAATATTCTAGTTTGACTTTTGAGTGATGGCCACATTCTCTGGGCAAGAGCAGAATATGTTATGAAGCAGTCTGACTCTAATCGGGTGTGGCCAGATCAAATCCATGCGTTAATCCCAGATGATTTCAGTAAGTCATTTGATTCAAGCATTGGAAACATTCTCCTAAATGTCTATCGCTATGTTATTACAATATACTCTACCGTAATTATGTATTACTTGTGGGAACTTAATTCATAAAATGTATACATATTTATTTCTATTGTAAACTAGCGGACTTACCCTCACTCGGGTGCATCCCTAAGTAAGATTTTGTTCACAATTTAATTGATATTTAACTTTAAAAGTGGCCAAAAAAAAACAAAAATATCAAATATTTTTTTCTTCTTATTAGTACTGTATATACTTTCATACGCTAACAAACAGACACTTAAAGTTTATTTATCTGTATAGATTTTGTGTTGTAATACTATTTCCCTACACATAAATGAACATCAAACAATTTACACACTCGAACAGGTATGTGGGCGTCCCAAATCCGCGTAGTGGACGTGAGCACGACGGGCGCGACGCCCGAGACGCTGTTTAAGCTGCCGCTGGAGCAGAACGAGGCGGCTGTGTCGCTGTGCGCGCTGCGCTGGTCCGCGCACGCCGAGCACGCCGCGCTGCACCTCGTGGTCGGCGTGGCCAAGGACGTGGTGCTCTCACCGCGCACCTGTGTCGAGGGCAGCTTGCACGTTTATAAGGTTTGTTTTGTGACCAATGTGAAGTTAGAAACTGACTAAACAATGAAATTTTTAAGCTATTGCATAGCTTCTATCGCGGGCCTTGAGCGTGGGGACCGAATCCAGAAATTCCGTAACGAAAAAATCTGACCCCTCACTCCAATTTACAACAGACATGTATTTTAAAGAAAACATCTTACCAGCATGATTCAGAAATGAGGCAACCTACTAGTAGCGCCATCTCTTGGCAGTAATCGGAACTAAACCCGACAATAGGTGTATAGGTATTTATCATCTATGTACAACAGTGAATATCTATACTCGTGTAATTTGTGTACAAAGTGTTTTAAATACATATGAATAAACAAAGTGCATTTATTAATGAAGAAAGTCAAGGAAAAAAAAATACTGCATTAATAAAATAAATAAATGATTATAATTACCGCGGCAATCTCCGAGTGCCACATTTAAATTTTTTTATCAGTATTTCAAATTAACATTTTTCATTTGTAAATGTATGTAGTTTTTATCAATTCTATTTGATTGTACTATGTTCGTACCGGATTGTACCGATTTTAAGTTTGCTTTTGTGATATTTACATTTGGAGTCAAGTGTTTTGGATTTTGCTTAATGTATTTGTTACTATTGGTTATTAGTGTGAAATTTGTATATTTTTTTTATAATATGAGTAGTAGTTTCATATCCTTGAGCACAAAGTAAAAGGAGTGATAATTTAGCTGATAAATATAAAATGTTTTGTTACTTAATAACATGTTATTATGTACTTTTGCAGAATTTAATTTTATAACTTATTTTATTTCAATTTAAAAATTTGTAAATTAATTTTATTTTCTTCAATTTGATAGTATATCGAACAGCTTTTTAAATTCATCACTATTTTCAGGTTTATAACACAGGTAAATTAGAACTAGTACACAAAACACCAGTAGACGAATACCCAGGTGCCTTAGCCGCGTTCAACGGAAAGCTACTCGCTGGAGTCGGCCGCATGTTAAGACTGTACGACATTGGTCGAAGAAAACTTCTGCGCAAATGCGAGAACAGACACATTCCAAACCTCATTGCAGACATTAAAACTGTCAGACAAAGAATTTTTGTATCGGACGTACAAGAATCCATTTTCTGTGTAAAATATAAGAAGAGAGAAAATCAACTGATCATATTTGCAGATGATACAAATCCCAGATGGATAACAAATAGCTGTGTATTAGATTATGACACAGTTGCAATGTCTGATAAATTCGGAAATATAGCAGTTATGAGGCTGCCACAGTCTGTGACGGATGATGTTGATGAAGATCCAACAGGGAATAAAGCACTTTGGGATAGAGGTAAAATATTATTTATTACCTTTAAAAATATTTAAAATAATTGTTGTAGTACAAATATATGATGAAATGAATAAAAATCACACATGCTAGACTAATGAGAATTAATGATTAGCTTATTCCTACTCTGAATTAAACACTCAAAATATTAATATAAAATTTATAACTTGCATACTGGTTACTAACTACATGATTATCTTTTTTAGGTTTATTAAATGGAGCATCACAAAAAGGGGACATTGTAGTGAATTTCCATGTTGGAGAAACAGTCACATCATTACAAAGAGCTACTCTAATACCTGGAGGGTCAGAAGCATTGCTGTATGCCACTGTTAGTGGTTCCCTTGGAGTCCTTTTGCCATTCACTTCAAGAGAAGATCATGACTTTTTCCAACATTTAGAAATGCACATGAGAAGCGAAAACCCGCCGCTATGTGGACGGGATCACCTGTCTTTTAGAAGTTATTATTACCCAGTGAAGGTGAGTTGCTATAACTAAATCAATATAAACATTCCATAAGTGCAGGGCAAGTTCAACGGAGATGTGCTAAATTTAACAGAGCTTGGGTTCTCTTAAGCTATGCTAATCATATTAAATTTTGTTATTTTTTGAAATTTCCTTACCTTACTAATTATAAGCACTACCGACTTATCTATGCTCGATTGTGAGCGCCCCTAGGTTCTCAACTTGCAGCCTCTGTTACTTCAAGGCATACATGACTCGACAAATCAAATTTCATTCAATTCCAACCAGCTGTTTCAGAGTGAAGGAGTAACACAATAAATAGCAGTTATAATAGTAGTCCAATTAACATATGATCCATGACTAATAAACTTAATCGCTCACATATATTATTAGTATTCAATTGGAAACGTATTAGTTTAAAATAATTTATAAGCTCGCTTATACAACACTAGCGACTCACCCTGGCCTCGCTTCGCTCGAGTTCGCCCCTAGGTGATTCCCCATACAAACTTTCATCCCCATAATATTCACCCCCTTAATGATTTTCGGGATAAAAAACAAACAAATCTTTCCTCTTTGTAATATTAGTATAGACAAGCTGCAAGGCTACTCCAAAGGGTAGTCAACAGCTGCTTGGCACAGAGCACTTGTGTTACACCTTTGGTAGATCAGGCGGGTGGCGGCCGAGCGCACGCGCACCGTGCTGGCAGCGCGCGCGCGCGGCGCCCGCCCGCCGTCCCTGAGAGTCGGCGCGCTGTCTGTACGGCGACGTCGTAGTATTAGGGGCGCACACGTAAATATTGTGCGTTAGTGTACGTGTACACGTACACATACGCACACACACAGGTAGATAGAGTACAATTCAAACTTAGTGCGGCTTTGCACATCGTACATGCAGAGGGATGAGACGCTCGGATTGAACTTATAGCATGTGTTTGCAATACAGATAAACTTAAGTAGATTATATTTTTCTTCATGACATCATATTATAGTTTGATATATCTACACAAGATTGTCTGTTGCTTTTGACAGATATTTTTTACATTTTTTTTTAATTGTTATAGAATGTGATCGATGGAGACCTGTGTGAACAATTCAACTCGTTAGATCCCGCCAAGCAGAAGTCCATAGCAGGAGATCTGGAAAGAATGCCCGCGGAAGTGTCGAAAAAACTTGAAGATATAAGAACAAGATATGCGTTTTAAATTGGCCGCGTCCATAATAAATATAAGTAAATTACCATCAACATATTAGTTTTATTGTTCAGATACCCTATGTAGAGAATAATGTAATATTATATTTATTTAAAAAAAATTTTTAAAAAAATAAAATTAATGACTGAGTAATATGTAATGTTTATTTATACATAAATAATAAAATTAATGAAGTCGAATCTGTACATTAAATATTTTTTGGCAAATCTAATTGAAATAGACATTATTATCGATACGGAGTCCGAATCTATAGTTTTTAGATTTTTTTGTCTGTCTGTCTGTCTGTTACCGCATCACAGAAAAACCACTGGAGGGTTTTGATGAAATTTTGTATGGTGATAGCTGGTTATCCGGGTCAACATATAGGATTCTTTTTACCGCTGGAAAATGTCTCATTTCTGAGGAAAAAAAACAAACTGCAATGTAAGAGTATACTAATACGTAAAACCTAAGAATTTGATTTTTGGTCATCTGAACGCGGGCGGAGGCGCGGGCAATGCTAGTTATCGATACAGAATCCGAATCTATAGTTTATAGAATTTTTGTCTGTCTGTTACCGCATCACGAGAAAACCACTAGACAGATTTTGATGAAATTTGGTATGGTGATAGCTGGTTATCCGGGTGAATATAAGGATAATTTTTACCCTGGGAAAATTTCTCATTTCTGAGGAAAAATACAAAAACTGCAATGTAAGATTATATACTAATAATATGTAAAACCTAAGAATTTGGTCACCTGAACGCGGGCGGAGCCGTGGACAATGCTAGTTAAATATATAATAGTAGGAGATCCTGATCTATGTGGTGGACCCCTCACTCTTTTTCCAGGCGAAATATATTTTTAAAACCATAAAATATATTAACAAACACGACCCGGAGGGGTTGTCACCAAAATTTTTGCTTGTAATCTTGAGTGGACAAGGGGCAGGAATAACTTAATTTCTTTCCGAATAAAACGATAATTTTGCCAAATTGATAAATTAACACATTTGAACCAGACGAGAGATTAATGTTGGTCTAACATCCTCACGCTGCACGCGTATCTAAATCTTCATAAGAAATGTAAAAAATACTTATATAAGGAAATACATATAAAGTTAAACTTGTCTGTCAATTGTCATGAAATAAAGTTAATCAATCGTTAAGCTAATGTTTTTTGGCATTCACAAATACTTAAAGTAGTGAAATAAGAACCAAAGTATCTTAGATATCGTACTAATGTAGTTATACTTAATATACCTATGTATTTTATAATTCAGTAATATATCTACATATTAATAGCATTAATTTACAAAATTATACAATATAAGTAAAGGTGAAATTAATTCTAACATAATATCTGCGTCTGGCCGTGACGCCGTCGTGGCCTAAATGCAAATGAGAAAAAGCCACATTTCCTCGCTAACATGTAAAACAAACGTTACTATGACAATAATATCGACCGAGGGCTTTTCCGAGGCTTTCGTCTGAAGTATTCGATTGCGTGTTGAACTGCTGAAACAATAAGGGCTGAAAATGTCTAGACATCGTGACTACGGGTAGGGGAGGGCGGCGCAGTCTTACGGCGGCCCACACAACAGAGTGGCGCCCATAGAAAATATCGGTGTGGCCCCTGTGGACATAGGCCAGTACGCGCGTACAATGAATGCAAGAGTGAATCGAACCGCGACGCGCAGCCACCTATGCGCGCGCGTCTGCTTTTGAAGAACACTCCGGAGCACTCATTAGCCGGTGCACCGTAACTGCGGTTGGGAGTAAACGCAACGTGCAGTACGGGCTATTAGAAAGTGTAATGTATATTGCGGTGCGATGCTGTCAGTGGGAAAGCCGGTGTCATTAGTCCAGCAGAAGAGGCAGCAGTGGGCACAGGAGAGAGGTTCGTACTGCCTTCACGCTCACCGCTCCCGCCATACTCGCCCACTGCAGCCGCGTGCAACAGCTTTGCTATTTTGCAACTATTCACGGTCGCGATTTCGTCTAACTCTAAATCGTAGTCATTATAGCGCAGGCCACTATCAAAATAATAACTGACTTGCTCACACGAAACGCGTGTTGAAGAAAGCTCGATTAGAATCGGTTTCGTTTTTGGATCGGTATGTATACTGTTTTTAATTTATTGAGGTCATTGTAATTTTTAATTTAATAGTGTAAGCAATAAGAATTTAACATACTTAGTCTATAATTAGGCGGATATCATTAACAACTAACATATAATATCATACGATATTTCATTAATCCCTCTACGACCGCGGATGCATGCCGGCGTTACAGTTAACAATAGATTTCTTAGAAATTTATCTGGTGGTGTTAAATTTTATAAAGTTAAGATTCGGTCGGCCAATAATTATTACGCGATTAGCCATAACATGTAAAACACTCGCAAAAATTGCTAAACTATATCTAAGCAATAAGTCGTTAGTCGTCACGCTGAAAAATCTTTAACTGGATTAAGAATTGAATGGTACGCATATATTTTTATACTAACATACATAATTTTTTTATAAAATGCTTTGCAATTAGAAAGCTAATGCCAAAGTCTACATAAAATTATTTAAAATTATCCATACATACATAATTTTTTAGAGAAATTGTTAACGATTAACAAAAACGCTGACCCGCTTTTTTTTAAAAAATAACTAAAACGAACGCTTTGTTGAAACCCCCGAGTGCCGATTGTGTCACTTCCTCTTGTTATTTAAATGACAATCGTTAACTTCCGGGATACACTTGACAAGCCTAGAATAAAAACTTTTTACTGGCGTTTAAATCACTTTAATTACATAATATATAAAAACTTTTTTGTCACATTGCATCTCTATCCATACTTCGTAAAAGCATACTTTCGTAAAAGTTAACTATGATGCTGCCATTAGTTTCTTCTACTTACAATTATTCGAAAACTAACGACCAAATTAAATTAACTGAATTCGTCAAATTATTCAAAATATAAATTATCTACACAGGCAAATGAAAATATTTATTAATATATAGAAAATATTTATCTTAAGCATACCTACCTATTATAAAAAATGTTACTGTCTATATATTAAATTAACTGTTAATATTTTAAATAAATTGCGATTCCAATAACACCTCTGTCTATCTAAATACTGTTTATAATTACAATTCAAATCAAGCCTATCATATAATTAAAAATAATTAATCAACACAAGTTCACATTCGTTGTTGAATACCTAACGGTACGGAACTTTTTTATAAAGTTTAAAAAATATTGGTAATATCGACCTGTATGAAAACGAGCATTGCAATTCGTTTTAAGACCTAGCTGTTTATAACATAACGGGTAGTCCCAATCAATAAAATAAAACAGTCAAGTATTGTCCGTTTTCAAGGTTAAAGATAAAAGCATTGACCTCTGTCCTTCGTTGACTAGGTACTATCATTATATTATTATATGTTTGTTACTTATTAACAAACTGCCTTTTTATCCGACTGCGCGACGCAAAGGAGGATAATGTATTTTATCAATCTATGTATGTAGGCTTTTTCCTATGTAGCGTATTTTGATGATACGTCGTTAGATTCATCTCGATATCGAGAGTTTCTTATACTATATAAAAATAATTAAAAATTAAAATGGCAAATTTCAGGCGCCAATTTGTGTCTTAAAAAAAACTTCCAAACCAATCGAGTGGGGTATCAAAATAAACAATTTACTTAGGTTAAAAAAATTAAATTTAATAGGTTTTGAAAATCGATAAAAATATAAATGAATTATTTTTTTATTTTTTGTTTCATTATGTAGAAAAAGATTAGATTTTTTTTATTGTTTATAACAAATTGTTTATTATAAATAAGCAATAAAAATTTAAATAAAAACTTTTTTTTAAATTGTTGTCTCAAAGTGAAAAATAACATTTTTTTATTTTACCAATGGGTATGTATTCTGAGGCCTTTCAAGTTTTTTTTTTATTTTTATTTAATATGTTAAAATAATTTTTATTGGTAATGTGTCCGAATTTCCGAATCTAATAAAGCACCCGTTTTCAGGCCTATTTTCATCCCTCTGGGAAATGGGAATATTATAAATATTGGTCCTACAATTCCGGGAGTCAAGACTTTTTTTAGGAAATTTTCTTACCTATTTGACTTTTTTTATTTAAAAAAATCTCAATTAGTTTTTGAGATATTTGCAAAAAACTAACCCCTTTTTTATTTTTAGTGTATAGTTTATAACTTTAGCGATTTTTGCAAGCGGAACTTGTTTTTTATCAGAAATCATCTGCAAGCCATTCCGAATCAAATGACACTTCGTTCATATTTTTCCGAGACTGCTGAAAAAAGTTGACCAAAACAAGGCACTTGTTGACTAGACTAGATATACTCTGACGTCACATTCGGTCTGACCAAGTAGCGTCCCGTTTCAACTTTCAACTACTTTGAATTTTCCACTTTTTTCTCTTTTTAATAATTATTTTCTTAATCAAGAAGAATTTACATTAATTTTTTTAATATAGGCTTAATTCAAAAGCAATAAAGATTACAAAAAAAATATTACACCTTTATTTAAATCACACGCATATTCCCTATTAATGATAATTTATAATAGGATAATAAACTTCAATAAAATCTACAAGTTTTAAATTATTAATACCACTAATTAAAGTTGCATTGTAATGATTCCAAAATTTAGTTACATAATTATATGTTTCTTTACAAAATGTTTTATTTTTTATTTTTATTTATTTATTCAGGTAAAAACAGTCGTATACAAAAAATCTAAAACATTAAGAATACAATTAGACCTATATTACCCTAAATTATTACAAATGAACTGATTTGTCATCAAAAATGACGGATGCTAAATAAGTATGTTTACAAAAATAATAAGTGAAACTAATTGAATAAAAATATTAAATAAAACTAAATTCAAGCTACTAAAAAAACAACAAAAATACTTATGTCATATACAAGATTTAGAAATAAATAAGTTTATACAAAATTTTCGAAAAATTTAAACATTGATTGGTTTGTACCTACTGGCAAAATATAGAAAGCAATTATAGTAATAGTAACAAATAAATGTTAATAATATTATCATAGTACAAACAATTAACAATAAAAGCCCATAGTTAGAATATTATATGAAACACTTGCTTTTTATACATACTTAGTTTACACGAAAAAATATCAACAACAGTTAAATTATTATTATAGAATGAACAAGAACGCCTGAGAAAGGTATTATTATCTATTTATTATTTGTTTTACAAAAAAAAATATAATAAAGTAAATAAACTGGAATACTTTCCAGTCTATCTATACTAATATTATAAAGAGGCAGCGTATGTTTGTTTGATTAAACGCGCTATTCTCAGGAACTAGAAATCCGATATGAAAAATTCTTTTTGCATTAGACAGCCCGTTTATTGAGGAAGGAGGAGGAGGAAGGCTATATAATATCATATAATATATGTGTTGTATAGAAGTCAAGATAATTAAATAGCTACTTTGTAAAAATTGTACATAATAATGTAGTATCTATATCAGTTACCGTAACAGAAATTAATTTCTTAAGACTGCAACGTTATCTCAATGACGAATGCACGATTGAAGGTTACATAATGTTCACATTTAGTGCTACATAAGTATATTTATATAATGAAATTCATAATTAAGTAGGTATCTACTGATTTTATTAGTTGTAAGTTTCATAATTTCCGCTAATAATGGCCTCTAAACTCTTCGAAATATATTCATCATCGACAATTTTCTTTGTGGGTGTTAGAAATAACTTAAAACGCATTATATTCTTATTATTTAGTACATATTAAAACACTGTTTTGGATTAGGGTACTCGGAGACCTATCTATACTATAATAAAACAGTAGAGGTTGAATGTCTGTACATAGCAAAAAAATTCTAAAAACCGAGTCAGGGGGATGTAAGAAGACAAATAGAACAAATCCAGTTTTTTTTCAATTTTTTTGTTTCTCTGTTTATCTGTTTGTACGGGCTAATCTCCGAATCTATTGGGCCGATTTAAATGAAATTTTGTATGGTGGTACCTTATATCCCCGGGCAACATCTTAGATACTTTTTATCCCGGAAAAATAAATAGTTTCCGTGGGATAGTTTAAATCTATAGTATCTTATATACAGCTTCGTACACAACAACTTATGCACCTAATTTAGTAAAATTTAACATTCTGATACCTTATATTACCGGGCAAACAACAGGTTACTTTTCATCCCGGAAAAATGAACGGTTCCCGTGGGAACTAATAGATCTCTATTAGTATTTTTCTAGAGGCGAACCCGAGCGAAGCGAGGGTGAGCCGCTAGTACAATATATATTATACCTATTGCCTATGCAAACTATGTGCGACGGGGGACTTATAATATATGTAGTGATTATAACACTACTTACATCATTTGTTTGGAGGTACATACAAATGTACATTAGAAGCATGTTTATTGTAATTTATTATTACATGTTTACTTGTGTTTCAAGATCTAAGCATGTATGATCTAGGATAGATAAGCATCGTAAAGTTTCTGTATATCCATTACATAAAGCTTGTCGTATCAGGTACGTAGCGTTAAAATAATATAACAAAAACACTCTGCTTCGTGAATTTATTGCGCATGAAAGCGTAGCGAAGAGCTAACAAAATATACCACAATCTAGTTGATCTTAAATTTTCTGTTAATTAGACAGATGGCGAAAGAAATTAATTTAAAAATTTCACTTTTATTTGTGACTAGCGAGTAGCGACTCACACTCCCTCGGGTTCGTCCCTAGATACCTTATGACGGTTAGTATGGAATATAGACTATATAGTCTATATATTTTTATATACAGGTGTCCCAAAAAGATAGAGCACCCCTTGGGGTACCCGAATCACCCTCATGTACTTATGTCACGATGGTTCATAGTTTTTGAGTTAAGATTATTTTTTCTGAATTTTTGAGAATTTTCAAACTGAACAACTTAAAAAAGTTCTAAAAAAAAAGTAGAAGACTTTTTCGCGTTTTTTTTTGTAAGTGAATCTTCATAAGTTGTACTTTTATGCTTAAAACAGTCAGCTTCGTAACTTTGATGGAAATTATGAAAATGTTGGTCGGTGGCATAAATATGACTTAAATTTTGAACTTTAAATTAAAATTTTAAACAGGTGACTTCATGGTTCTTAAGTAGGGCTTAAAAGTTTTCTAGACTCTCTCTTCCAAAATAGAATCGTCTTAAAATTCGAAATACCAGAAATGTAAATATAAAAACAATAAGGAAATATAACTGTGATTAATCTGAATACCCATTACCTGCGTATTTTACCCCATTGGCTATGTAATTTCCATTTCAAATACGTCAACGCGAAAGTGTGTTAATTGCTAAGCAATGAATGTAGGTCATGAAAGTAGAATAATAAATATCAAACTATTATTTACATATGTATAATACATATGTAATCTTATTTATTACACGTAAATATCATCCTGCCATATACACAGACTTTATAATCTCTTCCTACTTAACAGTTAACACGAAACGTGAACTAGGTACATCATAAATAGGTAAATTGTTGGCATGCATTGTTTCCGTTGTTCTACTTACATACTTTATCGACAAAACTTAAGACCCTTTAAGTTACCACGAAAAGGGGAAATCTTGAATATTTTTCTTGAACGAATAAAAAATTAACTCATTCAGAAACTACATTGGACATGAAAGGTGCCTTGTAAGTGACGTTTTTCTTTTAAATATTAATTTACGTTTTAATATCCACTTTACAGAAGAAATGTCACATCTCTACCTTCCCTGGGGTTCTGGTGAGCGTTACGCGAATCGATTACAAGTTCGGAATCAATTTGCAAGCTCTCTGGAACTACACAAGCAATCTTCTTACGAGTATCAAGAACCCATACAAAGACAAAGAAGTCCAAGTCTTCCACCCATTCATAATATTGAGATCAACAAGTCGTTCGAAGACAATAAACGTCACAAAGAGATACTGAATAGAAACGTTTCAAGTGCAAAAAGATTTGCGTTCTACGACGAAGATGCTGAAGGAGACACTTCGGGTTACGGCAGTGAAACTATTAACCATATGAATATAAGAAACCAGTGCTCCAAGTTTCATGAGACGATGAACAATTACAACAATAATCCGGTCGTGGCATGGCAACAAGAGGGAAAGGAGAACCGGTAAATATTCGTTTTACTTGGAACATTTACTTTTATCCAAAAAAAAATCATACATTTTTTAAGTGTTTGTAATATAGATTCAAGATTGTGTAATATAGAACTATTGCCTTGTTAGTTTAGTAGCTAACGTGAATGGCTACAGATTGACAGATCCTAATTTAAATTAGTCCCGAGGCCAAGTCTCGTATAGTTACTGCCTTTTTTGTTAAAGATATTCTACATAATAGCATGGATTTGGAATATTGAAGTCGGTTCTGCACCTAATCTCTTACTAGTCGTCTCCCTTTAAGTACATTCCCAACAGATTTTCTTGACAATAAAATCAATAGAGAGTGCACACTTGTGTACTAATGGTACTCCTGTGTTTTTTTTTAATTTTCCTTCTTGGCCGAAATAGGTCAGGAGAACCTTATTATTAATATAATTAATAACTGTATAAATCACTACTAGGTACTTTTATTATTCACTAAAAAATAATACAGTCGCTAGTTTTTAATAATATTAATGCGATAGGCATTAATATTATTAAAAACTAGCGACTCACCTTCGCTTCACTCGGGTTCGTCTCTAGCTTGATTCCCCATGCAAACTTTCATCCACATTTTCAACCCCTTAAGGGATGATTTCCGGGATAAAACATCCTATATCCTTCCCAGGGCCTCAAACTATCTTCTTACCAAATTTCATCCAAATCGGTTCAGTAGATCCAGAGATTACCCCCTACAACGTCACAAACTCACAAAGTTTACCTCTTTATAATATTAGTATAGATATCATGTAGTAATTTGGAAACTCTTTGGACTTTGAATAGAAATACCCAAATGGATGTAGACGATATTAATGTAATTACACCTCAATGGCGGTCGTTGTACTCTAACAAATATAGCACTAACCTTTATTTTGGACTATTGAGGTACTTCTTATTTGTCGGAGTTCATTGAATAGCAGAATATTTGAAACGCTCAAGACATATTTAGCATTAATAAAAAAAATATTGTAATGTGCAATCACATAACGTTATTAAAATTATAGAGAAATTATCTTGCAGCTATCTGTGAAATATGGTGCAATGGTGGTGTGATACTTAGTGAGCATAGTGCGTATCGAGTTACAATTAATGATGGCCCAGTGGTTAACAAGCTGTTGGCCACGACTTCGTGTGCATAACTTAGACTTCGTACAATATAAGAGATTATATATTTAAATATTAAGTTTTTTATTAAGTTTTCACTTTTCACTTATACTTATTTTACACATATTTCGTGAAAATGATATTTAAATGATATTTTAAGACTATAATATGCCTATGTACTCGTACATTCACCAGTAATATTATTTTATTATTTTTTGTTTTATTTAAGTTTTGAAGTGACATTGAATATTTAAGTTTGAAATCAAACAAACTATAATTCCGGTTCCTCTTCATTGACCTAGTAAAGGTAACGTTTAAGTTTTTGTCTTAGAAAGCAGCCTTCAAGCGGGCGGTCAGGTATGACGGGAGGTGCGCTGTCTGCACGGAGCACATCCGGGCAAGACGAGGGTCGTCCGCGATGGGGAGACAGGGGTGTCGCCACCGGGCGATTATGGGAGCCCACCGCCCCCAATGCTCGACTGCCTCAGGTAATTGTTAGTATGTATTTGATGCAGTGGTAGCCCAGTGGTAACGCGCTCGCTTGGGAAACCGAGTGAAGCGAGTTCAAATCCCGGGTCTCGCACTTCTGATATTTTCATGTGCGAATCATTTCCAACATGATTACTACTTGTCTTAACGGTGAAGGAAAACATCGTGAGGAAACCTGCATGTCTCAGAGAACCAGCAAGTTTTCAAAAGACATGTGAAGTCCGCCAATCCGCACTTGGCCAGCGTGGTGGACGATGGCCTGATTCCCCTCGTACTGAAGGGAGGCCCGTGCCCAGCAGTGGGACGTTAAAAAGGGCTGAATACATTTGATACATCGCTGAATATAAAATACCAATTTTGCCCCGCGGTTTCACCCGCGTTAAATTTGTTTTATTATAAACATCAGTTTTACAATAATGTATGGAAGTCTGCCCGATTTGTTGAAATTAATGATTACTGCTCCGCTTCCTTGGGTAGTAGCATAATAATATATATATAATATTTATAAGCTTATGCCTTCTTCAATAATTCGACTATCTAATGCAAAAAGAATTTTTCAAATCGGATTTCGGAGATCGAACAAACAAACTAACAAACTCTGCCTCTTTATAATATTAATATAGATAATATGGATCTATCGGTTGTCTAATGGATAGCAGCTATGGCTGCTGATCCAGAAGTCTTAGGTTTCATTCAGTCCCGGGGTAGGCCAAGTGTAGTTAGTAAGCTGTTGAGGTTTTTCTGTTAAGAAATACACACGAACAACCCGGATTTGGGAATAATAATACCTTCACCGTGTTTTGTCCTAACTTAACATTGTTTTGTTTACAATTTGTGGCAACTCAAATCTGCAGCAGAGCAATACCAGTTTTCAATTTCACAAAAGCCTTCGGTTTTGTTTACTATTACATCTAATTTTATATAATTTTCTATACCATTCTTTCTCTTCTTAAACTTAATCAATATTAGATATACAGTTAAATCAATGCTAATTATATTTTTAATTGTTTATTAATACTTGTAGATTAATGCCACTTGAATATAACCAATGTCGATGCTAATTCAAAACAATGAATATTTAATTGGTATAAGGTTGCGTCGATTAGTCACTAATAGATAACGAGTAGTTTTTTATTCAATAGGGGAAAGGGGGGTACAGTGAGCCGTAGTACACAGTGAATCAGTGGTTACTTCTCTTTGCCTATGCTTTCTATACACGTACCACAATAATGGAACGCATGCTTTAGTACTTAAACCTCTACCCCGCCAGTGTCCATCACGCTCTCGCTCTTGAAGAATGTGTTACCGCCATTTGGCTATCCGTGAGTATCAAATCTATTTTTTTACTACTATTACTCGAGTGTTTTATTCACGAAAATGTTTAATATTGAATGACTTACTGTAAATTACCTAAACAATCATCTAATAAGCTTCAGAAATAAATAGCTGTTTGATTCGTATAGATTATGTAAGTTATAGGAATTTGTTGTTCAGTTGTTAGTGGTGCTTTGGGGAACAGTGGGCCATTTCCATGTGGGGTACAGTGGATCGGCGATCCACTGTACTCCACACTAAATATCGAGTTGATTAGACTTTTTTATTTATAGTATGTAATAATAAATTTGTTTTAGATTAACAACATAGCACGGCACCGAAAGAGAAATACTCAAATTGGTCTTACTACTGAATAACTGAATAGATAAAATGCCATTGTCTTTGTTTTACGGGGTAACAAAATTAGAAAAGTTGTAAAACTAGAATTATATTAGATATTATAATATAAATATATTAGATAAAACACATTGGCAAGCTACGTTTAACTCCCAATTATGGGGTAAATAAGATTTTCACTGGAAAAAGAATTAAAAATAAAGAATATATCAAGCAACGTCAACAAGATAAAATTAATAAGTTTGTGAAAGTAGCAAAACATATTAGTAAAAAAGTTATGCAGTTCGATTCTAGTGACGAAGATAGAAAAAAACAAAGGAGTAGTACAAATTAAGAGAGAGAAACGACTAATAAGTACAAAGAGAATGAAAAGAAAAAATTCTGCGTCTAGTATAGTTAGATGCACATAAAAAGAAAGTATTTTACACAGGAAAGGGAAGGAGAACAAAAGTAAAGAATGGGTACAGATAACCTGATGTTCCAAATATAGCTTCAGTACCCCTAGAATATATAATAATGAAATTACCTCTGCCTAGATTTTGTGGCACTAAACGACAACAGCAAGTCTATAAATAATATCAATCTCAATTTTTCTCGCTTAAGATTGCGTTAATTATTATTTTATTTTTTCAATTTCTTTTCGTATTAACGTTATTTTTGAAATTAGTTTTATTGTGTATATGTTTTATTTTGTTTCGCTCAAGATTTATGTTATCCGGTTAATAATTTTTAAACCTTAAATAATACCTTAAACTTCTTAATATAAATACTAAATACATGTTTTATAAGATATCACTACAATTAATGTGTACTTACGACTGATAGAAAATAAATAGAGATTGATAATTTTGTAATATTGTTGATTAAAAGTGTTCACATAATTCATAAATATTTTTATTTTTATAATTCTTTTACAATATTGATTGATTCGCTGTAACCCAACAGTAATACCCCCCTTTCCCCTATACATAATATGCATGATAACAAAGTTTATTAGGCAAATTGGTAAAAAGTTTTTATTTTGTCCGTGTTTGTTATTTTATTGAATTAAGTATATACCTATTAAAGTAGAGACTCTTTTCAAATATTTTTAGTGATAACTAGCGACTCATCCTCCCTTCGACGTTTTAATATTTTTGAGCGGAACCCTAATTGATTTTCTAAAATAAAATTAGCCTATATTACTTCCTTTAACATGAGCTATCTTCCAGTGAAAGTCCCGTCAAAAAATCAATCCAGTCGTTTCAGAGATTATCCGGAACAAACAGTCAGACAGACAGACCAAAAAATTTAAAAAATGAGTTTTTCTTATAAGTACCGTATATAATTTCATAAGTATTTAGTAAAACGCTGTTATTTTGACATTACAAAGAGACACTTCAGTTTTATTTATCTGTATAGATTCTACCCCTCCTTGTTCCCCTTATATTGCTAAATAGGTGCATGTCTCACGTGTTGCAATATCAGTTCATCAATTAACTACCTTCGAATTTTTTTCAGATGCCAAACCAGAAAAAGGGTACTCCATCTTGGGTGGAGCGTGGACTTAATATGATAGACAGCTCGTCTGATGTCTTAGTCATAGATCAAAGGAGCTCCAATAACTCTGGCTTAGATTGTGATCGATTCTCTTCCAATGGAAGTGATGAAGGAAGGTAAGAATTTAGTTACGTATAAGAGGTTTCGATTCTGATAAATAATAACCGTTTTTATTAAATTATATCTTTATTTTTTATTTTTTTAAGGACTTTTCTCAGAGGCCAAAATGTACCACTAGAGCCTGAAGTAAAAGCCCAAAGAGAAACAAAACGCATTAAGGCTTTAGAATTACAATCTGCAATACTAAGTCAATTAGAAGAGCGTGAAAAACGTCGACAAGAAGATAGAGAAAGAAAATTTAGAGAAGAACGAATGGAAGAATTAAGAATACAGAGGCAACAAGAAGAGGATAGATTAAGATTAGAAGAAGAAAAAAGGAAAACAAAAGAAAAGAATCTCCTTGAGCAGCGAAAATTAGATGCTTTAAAAAAAGCTCTTGAAGATGCTGAAAAAAAAGCAAGACAAGAAAAAGAGAAAAAGTTTAGTTGTCATAGGCAAGCGAACATATTCTCTGAAACCCATGATTATAATGATAAGGCAAATGAAGACACACCATGCGAAAATGAACCCATTAGCCCCACTAAAACGTGTAGTCCTACTAAAACTTATAGAACCTATAATGTACAATCTTCGACGAGCCTTAATAAAGAAAATAATTCGCAACATAGCACAGCATTTAATTCACCGCGCTCTATAACAGCGAGTAACTTAAATTTATTTATCCATAATGTGCCACCTCTTACCTTAACAGATAATCAATTTAATATTGTGCCAATTGGTATAACTAATAATACAGAAATATTGAATAGCCAGTCAAATAATATACAACTAGCTGTGCTAGTTCCTCAAAATAAAAATGTATTTAGCCTGTCATTAAATTCTATTAATAATTTACATGATTTAGGAGACATGGAAAAAATACTTACACCTAGTAAATATCGTTCCATTAAGACTAAGGATGCTTATACACAAACTGACGTGGATGTTCCAACTACATCACCCGAAAGATTAGAAAAAGATGTTAGAAGCATCGATAAGAACTACTCTAATATAGACGAGAATGCACCAAATGACGACCACCACCGTAATACAACAAAAAAGGACCGTCGTTTAAGGTCAGAGGAGAGGTATAAAAAGGATATTGAAAGTCGGCCAAAATGGGGTGCTAATAAACCTGTGGCTCAGTACAAAAAACAAAGTGAAAAAGATCCATTTTATACTCAGAAACGAAAAGTGCGCCAAAAATATCGACCACAAGCTAGGGAGTACATGTCCCAATCTAGTGAAGACAGTAGGTCTCCGAGTCCTCCAACTAGAAGTGATAAAACTCTTGATAGTACTATAAAAAAACGTAATTCTCTGAGTCAATCATATTGGAGAAATAAAAGATCTAGTCAAGACTTTACTACAAATCAAATTGAGACTAGTAATGTTCCAGAATTTACATCTTTAGCTCAAATAACCGAAGATGGTAAAACAGATCACAAAAAGTCACCAAAAATATCACCCACAAAAAGAGTAACTTTGTCTCAGAAATTCATAAATGATAAGTATGGCACCAGAAAACTGTGGATAGATGACATAAATGAACCAGCGACTAAATATAATTTAAGTGATTTAGATAATTCTAAAAGAATTAATGATAAAACAAATATAATCAAACGAGATATTAGTGACATTCATCAAAATCAAGAAAATATATTGTCTAACATAAAACTCTAATACAAATTAGTTTACATTTTTATAACATAAAGAAATCAATTTCGTATAACGTGCAATGTTTATTTTAGTAAATTAGGTTACGCTCCTTCTTCTTATTGATCCAACAGTTTCTAAGAAATAGAATGGAGTTAAATCGATAACATTGACTCAAAATACTGCCGAGTTCGCGACCAATGTATTCGAAAGACTAAGTTACTTCTTATAAAATGGCCAAACTGGACGACTTGTTTGACAAAAAGAAAGATGAAGCTCCTATGTTAGACTTATCTAAAACTGTTATAAATTCTGCTGAAGACTATCGTGCCGTTTTGGATAAAGTCCCTGATTTTAAGACTAGACCGGAAAAGGTTTGCCGCGATATAATTAATTTTTTTAAATAGTACTTGTGATTTCAATAAATAATACTTAAAAGTAATCTTTATTTCGTATCGTTAACTTGTTTAAAAAGGTACGACCAGAAGATCTCAAAATAAAAGATAAAAAAGAAGATCAGAAAACTAAAACACCGAAGAAAGAAGTGCGGGCTTACGAAAAATTAGGTACTCGTGGTTATGAAGAAAAGCACTTTACGTTTATGGATCCCATACCAGTTGAAATGCGAGGGTTGAAATTTGACGAGCTTTGTGTAGTCCCGATCGAATGGCGAATGCTCACATCTATTAGACCGAAGGCAAAGTTGGATGAAGAATATTTTAACAGGTACCTAAGCAATAGTAACGCTTGCTTTACAATAGTTTCACTTTCTTAATATTTTTAAATATAAATTATCTCAATATTAACCGTAACCGTTTTCAGACTAGGTATTACCTAGTTGTTGTAAGACTATTGTATTACAACAGATTATTTGTTAATAACTGCTTTATTCATCATTTAGAATAAGATCTTAGTTAAGTACCTACTCGTATATAAAGAACTCACTTTTTCCTATAGGCTGATAGAACTCGGAAAATCTGAATTAAAAACCAAAGCGAAGGACAAAAGAGAGTATGCGAAAAATAACATGATCAGAAAAACTAAAACTCGCTCTGGCGTGACGGAGATACGCATCGTGTCGTGCTCGGAGTGCGGGGAAGAGTACTGCAATGGTGCGTATTGCGTTCCGTTATTATGTTCATTTCTATCTATCTTCAATTATAATTTACGATTGCATAACTTCATAGTTGAATTATGATTCTAACTTGTTAAATCCGAGCTAGGTAATTATATAAATATGAACTATAATTGAGGTTAAATGCTGCAAAAAACAAGAAACGCATTAGTATCAGACTACGACATATTATAGCATCATCTATTTCAAAATTCAAATACAGAAAAAGTATAAACGCAACCCTAAATAATAGGAAGTGTCTGGTGAACCAGTGCTAGTGTCATGCACTACAGCTTCCTAAGATCTGGCCAGACGATTGTCAACAATTGCAAAACATGATGAAAAAGCTTGCTAGCTTTTAACAGTCTCGCTTCGGTCTGGTCAATTACTCTAGCCCATTGCTGCTTCTGGATAACGCTAAACCACATACGGCACAACAAAGCGCTTTGCTTATGATTATCAAAAAGAATCCATTTTTCATCGCAAGTGAAAATGCGGTTCAAAATCCCTTTGCTTCTGTGTCTGTTAAGCAACACAAGGCAACAAGGGTTAGCTCAACGCGTTCGTCGCGCTGGCGTTCGTTCAGTGCGCGCGGCACCCACTTATCAAGTTTTTTTCTTTGGCAATTTGACAAAAATGGACCAATATTGTTTTGATGCTAACGTTGAAAGCTGCCGCTAACTCAGCCGTAGATTGAGTATCGTCAGCTTCCACTATCGACTTTAATTCGTCGTTGTTGATTTTAGCTTTCGGGCGACCACGGGGTTTTATTGTGTGTATCCATATTGATAAAAAGATACAAATCTAGTGAAAAAAAACACTAATCACTAAAGAAATGACTGATTTTGATAATATAACTCCATGTTTTTGAGATAAAATTAATTTGAATTTAGAATTTTTTGCAGGCTAATCATAAATTAGGTTTAAATTGCCAGTATTGTAAAACGGCAACTTCATATTTAAGGAATAGGTAAGGACCTATTATAATAATTTTTGATCGACTTTAAAAATCAGGAGGTACTTACTCAATTCAGTTGGATATTTTTGTGTGTTATATGTTCGGCAATTTTAAATCGATTTTCAAAATTATTATTTTTTAAGGAAGGAGGAATTAATGAAGGGGTATAGATAACCCTATTGAAAAACTCCAATACGATCTCATCAAAAGCGACAAAAACCATTTTTACAAAAAACAAGCCATTTATTGGTTTCTATGTATCTTTTATCGCTTTTGATTAGATCCTAATGTAGTCTTTCAATAGGGAGGATCGATACAAATTTTCAAAAGTTCCATCTAATGTATAAATTATTTTAAAGTTATGTTGAAGCTGGTGTTCTTTTTTTGCTTAAAGGTAAAATGTGCAACATAACAAACTACGATATGTTCGCACGATTAAAGCTGGAAGTGGAAACTAAAAGTACGCGCGTGCAAGCGCCCCCCGCGCCTACGAGCAAGCTGCGCCGCATGCGCCGCCGCGTCAAGCGCAAGCCTCGCAGCAAGAGCGCCGCGCCTGCTTACCACAAGCCTACTGCTAAAAAATCTGGAGCTCGGAGTGACACTGAAATATAAACCATTGGCGTTTTCCCGCAGCTTCGTCCACGTAGTTCTATTATATATTACTAGCGGTTCACCCTCGCTTCGCTCGGGTTCGCCTCTAAAAATACAAAAACAAATCTATCCCACGGGAACCGTAGGTACATTTTTCTGGGATAAACATTTATTCTGATTTAAAAGTTATTCTGATGTATGAGCAATAATATTGTAGTTTCATTAAAATCCATTCAATCATTTTTGCGTGAAAGAGTAAAAACATCCATTCGTCTATATAACCAGATACTTTCGCATTTATAATATTAGTAGGATGTGTTATAACTTATAACACATTATAAGCTACGTTACTGAATAGTTTCATCAAAATCCGTTCAGTAGTTTTTGCGTGAAAGAGTAGCAAACTTTGCTGTTTATAATATGAGTAAAATTTAAATTTCAATTATAATAAATTAAATTAACGAATGAATTCCATATTTTTTTAGTATTAAATCGTCATAAATCAAACTTTTATATATACGTAATCTGACCAGCGATGGCTTATTGTGCTATATCTATTACATATTATGTTCAGACGAACATTTGTTGAATATAAAATTACGTTATAGACAAAGAGCAGAACATTAAATGAGATATATACTAAATTATTTCAGCTTCTACATTGATGTTATTAACCAATGAGAGTTGAATAAAGTTATAGATAAACTTATAAATCCGGCACTGTAGGCTATAGCTATTATTGTGGCAAACAATTTTGCCACAATTTTTGCAAAACTACTTTATTCGTTACTTAATGATATATTAAGCTTACATTGCATAGATTTGTTTATTTTTGCGAAATTATTGTCAAGCTTAATTTATCAGGTTGGTGAAGTTTAAAGGGTTAAAACTGAATCGGTTTATATTTAATTTTAATAATACGCATTTACTAAATAAGATATTGTTATAACCTGTATCTATATTAGGTAATTCAGTTTATATCAATTAACTCATTTCATTATAGATTTAAATAATTATTATATAAAGCCCCAATCGTCGTATTATATTATAAATCTAAGTGAATGCAACTTAAGTAGGTATATACATAGAAATTAGCATCTCAGTGTTTGCTAAACGTTAAAACTCAAATTAGCATTAAAAATTGTCTAGTCAATAAAAGAATTTTTTAAGTAATTTTGAATCTCAATTTTATACTCGTGTTTGGTAATTACTTAAAATAAAAAAAAATGCAAATAAATATTCGTTTCATTTATAACAACAACATCCCATTTTAGGACCTACTCATATGTTCTTAACTGGTTTTATTTTAAGCAGTATTTATCTTTAGCATTAATTTAAGAAAAAAATGAGTATAAAGTTATTTTTTTGTGAATTTTTAATTTATTCTTTGCTTGTAATTAAAATTATATTCTTTATTTACAAATAAGAAAAATACAAAGATAGATACTGACTTAGCAGCCCTATTGAAAAACTCCAATAGGATCCAATCCAATAGATAAATATTTATTGGTTTCTGTGTGGCTTTTGTCGCTTTTGATAAGATCCTATTGGCGTTTTTAAACAGGGAGTCACAATCAAACAGACGAACAGTTGGGTTACTTAGTGCAGTATTAAAAAAGTTTAGGTATATATTATGTACATTGTACATATCTATACATATAATAAAATTTTGAGTCAAATCTGTACCTACATTAAATATTTTTTAGAAAATCTTATTGAAGTGATTATCCGGGTCAACATATAGGATACTTTTTACCGCGGGAAAATATCTCATTTCTGAGAAAAATTACAAAAACTGCATTGTAAGAGTAGGGGAAAGGGGGGTACACTGGATCACTTTTTTTCAAATGTAGCTTACCTATATAAATAAATTATCAATATTTACTTGATCAATGTGTCGTTATGTTGGCTATAGAAATCTAGTTTAACTTTAACAATAATATTTATAAGTTTCTGAAAGCAAAGGTTTTTTTAAAAAGTGGGAAATTATTCATTGTACCCCATATATGCATGGGGTACAGCGAATCTTATTGGGGCACAGTGAATCAACACATGAAATCATCATACGTTTTCTATTGGGTTACAGGGAATTAATCAATATTGAAAAAAAATGTATATATAGTAATATGTAAAACCTAAGAATTTGGTTTTTGGTCATCTGAACGCGGGCGGAGCCGCGGGCAATGCTAGTTGTATTATATATAGGAAGACATTAAAATTTGAATTTTGCTTTGTTTTTTAGTTGCTCTTTCACGTTTCAAATAGGTAAACAAGTGTCAAAAACATCCGAATGAGATGTAGAAAATAAACAAAGACCTATTTAATATCACTCTTTATTGATTTTAAAAAAATATTTATATAACACATTCATGTTTTAGAACCTATAAACAACTTTTTCTTGATACGATGATCCTGATTTGTTAAGTCTGTGTCGTGGACTCTTAAGTAGTCGTCCATTTGATTTAAAACTATTGATATACGAAGCCAAAAATATATTTTTTATCTAATGCCCTACCAATCGATGAATGCGTTTATAGGTTATTTAAATCTATACTTACAATTTCAAAGTTTCTTTATGATCTATATATATTTTAAAGAAACTTTAGGCCCTAAGTACAGGAGTCTAAAAATAAATAACTGAGCACAAATTTGAAGAAACACAAACAACTGAAAATAAAACTTCAAATCTTGTTCAACTTACTAACAGCAATAGAAATAATTAACAATAAACATAGCTGCGTCATTCGACGGGAGCGCTCAAGAGAAATTTTGCGATCATGTTATTTTCCTAATATTATTGCAAACAAAATTATTCCCATAATGTACTGTCGTCCAAATTATCACGACAGAGAAACTTAATATAAAAATAATAAAGAATGTAAACAAATGGGCAGAGACATTATTTATGGTAGGTATTATGCTTTGATAAATAGATAAAGGTAAATCCATACACAGCCGGCCGACATATTCCATATTAAAATTTCCTCATAAAAAAAAAGAAGTAGTAAGTAATTATTGATAAGTCTCTAAAAGAGATACTTATAAGTTTACGATGTCGTGTTCTTACATCCATAATATTATAATATATATTCAATAATAACTTATGATTTCTCAGCCGTATAACTCAAAAGTATTCACAATCCCCAATTTCAACATTCCCATGTACTTATATTATTATACTTAAATCTAATATACAAAATAGGAATCTGCAATAAAACATCGATGTTCCGCTACTTTCAATAGCAAAAACTAATGTACTGAGTATGGTACAACTAAAATAAGAGTAACAAAAAAGAAGGAAATACATTATAGTAATAGATACACATTCAAATTAAAACCACTTAGTCCAAGTTTAGACCGTTATTTAAAATCATAAAGAATTCATGATATACAGCAGTAATAGTTTTGCCGTAATTCCATATGAAGAATGAAAAATGGTGACAGAACATGGACGGAGGATCCGTGATGTGCAAAATATACATTTAGAAATTCACTGGTATTTTATAAGGAATGGTTGTACATTTAATCTGTTAGTTTTATATTTTTTTATATTATAAAAGTAACTCTAATAGACTACTCTAGTATCAATATATCTAAGAAATAAATTTGTTAAACATCATTCTTAAATAACTGGTCTCTTAATGTAAATGTAGAAACATGAGTAAGAAGGTTAATGGTTAATAAGGTATAAGATATACATACACACATGGAATGGAGTCAATACACTTACCACTACAAGCACCAGAGGATTTAATGTTATTTGAAGAGATTATTACCTACATAAATGCTACGTTGAATAGATCTACATACATACATCTCACAATGGATTATCTGGACCTAGTACACATTTCTTTTAACGCCACAAGAGTAGCGACACCAAATATATTGCAGATTCCGAAAGATTTATCTCATAAAAAATATAATGACTCTTTTAAACATATAAAACAATTTCTATTATGCATCGAAAACAATAATTAACTTATTTTGAAAACAAGTCACAACATAAAATATGCAAAAAAAAACATGGACGTAAATGAACCGAATGTGTAAGAACAGTTAAAATTAAAACTTAATATAAAATTCACACCATACACAACTACAATTGAAATGTCATAATTGTTGAATTCATAATAATTTGATAGTGAATATTAATTAATTGAAAGATCACTAATAATAGAATTTAAGTATCATGTCATATGTTTATATTAACCCTTTATAAAGAAAAGTGGCACAAATCAAAAAACTACTTTAAAAATTTTCATTTATAATTGTAAAAATTGTCATAGTATTAAGTGACAACATGGTAGGTGTTCTAACTAGATTCCTGTTATTAATTCATCATTCTTCTTGATAATTTCTTTTAAATGTGTCAGTTGCATACAAATTGCTTCTCCAATGTCAAAAGTTGAGCAATTCAATCATTTTGACATGTGACACTTTTCATTTGAACAATAATTGTATTGATTGTAGTTTGGGAGTGATGTGAAACATTGAGCTAGCGGGCTGACAGCGCCCAGGCTTCACGTCACATTCACTGGTCCTTGCGGGCCTTCTTTTTGCTTTTTTTAGATACTTTAGCATCTGTCCAAGTATCTGAAACAATAAATATAATGCTCATATTACACAATGTGCACACAAAAAATATTTTAGTACTTTAAACATTTTATTCAACAGAAATAATTAAAAATAAATAAATAGCTGACCTGACAAGACTAATTGTGTCCACATTTTAATAAAAACAAAATAGGTGATACAATAAAATAGGTGTATTTTTGACTATCACATAGTCACTGTAAGTGACCATATACATTTTTTTTGTTCTTATTGTATTCTAAATATCAGAGAACTACAGTGACATGTACAGTACATCACACCACTCTATATTATAATAAGTTTTCATAAGAGGTCTTTATTACCGAGTAACACTAATGTCTAAATAACATAGACTAAGATATTCCTCTTTAGAAGTTGCTATCTCAAAAATGATGCACAAAGTATAGTAATGTATGTGGAACATATGAGGATGAACCAACATACATATTATTATTTACAATATGTCGTGGATTCTGTGATATTTTTAGTCCTTCGAATTATCAGAGAAATTATTTAGACAATTGACACCTATGCTTGGCTTGTGATCTGGGATTAACTATACAAAAATCCAACAAACAAGAGCAGTTTCAGTTTTCCTAATGTTTTCAAATTTCATAAATTTTCTCCAATTCATTGCTCCCAAAAAGCTTATTTGAAACCCTGTGCCAAATATGAAAAAAATGTAATAGTTTATTTCATATAATAATAGAAAGCCTGAATCAGTCCATCCATTTTCAAGTGATATGCTTACCAATGAAAACATTTTGATATAAATGAGATCAGAAAGAGGTAAAATCATTGCTTAGCTCAACAATTATATGTTTTCAATAATTTAGTATAATCTTACCTCCAAGCTCATCAAACACAGGAGCAGTTGGTTTATCTTCTTTTTTCTCAGATTCCACATTGTCACTCTCTTCCACAATGTTCTTCGCTACTGGTGGGGCCTAAGAAAATAGATAAAATTATGTTTTGATCATTTTAAATAATAAATCTTAACATTTACAATGGTATCTTAAAATATTGCATTTACTTATTATATTTTTTTTAAGAAATATAAAAAAATAATACTTTCATGATTGTGTAAAACTAAAAAAAATATTTACTTCAGCAGCCTTTTTCTTGCTTTGTTTTTCTTTATTTTCCTTTTTTTTATTGCTGCGGAGATCCTTAACTTCAGCAAATTCACTCTCATTTACATCTTCAGATAAGCCCTGATCACGTCGCTCTGCCTAAAAAATAAGATACAAAAGTTTAGTATGTATAAAAGGTCACCCAACAGCATGAAGGGAATATAACACACATAATATATAAGTAGTAGTAATAAATATGATTATGAAAAAATGCAGATATAATTAAAAATCATTAAATATACCTCTTTCAAAACTCTTTGTAGTTCTTCCACCTGTGCTTGCAAAGCTTTGGCTGCATCTGCACTCACACCAGGCCCCTCAGCACTCAATACCTTAATTTTGTCACTCCCCTCAGCTGGCCGAGCAGCTTCAACATCTGCCTCTTTCACCTTCTTCTTGTTCTTTTTAGCAGGGCTTTCTTTCTTTTCTTTCTCTTCGGGTTTTGGAGACTTCTTCTTGTCACTTTTTTTGGGAACTTCTTCCCATACACCTTCATCAAAATCTGCAGGTTTTTCTACTTCTACAGCAGCCTTCTTCTTTCCCTTTTTAGCTTCAATAGGAGCTTCTTTCTTTACAAATTTAGATTCAACTCTCTCTTTTGGCTTGGGTTTTTCAGCTTCTTTCACTTTTTCCTCTTTCTTCTCTTTTGCTGGAGATTTCTTGGAACTTTCAGATTTTGCCTTGGAATCATCATTAGAAGTGCGATTTGGAGAAGATTTCTAAAATAATAAAAATACTTTTAATATTCAATAATTTTTTCGAAGTATTTTACCGCACTTCAATACAAGATAAAATATTAAATACAAATATACTAAAGAAAATAGTTAATTGTATCAAAAAAATAGTAGATAATATCTTGTAGTATAATAATACAAACATATGTTAACAGGTTAAAAATAAAACGAGCAGCAGAGCGTTAAAGTCACAGGTGCACATTTTAATAATCTTTTACCTTCTCCTTGATTTTCCTCTTCTTGCTTGAAGATTTCCTGTCATCGATAACCAGCGGTAATTTGTCGAATTGCGGCTGTTCTGCCGTGTGGAAACCGAATATAAATACGAGAGCAGCGCATACTAAAACAACCGCTACAGCTGCCGCAGGAAATAGAAACTGAGTATTCGACACTTGTTTTAATAATTCCATCTTAAAAATTAATTTCGAAACAGTCTTAACTTTACAGTCCACATAAAAACGTTTCGATAAGGTATGATAATGTCTATGTCGAATAAATTAATTCCCAAGCGATAAAAGCAGACACGGAGACATGATGACGCGGCTGTGACGTGCCAAAAATTGCGACCTGTTAGTGTAGCCACAACACAATGCCTTTCATAAATTCATAATTTATTATTATATTTATTTCAAACGCGTAATAAAATAAATTGTATTAAATCTAAAATGAATTTAAACGAATTAAAAAAATATGAACTTCACGCATTCGAAAAGAAATGCTGCAAACATGATATTCGTTATATATATTGATCCGTGGGAAATTATATCATTTTTGAGAAAAAATACAAAAACTGCATTGTAAGAGTATACTAATATGTAAAACCTAAGAATTTGCTTTTTGGTCATCTAAACGCGGGCGGAGCCGCGGGCAATGCTAGTAAATTATAAATATAAAAATTAATTAAGAATACATTTTTTATAACAGATAAAAATGCTGCTAAGTTGAATTGGTGTGCAGCAAATTTGAAATTAATAAAATAATATTAACAATATTTTATAATATCAATATGGATATTTATCTTTATATATTCTGTGAGTGTGTATGTCACTGAACTTCTCTCAAACGACTGGACCGATATTGATAAAATTTTTTGTGTGTGTTCAAGGGGATCTGGGAATGGTTTAGATTCACAATTTGAATAATAATTTTCATCAAAAAAATTATTAAAAATAGTTTGAGATTTTCAAATTAAAGACGTGTAGACAGGACGTCTGTCGGGTCCGCTAGTATAGTATATAGTTTAAAACAAAAATTAACTTGTAATTTATTTATACAATTTACTTCACTTAATAACACTTATTTTTGAAGTTATACTTTTTTTGGGACGTTTGTGAAAAAATGATGTGTGTAAAATTTTTACGATGCGCGTGCACACCGACAGCCAAAAAGTGACATGATGAAGTTAGCTGAAAGTGATATGATGAAGTTAGCAGTGATAACTGTTAACTGTTTATTGCCACGGTAACCGTTGTAATTATCTGATAAATTATATAAAATATTATATTCCTTCCTTAAAGGATATTCTATAAATATAATATGATTGTAATATGCCTAATATGCTTTATTTAATTATTGATTTGTTTTGATTTTATTGCGCTATTTGCCAAAGAAGTTTTACTTCAACCGCGGGTAAAGGTTACACGCACCCTTTTTTTGTTCTGTTTTGCCAAAGAAGTATAATATTATTTTATTATAAGTATAATTTTATTTTTCAAATACCTTATCAAACGTTTTATATAGCAACATTTAAGTTTGTATATTCTTAAATCATTTTTATTATTCATCTGTGGATTGTGTACCTACTTCCCAGTATATAACTATACTCTTTGGTACCTACTACCTACTGTAAGTGTAGACAGTAGACTGTACCAAAGAGTATAGATATATACTGGGAATGTACTCTGTACTACTGTAGTCCATAGAGTATATTTGTCATCCATGATTGCTACATGCTGTAGGTATTCACTAGTGTATAAATGTTTATACCTAACCCCAAAACTTATCCTAAAGACTTAAACCATCTTCATCAAACAACCATCAAGCTTGTTCCTGCTCTGTGCTTAAAACGTAGTGGTTACATTCTCTTTGCCTAACCCTAGACTAGAGAAATGCTACCTAGTGCTAGTACCTAGCAAATAGATAAATAAGTAGGTACCTACACTTTTATTGGTTATATTTACAATGTGTATAAACATATTGCAGCTTGTACTATTATTCCTTGATTAACAAATTAAAATATACTTTAAAAGTTACAACTAATCATCAACATGGGAGGCAAGAAAAAGAATAAGAGTAAACGAAATAAAACAGGAAATGCGAATGAGCATGATGCCGAAAATATCTTGGAGTTTGGTGAGGATATTAAGGACTCTGATAATATAACCGAAGACAGTTCTGAATTATCAAAAAAAGCAATTAAGCGGCCAAATGAGAACGATGATTCAGACTCAGATACTGAGAAACCGAAAAGGCCTAAGAAAAAGAAGAAACAGTCTGTTCCTTCCGAAGAATCTTCAAGTAAGAAGGGCAAAAAATCCATAAGACAAATTAAACGAGAAAAATTCGCTCAAAGGCAAGCTGAAGCGCAAGCAGTGGCTAAAGATCAACTTAAATCACAATGTCTAAATTATTTATCACAATGGAAACATGATAGACAAAATTGGAAGTTTATGAAGGCCAAGCAAGTGTGGCTTTATAAGAATAAATTCTCAACTAATTTAATACCAGACTCCACATGGCCAGTATTTTTAGAATACTTTGAATCAGCTACAGGCAATATAAAAAACATGTTACTAAATGATGCCAATAAAATTATAAAACAAATGGATGACTGGACAGAAACACAAAATAAAGATGGGCATCAAAATGAAAATGAGGATGAGGAGGCAGCAGGGGATGTTCAGAAACCCAATGATGCAGTTTATAATAGAGCAAGAAATTTAATACAATGTTTACAAGAATAAAACTAGTGTTTTTTTTATTTCTTTTATTATTGCAACTACATTAAAATGGATAACATCAATTATATTTTTAAATAATTATAGATAAACAATTTATATTATTAGGCTTTAACCTTGACCTCTGCATCTTCTGATGTAAATTGTTCAATCCATTTTCTTAGTTTATCAGTATCTTGCAAACCAACTAATCTCTGTTGCACTTTGCCATTCTTGATTGCTACAAGGACTGGTACTGAACTGACTTCATAATCGAGGGCTAGGTCTGTTTGCTCATCAATGTCCACTTTAGCCAAGAGCACTTTTCCTTTGTTTTCAGAGATTATTGATTCTAGCCTTGGTGTGAGAAGTCTGCATGGATTACACCATCTATGAAAAAAAATCTATGATGAATTTGTGAAAAACTTATAACAGTGTCCTTTAAACGGATTCTAGTTGCCATTTAGAATTACTAGACAGTGGAAGGCCAGTGATTGCAAACCTGCTTGGGAAACCAAGGGAAGTCTGTTCAAATCCCTGATCTTGCACCTCTGAACCTTTCATGTGTGAATCATTTCCAACATAAATACCACTTATCTTATGGTAAACGAAACATTGTGAGGAAACCTGCAGTCTGAGAAAATCTAGCAAGTTTCCGAAAGACAAGTGAAGTCTGCCAACCCGCACTAGACCAGCATAGTGGAATATGGCTTAATCTCACTTGTAATAAAGGGAGGCTCGTGCCCAGTAGTGATACATAAAAAAAGGCTGTATACAATATGTAACATTAAGAAAAAAATATTTATAATATTCTGATATTTTGCCACTCACTCTTGTCTTAGCCACAAAATAAAAATAATTGACATACTACTACAGCCATATGATTTTAGAAATTTCTTTCTTCAAGTTACATTCTAAAATAATATATGTTCTCATTTAATTATACATATGTAGAAAATTTAACCAAAATTGTCTAAATAATTGGAAGAGAATGGAAAACATTAACAACACAGCATATAGTTTTTGTATACCTCTTGTATTTATCCGAATTATTATAAAATTTCTTTATCTCAAATTATTTTGCTGATGTAATAATTTTAACTACTTACGTTGCGAAAAAATCCACAACCACTGGAACTTTACTATTAATGACTTTATCCTTAAAGTCGTCGGGGCTTTGAATTTTGATTATATCGTTGTTAGGAGTAGTGACAGAAATATTCCTCAAAATTAAAGAAGGCTTCGCAAAGTAAGGACTTCTAAATAATAGAGTAGTAGCATGTCGTCCCAACATTTTGCCGATTTGCAAATTATTACAATCTTTTATCTTACTAATTACTAATAACAACTTAAAACCCCTTACAAATTTAGCAAAATTCTAATCCGTTCCTGCGAATTGGAATTGCAATTTGCAAAAATCAGAATGCAGATTGCAAATAATACCTAAACTATTTCAAATGTCATATTGATATTAAAATTTAAATGGCAAATGCTTATAAAATAAAAATCGCAATACTCTATGCTTGATCTATGGTGGTCTATGGAGGGTCGAGATTAGGGAACTATCTCTTGTGAGTCTGTGATGATCAAAAAGTGTCCGTAGAAAAGCGTTAAGTAAGCGTCGCGCTACAATACTACGCAAGTGGATAAATTTTATAAAAAGCGCCAAAATTAGTAGAGTAAAATTACATTATCTCAGAGGCTCAGGGTAGCTTATTAGGTTATAACCACACAACAAACACACTTTCATATTTATAATATTAGTATTGATATATTAATTAGTTATATATTATTATATATTTATTATGCAATCTAAAATATCGACGATAAGTAATATTATATCCATACTAATATTATAAATGTGAAAGTGTGTTTGTGCTTTTTTTCACGTCGAAACGGAGAGACGGGTCGGCGTGATTTTTTGTGTGGAGATAGTTGGAGAGTGACATAGGCTACTTTTTACCGCGGGAGATCATCTACTTCCCACGGGAAAACACGTTATAATACAATCCAAAAAAATATTTATGCTCAGAATTACTTGAAATTTGATAATAATGCATTCAATAAAATTAAATAAATACGTGTTTTAGCATTTTTCGAAACAACACTCTATAAGGGGTAAAATAGGGGATGAAAGTTTGTATGAAACTACCTTTTTAGATATTTTTTGTAGTTTTAGCGCTAGCGAAGCCGCGGGTTCTGCTTGTATTATATACATATTAGTTATATTTTTTTTTCAACACTGAACCTAGTGCCCTCTGCTGGTGTATTTGAAAACTAATTCACGTTCCAATTAAGCATCAGCACCTAAATTATAATTTGTTATTCATGATCAGCACACTTCAGCATTGTGCGCCAAAATACGGTATTATGCTTTGTAATTGAAAAACAGGGTATGTGTGCTATTTCTATGGTTACAACATTTGTCATCCATGGTTACAACTCCTGTCTTCAGTTTTCTTTCTTACCCGAAAAGCGGGTAATTTTAGGCAATTTTTGATGGCGGATAATTTTGACGGGTATTTTCATTGAGCGGGGTCAAAGCAGGTATTTTCGTTTAGCTGATTAATTTGACATTTAAGTATTTTTAAAGTATGATTTAATAATTTAAAGCTGTTTAATTGAGAACTGATTGCAATGACTTCTTTTTCTAACATTAGTACCTTCTTTTATTCTATATAAAACATTAATAAAAAAAACTATTTTTAGGTATTTTGCTCGTGGTTGGCGCCGGCGGGATAAACCGGGTATTTTAGGGTTTATTGGTCGGGTAAATCAACGACTGTTATCTGGCAGCCCTGTTTATGACACATTATTTTCTGCTTTCATGGGCACTAGCACAACGCGATTTGTGCCAACATATTTAATTACATATATTGTTAAGTGAACATTTTTAAACATGTATTCTAGTGATGATTATAACGAGGTTTGTAAATAATATAATGGCTTACAACTTACAATCTGTTAAGAATGATCAAATAAATAACCTCTTAAAATCTGCTTTAGCGAAGCAGACAATCTATGCCTTTATTAATAATTTTAATTGAGTTGATTATGATAACGTAAGAGTATATCGCTACTATTTAAAATAATAATATAACATCTTAAACATTTGTAAAAACGTTATAACCTTATTTCAGGGTGGATATGAGTCTTATGGTGATTACGAACCTCACACAGGAGACCCACAATATGATCTGGAGTACGATAGATCGTATTATCAAATGCCTGATCTGGTAAGACAGCAATATTATTTTATTACCTTTACACAAACAAGTTTAAGAACATTTTGAAGCATTTTAATTATTGTATATATGTCAATTTAACATTTTTGTAGGTCAAAAAATTCCTGGTATACTTTCGCAATATGATTACTGAGGGAATGACTTTTGAGATCCAAAATCTTTATGAAAATACATTCCCTAAACTCACAGAGCAGTACTTTGAGAATACTCCTTGGCCTGATGAGAAAGAAGTAGCACCAATTGTGGACAATGACCATGTAAGCTAATTATGTTTTAGTTAATATTGAACTAGTGATTGCATAGAATTTGCTTGTTTAATGATGATTAATTTTATAGGTTTTTATGATTCTGTACAAAGAACTCTACTTTCGTGATATATATGCTCGTGTGCCTGGAGGTCCAAAACCTGAGCAGAGATTTTTGTCATTCTATAATTATTGTGACTTATTCAATTATATATTATCTGCTGAGACACCCGTTCCATTAGAGTTGCCTGACCAATGGCTCTGGGAACTTATTGATGAATTTGTTTACCAATTCCAATCTTTTGCTCAATATAGGTAAGATATTATATATTAATAATTTTTACTAGTAACCAGCTCTGGTATGTTGTGCCACTTGAGTATGATGAAATAATATAATTAAATTTATAGAAATCTTTGTGAGTGCATGAATAACGATGTAGGTACCAAAGCTTCATTATAATCATAATTTTATATATTAATATTAACATTATAATTGTAATATAAGTGGAACACTAAAAATATATTGATTTAAAGAAATATCGATTACTTTGGATTACCAAAAAAAAATTTTTGATCTAATACTTTTATTTATTATTTTCAGGTCTCGTACTTCTAAACTGAGCCAGGCTGAAATTGAGAACTTAAATACTGAAAATAAAGCTTGGAATGTTCTTTGCATTCTTAATGTTCTTCATTCCCTTGTTGATAAATCTAATATCAAGCGTCAACTGGAGGTATGTATAAAAATAAATTAAAAATTGCAATAGTAATAATAAGTAATAATGTTTTGTATTATTTATTGATTTATTTATATTTACTTATTTTTTATTGCACACACAAATTTGAAAAAGGCAATCTTTACTTGACAACTTCTGTGAAAGGTGGAAGATTAATAAGACAGAATGTTTATATTATAACTAGCAGAAACCGCGGCTTCGCTCGCGCTAAAACTACAAATATCTAAAAAGGTAGTTTCATACAAACTTTCATCCCCTATTTTACCCCCTAATTGATGAATTTCGAAAAATGCTGAAACGCGTATTTACTTAATTTTATTGAAGAGCATTAATACCAAGTTTCAAGTAATTATGATAATTTTTTTTTGGATTGTATTATAACTACATATAAGGTGTTGGCCTGTGGGAATTAGATAACCTCCCATGGTAAAAAGTAGTCTATGTCACTCTCCAGCCCTCCAACTATCTCCACACAAAAAATCACGCCAATCCGTTTCAACGTAAAAGAAGGACAAACAAACAAACACACTTTCACATTATAATAATATATAAATATGGAAGTATGGATTTTAAATACTTGAAAATCTGCATTGTAATTTTTGTTTTAAACTTCTCAATTTTATTTGTAAAGCCTGTTTTTGCTAATATAAATTTGTGTGTAATAATATGACACTGGTGAAACTATTTTCATTTTGTTATTTCACATATCTTTTAATAAATAGGTGTATGCTGCTGGTGGAGACCCTGATTCTGTGGCCGGTGAATTTGGTCGTCATTCCCTGTACAAAATGCTCGGATACTTTTCCCTAGTTGGCCTTTTGCGTTTGCATTCTCTGCTTGGAGATTACTATCAAGCTATTAAGGTAACTAAATGAAATTTTCAACGTATTACTTAAAAAGCATAAAGGTGAATTGCTAAGAAAAAGTGTAGTCCTGCTGCCTATCATCAACATGCAGAGTGAAAGTAAGAAGATAATGTATATATGTATGTATTTAGATCTTTGTAACGTCCCACTCCTGAGCACAGGCCTCCTTTCAATACAACAGATATCAGGCCATTGTCTACCACTCTGCCCTAGTGTAGGATGGATGACTTCACATGTCTTCCGAAAACTCGCTAAGTTATTTCAGACATGCAGGGTTTCCTCACAGTGTTTTAAGAACCACTGCATTAAGGAGAAAGAATAGAATTAAATGATATAATTACATTCTCACTAAATAACCCAAAAATGGATTAATGAAGTTCGAAATATATTATTTTCATGTTTGAAAAATTAAACTATAACCTGAAAAATAAGTAAGTATACAGTTTTTTAAGTGGATATTTTTTTACATACTTCTCTTATCTCCTTTTTTGTTGGTTTATTGATCATAACTCAGAAGTTTTAATATCAAACAATTAATATTCTATTAAAAATAATAACAATTAATATATATCATGATATATGGTAATATCTTTAACAAAATGAACTTTTTATTTATTAATAAAAGAAATTTATTTAAACTAAAAAAAAACAAATTGAATGATCCATATTCGAATTCGTTTTTAATAACCTATATAAGATTTCCACTATCTACCTCATTGCGTCCTCATCAGATCAGCTTGTTGATATCAAAATATTGTAATTATGTTCCCAAGCTTAGATGACATAGTTCAGTTGGTTAGTTTATTACAAGTAAAGCTAATAAGAGTTAAAAATTCATATGTATGTATTCAGCCCTTTTTAACGGCCCCACCGGCCTCCCTTCAGTACGAGGGGATCAGACCATAGTCCACCACGCTGGCCAGGTGCGGGTTGGCGGACTTCACATGTCTTTTTGGAAACTTGCTAGGTTCTCTCAAACATGCAGGTTTCCTCACGATGTTTTCCTTCACCGTTAAGACAAGTGGTAATCACGTTGGAAACGATTCGCACATGAAAATATCAGAGATGCGAGACCCGAGATTTGAACTCGCTTCACTCGGTTTCCCAAGCGAGCGTGTTATCACTGGGCTACCACTGCCTAAAATAAAATATATATATATATATATATATATATATATATATATATATATATTTAAATTAGTTAAAATATATATATACTCATACTAATCATCGATAATAATTACAGGTACTTGAAAACATTGAGTTGCACAAGAAATCGCAGTACTCGCACGTACCGGCGTGCCAGATATCCACCTCGTACTACGTGGGTTTTGCATACATGATGATGCGTAGATATGCCGACGCCATACGAACTCTATCTTCAGCACTACTCTACATGCAACGCACCAAACAACTGTTCTCATCCCGCTCGTACCAGAACGACCAGATCAACAAACAGACGGAACAAATGTACCATCTATTGGCTATTTGCTTGGTGTTGCACCCCCAATGTGTTGATGAATCTATTCAACAGGTATATTTGCGTTTCAGTAGATGGTTATTAATGTGGTGGTTATTAATATGTGTATGAAGGACTGTTATTTATATTGTCTGGTGGTGTGATTGCATTAGTTGAAATTTAGTGGTATTTCATAAAGAACTAAATTAGTTTTTTTTTAATTCTTGGATACTTGATTTTGATGGATACATTATAACGGGAATTAAATATGAGAGTTTGGAATTTGGATATTTAAGCTAATTTATTATTTCGACATATAAGCTAAGTATTTGAATAAAATTATTAATACATATTATTATTTAAAAAAATACTAGAAATTTTCTGACAATTTAGAAAAACTTTAACCTACAACACTGCCTGACATAATAGCCTAAAACTTTTTATCCGATTGCAGTGAAACCCTTCTTTGATATTTTATACCATTAGTTTTGTTACCTAAATTAGGCCATAACCTTAATTTGCCTTGCCCAACTACTGCTCATTCCTTTCAAACAATTTACAAGGTGCTTCGTGAGAAGAACTACCATGAGAAGATGTTCAAGATGCAATATGGTGATTTGGGCGAGTTTGAAAGTTGCTTTACATTTGCTTGCCCCAAATTCCTCTCACCGTGCCCTCCGCCCATCGAGCCCGGATCCAACTATGGCCGTGATGCTGTAAAGCATCAGACTCAAGTGTTTATGGATGAGGTTAATAACTTTTACTACTTTTACGTTTGACTAAGTATTAAAGTACAGTTTGCATTTTATGAGTTATTTATGCCAATTACAAGTGTGTGATCAATTTAATTTTCTTGTTAATGCATAGCTTCAAAGCATGCCAGTTTAGCACAGATTAATTCGCCAATGTCACGTAGAATCAAGAAGATACGAAACGGTTGTGTTTACTGACATTTGTTTTAGAAACAATTTTTACTAATAAACTAAATTAAGGCAGCATTCTTAAGCGCCATCTATCGTGTACTATAGCGAAACAAAGTTAGGACTATTCATTTTCATTATATGCGATGCTGCATCTATCTAGTGGCGTAACTAACCTTTTTGATCCCAATCCAAAAAAAAATGGATGTGTCCCACCTAAAACCAGCATGAGAATGAACTTTCTTCAAACCGCTCTCAAGGAAGAACGGGTAGAGTAAAATTTAGTAAAAAAGCTGAGCTTAGAGGACCATTCATCGTTTTATGGAACATAGGCACGATCACATTCCTCGAGGTCCCCGTAAAAAATGTGGGGAAATTTAGGACACTTTTTTCGTAGGTTTTTTTTAATTTCTATGAGGACCGCTCTCGAAAAAATATTTTGAAATAAAAGAGTCGTTTGTGACCTGCCGGGGCCCCCTTGAATTGGTTGCATTGGCATAGCTACGCCACTACATCTGTCCCAGTATAGTATTAATTTAAGTTTGGTGATTATTACGTAATTTATTTGTGTATTAAACTAATTTAATAGCGGTTTACTCTACTCTGATGCGGTCTATCTGTATCGTAATCTATCTGTGTACTCTTCCAAATCTTTCCAACTATTTCAATATTATCTTACGTAACAAAGACACATTCGCATTTATAATACTAATCCGTATTAATTTAGTATTATACTAGCTTGCGCGCGGCTCCGCCCGCGTTCAGATGACCAAAAACCATTTTTTTTGGTTTTACATATTAGTACAATATTCTTACATTGCAGTTTTTGTATTTTTTCTCAAAAATGAGATATTTTCTCGCGGTAAAAAGTATCTTATATGTTGACCCGGATAACCAGCTATCACCATACCAAATTTCATCAAAATCCCTCCAGTGGTTTTTCTGTGATGCGACAACCGACAGACAGACAGGAATTCTAAAAACTATAGATTTGGCCTCTGTATCGGTAATGATGACTATTTCAATAAGATTTTCCAAAAAATATTTAATGTACAGATTCGACTTAGAATTTTATTATATGTATAGATTACATTTCACTTATTAGCATTAAATAAATAAATTGTGTAATAGGAAGAGGCTAGCGCCTGAGATACAAGCTCGGCCTAGTTCAGACTTACTTAAACAAAGATGAAACTTGACGAGCGTCAGTAGTGGGGATCCTGCGCAGGTGCAGTCGTGTACGAAATAGTTATCTATAATTTATTTCTATATCTATTTAGGGATTTTTCGATATCATTAGGAATAAGAGGTATAGCAATATTATATGAAAATTATTAACAATATTTTTCAAATTTTGTACACCTTCCTTTGCTTCTTTTAACATATAACCGTACACGTCGTAAACCATTACTTTGTCTTCTTAGTGTTTTACCTCGAGGCATAATCAAAATTTTAGTTTACAAAATTTCACTCGTATACAACACAACTATAAACAAAATGGAAATTTATAAACACAAGTTGCACTTGCCTGTACTGCGGAGTCGACTGAAGACGTGGTATGTCAAGTTTCATATTTCGTGGCGCGTATTATACTAATTATAGTTTTAAAAAAAAGTCTTGTAACTATTTTGTACATATTTAAGTCAATAAAGATATTATTATTATTCGTTAATATTCTATAAAGGTCCGTCAGCAAAAAATGTTGCCAACCATCCGTTCCTACCTGAAGCTGTACACGACCTTACCGCTCGCCAAGCTGGCGGCCTTCATGTCGGCGGCGCGCGGCGGCGAGCGCGACGCGGCGCGCGAGCACGCCGCCCTCGCCATACATCTGCTCTGCTTCAAGCACAAGATGAAGAACGTGGTGTGGACCAAGGGCCCCAGTGGCTTGGATGGAAAGTTCCAGAGCGGTTCCGAGGTGATTGGTTTTGTTTAATGTATAGTATTTATAGTGGTAATTTGAATGGTACGGCTGCAGATCCGGAGCTCCTGGGTTCGAACCCCGGGTCAAGCTGGTAAGAAATTCTCAGTAATAGCCCAGAGTTCTGAAGTTTCCGGTGTTCACCCCCGTGCCTCGGAGAGCACATAATGGCGTCTCAGTTCTAAGCCTGATTTTTCACTGGCCTAAATCATAGTTGTAATTTGAAAGTGAAAAGAATAGAGTGCAATTGTACTAAATAGTCATACAATGTTTCCTGCACAGATGGTTTTTCTCTGTGAGATTACATTATTACCATTACTTTTTAAAATATGTATAGGTGCAGTTTTTTTTGTGAGGTAGTTTTTAGACAGTATTTAGGAATTCTATTTTGACTTTGTGAAATCGGGATAGCAATAATTTGATACCATGAACCTATTGAAGTGAGAAGCGTGAATTTTAATTTTTAATGGCTATTGGTAAACCTTCAAGAGTTTGGCTTCACATAATACAGTTTGACAGTTTGTTATAACTATAATTGATCATTCGTAAACTATAAAAAGTTAGTATTGTATTTATAAGAGTGTCAGTGAAATTAGCGCATGCCTCTAAATATTTATTATATTTTACGATTATCAATTCACGTCATGGATATATGTTTCATTGCCTACTTTATTTAATGTCACAAGAAGACTTGTATTTTTGCTATTGTATAGCAAATTTTTAGCATATTTTTTCACTAACCAGTAGTGTTACTTCAAGTCAGTCTATTTGTGTGGGTTTCAACCAAATCCGTGTAGACGATTCAGCATGAAAACAAAAACACACATACAAACTTTTGTATTGATTTAGACTTTAGTTATTTAGCTCAGTTTGTAGTGACCCTACTTGCCCTGGCAGCGGTCACGGGTTCAAGTCCGCTAGGGGCATTCATTTGTGTGATGAACACGAATGTTTGTACGCCAGTCGTTTTATTTATAATATGTATATTTATAGTTATATATGTGTAGTGTATCAACTATCTGATATCCATAACACAGGCCTCGTAGCTTACCATGGAATTAGATGGTGCTGTGTGTATCCCAACATATTATTTATTTATTAATTTACGTTGCAGTTGGATTTCTACATCGACAATGATATGATCCACATTGCCGATACGAAGGTAGCGCACCGCTACGGTGACTTCTTCATCCGCAAACTTCTCAAGTTCGAAGAACTCAACCGAAAACTACACCATATTAAAATTTAAATGTCCCCTAAAAATTTTGTAACCACAAACTTTGAAAATAAAACATTGAATATATGTATATTTCTTTTATTTTATATTTTTGGCGTATAGGGAATAAATTTGCGGTTTCTCTTATAAAAACGTTTAGGTTCAATAATTTTAATGTTTTCTCTTTGTATTGGTGTAGGATGTGGTTCCATAAACTGTTTCCAAGGGTGTTCTGGTTTTAGTGCTTCTTGTATGTTAATTTCTTTTAACCAATTGCTATAGATACTCTTAAAACGTTCATAGGCAGCTGCAAATATTGGACTTTCTCGGTCTTCTTTTTTATTCTGAAAGATACATTATGAAACAAATAATATTAAATTTGAAACGTCGCATCGGGAAACAAAAATCAAACTAAATTCGGAAGAAAATCCGAAAATATAGTTTTGTATAAGATTTACCTTTTCCATTATAGTCGTACATTTATCATTGAAAGCCTCTAGATGTTTAATGAAAACATCATTAACTCTTAAACTTTCTTGTTTTACGACTTCCATTATATGTAGAATGTATCCAAATTGCATTTGTCTTGTACCATTTCTTAACAATGTACCTAAAATCTCTATATTGACCCTGTGAATTATCGATGTTTGATTTGATTATTAACTGAACAATATTAAAATAAAAGCAATATTTAGAATAAACTATTTAATCAGCCCACACAGCATCAGCTGTTATTATTGACACCTAGTTTTTCATGCAAACTTTTCACGTCTTTAGGATTTGAATTTCATAAATTTTTTACTAAGCAGTTACTTCAGCTTATTTAATAAGGCCGACAAAGTGATAATCCCATATGTATAGTAGTTTGGTTTAGACAAGGGGCAGCAGTTGTGCATATATATACTAATGCTATCTTGTGATAGACATCTAATCTATACATATAATAAAATTCTGAGTCAAATCTGTACATTAAATATTTTTTGGAAAATCTTATTGAAATAGACATTATTATCGATACAGAAGCCGAATCTATAGTTTCTAGAAATTTTGTCTGTCTGTCTGTTACCGCATCACAGAAAAACTACTGGACGTATTTTGATAAAATTTCGTATGGTTATAGCTGATTATCCGGGTCAACATATAGGATACTTTTTACCGCGGAAAAATATCTCATTTCTGAGAAAAAATACAAAAACTGTAATTAAGAGTATATATACTAATATGTGAAACCTAAGAATTTGGTTTTTAGTCATCTGAACGCGGGCGGAGCCGCGGGCAATGCTAGATTAATAAATATTATATTCTCTATAATAAAATTAAAAGAAAAATAAATTGAAAGTGCTATATTTAATAAAAAATAGTATTTTAAAAAAATATTTTTAAGACCAGCCTTATAGAATTACATAATCAACCTGTAACAACAAATAAACTATATAGAATACTAGCAACTCACCCTCACTTTGCTCAGGTTCGTCTGTCGGTTATTTCCCCATACAAACTTTCATTCCCATTTTCACCCCCTTAAGGGATGACCTATGTCCATCCCAGGGTCTCAAACTATCTTATCAAATTTCATCTAAATCAGTTCAGTAGTTTAGGAGCCTATTCAGTACAAACAAAAAATAAATCTTTCCTCTTTATAATATGAGTATATGTAGATGGTTAATGTCAGCAGATCTTACTTTATTTGCTTTTCTTTCATTTCATTTAGAAGTTCATCAGCCTTGGATCTTGTGCTGCATGCCATAGCTAATATTCCATACGTCATAATATTGACTTTTAACTTGTTTTTCTTATTTAAAGGATGTGTCTTGCGTACTACATTATCTTCTTCAATTAAATTTCTCACTTCCTAAAAAATAATGTTTATTTGTTAAATGCAAAATTGCAACTAATATTATTTTTTTACAATGTGTTTATACTAATTAGAATATTTAGACTTGTCTTGCAATGGCTGTATTACACAGCTATATAGTATAATTATAATTAGCTTAGTTTACTAATACATACATAGCTAAGTTTGAATTTCAATTTTTAATTTCTATTCCATGTTTTTTTATCAAAAAATGGTGATTATAAATAAAATATAAAGTTATAAATATACCAAAACTTACGAATGCAGTGTCATAATCTAGTCTCAGACACCTCTTCTTTATTAACATATTATAAAAATCTATATCTGGTTTAACTTTTAATGTCTTCATACTTTCCATAAGTTTATTTTCTGCCTCAGTATTGTTTTCTATGAGTGGCAACATTTGAGTGAAAATTTTAACATCAGGTATAACAGAATAAACCTGCATTTCTTTAAGAAAATCTTCGTGTCCACCTATTATGGCAAATTTATCTTGAGGTGTTGTTACTTCTTGCAGGGCCATCACTTCATTAACTTGTACTAATTTTGAAAGCAAGTTGGGTACAGATCTTTTTTCCACTAAAGGAACAGGTTTTTTGAAATTTTCTACTAATTCAACTGTATTCTCAACTAAATCTAATGCACTATGATTATTTTCTACATTACAATTTTGTCCTTCGTTTACTTCATTACATTTAAATTTATTTTCTTTTTTCTCTATATTGAATTCCGATTCTTTTTTAGATGACTGTTGTTGAACTGATTCTTCACTCTCAATAAAGTTATTTGTGGGCAAGTATGTTTGTGAGCTTTCAATTTGTGATACTTTTGGAGCTGGATTCAATAACATATTATGTTCTTGTATAATGTCAAATACTTCAAGCATATCTTCTTTTGTTCCTAAATTGCAGTCTTTAACACACCGAAGCATAAGATTAAATGAATAAATATTTGGTTTTTCTCTCATTTTCAACATTTTCCTCCAAACTACAAGAGCACTTTTTAAACCAGTTTCTTTGTTACTAATACATGCATGTAATAAATGGTTGAAAGTGTGCACTCTAATTTTAATTTTTTTTGATATCATTTCATCAACAATTTTAAAAGCTGTTGGTAAGTCGGAACATCTACCAAATGTTTTTATCATAACATTATAATTAGTTATATTCGGTTCTACTCCCTTTTCAATCATTAAATTTCTTAAATGTGTAGCCATTTTCAATCCATATGCAGGCCATGGACTGTTCATACATGCTTCAAATAAACAAGTATAAGTATCTCCAGTTGGCTTTAGTGCTCTTCTCTTCATATCATTGAATAATTTGAAAGCTTTCTTTGTGTATCCTACTTCTGCACACGCCCCAATTAGTATATTATAAATATAATTTTCAGGTTTAACTTTATCTTCCTGCAACATTCTAATTTCCAAAATATCTATAGCTTCTTTAATTCTTTTGAATTTCAAATATTGCTTTATTAAGTCTGCATATTGTTTGATAGTCAGCTGTTGAGATTTAAGCGGAATATTGCTTAAAAATTTTTCTTCCTTAATATCATCATCATCTTCTAATTTTTCATCTATTCTTGATTTTCCCGCTAAAGTTCCAAAGCAATCAGGGTCCTCCAAATAAACAACATCATCTTCCGTTTTATATTGGTTTACATTAGCTATTTTTTTGTTATTTACAGGCACAAACGTCGACGTTGAGAAACGAAATAGATTATTGCCGTATCTTATATTTTTTAAAAGATTTATAGTCCGAAATGCCATTTATAATAATTGTGTGAAAAAAACTATTAAAATCTGTGACTTAGCTCGCTAAATTAATAACTTAAAAGTTATTTAAGTACACTTTAAAATGTAAAAATGTTTACAACTTAGAAGTTTGTCTTGTTAAAATAATATTGTATATATTCATAACCTAAAACTCACTGACAGTGACGTTTGTCTACACACCGACATTTCATTAGACAATAAAATTATATACCCTGTTTTCCAATTACAGAGCATAATGCCGTACCTTGGCGCACACGGCACAACGCCGAAGTGTGCTAATGCCTAATTGGAACGTGAATTAGTTTTCGAGTGCACCAGCAGAGGGCAGTAGGTTTAGTGTTGAAAGAAAAATATAACTAATAATTATATAATATATAATAAGACGTATCGTCGATATTCTAAATTATATAATAAACTAGCGACTCATTCTCACTTCTCTCGGGTTAGTCCTTGCTTGCTTGCTTCCCAATACAAACATTCATGCCCGTTTTCACCCCCTTAAGGGATAATTTCCGGGATAAAAACTATCCTATGTCCTTCCCAGTGGCTCAAATTATCTTCTTATCGAATTTCATCTAAATCGGTTGAGTAGATCCAGAGACTACCCCCTACAACGTCACAATCACAAACCTCAAACTCAAATGTCAATTGTCAAATCACTATCACAAATGTGACATTGTGAATTGTCAATTGCTTAGTGATCGTAACGCACGTGCTGTACCCAATATCGACTTTGTTTTTAAAAAATAGTGTTACATATTTTCTAAAAATATGTCAAATGATCCCGAAGATCAAATGGAAGAAAGTTCAGGTGAAAGTGAGGATGAAGATATGGAGGAAGAGGGAAACGATGAAGAAGATTCAGGACCAAAAACATATCTTCCCGACCAACCTTTAAGGGAGGATGAACATTTAATTTGTGACCAGTCTGCTTATGTTATGCTTCACCAGGCACAAACAGGGGCACCGTGTCTTAGCTTTGATATTATTCCGGATAACTTAGGCAATGACAGGACCCAGTTCCCAATGACGGCATATTTGGTTGCTGGAACACAAGCATCAAGTGCACACTTAAATAAGTAAGAATATGTCTTTTAAAAGTATTATTATTTATATTGCTGATAAATATTATATCCTGTTATCAAAATATTTATAGTCTTTTAGTTATCAAGATGTCAAATTTGCATCCTACATCAAAACCTGAAGATGATGAAGATTCTGAAGAGGATGAAGATGATGATGATGAAGAGGAAGATGAAGAAAAGAAACCACAAATGACATTCTCATTTATAAAACACCAAGGGTGTGTTAACAGAATAAGGGTACGCATGTAACTTCTATATTGCTCGACTTATATTTACTATGATAGAATTTGAGTAAATTAAAGATACATTCTATACAAATATTTAAAGTATAGGTGCAAAGGTGTTAAGATGCTGATAATTTTTTTAAACAAAATCAATTTGAAGTTATTAATATTTTTCTGTGTTGATTCTAGGCTACAAATTTCAAGAATTCTGTCTTAGCAGCCAGCTGGTCTGAATTGGGTAGAGTAGATATTTGGAATGTTACTCAACAATTACAAGCTGTAGATGAGCCAGCCTTACTTGAAAGATATAATCTTGATACAGTTAATAACCCTGTCAAGCCATTATATTCATTTAATGGGCATCAACAAGAAGGATTTGGTCTTGATTGGTGTCCTACAGAACAAGGTGTTAGTATTAAATATTTCTAAAAATAACTTCATAATAATTAATAAGACACAATTTTGAATAAAGTGTTACTTTGTACATATATATATAATGATATGATACTCTTATTTAAGACATTATGTTTTAATGTTTAGTATCAATATCACAGAGATGAGATATTTTCTCGCTGTAAAAAGTATCCTATATGTTGACCCGGATAACCAGCTATCATCACACCAAATTTCATCAAAATCCCTCCAATGGTTTTTCTATAATGGGGTAACAGACGGACAGACAAAAATTCTAAAAGCTATAGATTCTGCCTCTGTATCGATAATAATGTTTATTTCAATAAGATTTTCCAAAAAAATATCTAATGTACAGATTCAGCTTAGTTACATTTTTATTATATGTCTAGATATAAAGACAAAATTGTGTTTCTGTAAAAATAATAGAAACTAATTTACAGCCTCTATTTCAAGTATCTTCCATATAATGGAAAAATCTTTATATTTTAACAAATTCTTTAAGGAGAATTATATAATTTACACAACTCAATTATTTCATTAAATGTCAAAGACAAAAAAGTAACAATATAATTTGGATTAATCAAACAGTATTTATGTAGTAAATAGAAACTTAAAACACCCTTGTATGACGACGCGTGTGGCTCAGTTTGTAGTGACCATACTTGCTGTGCCAACGGTCGCGGGTTCGAGTCCTGCTAGGGGCATTCATTTGTGTGATGAGCACGAATGATTGTACTCCAGTCATGGGTGTTTATATTTATAATATATATGTATTTAAATCAAATCAAAAAAAATACATATGATTGTTTTTTTTATAAGCATGAATGTAGTAATGTTTGTAATAAATTTAACTTTAATAAATATATAATAAGTGTTTAATAACTTAACAGTTATATCATTTGTTAGGTATTAGCTACTGGTGATTGTAGAAGAGACATCCACATATGGAAACCCAATGAGGGTGGTACTTGGACAGTTGATCAAAGGCCTTTAGTTGGTCATACAAGTTCAGTTGAAGATATCCAATGGTCACCAAATGAAAGGTAAATTTCAATAAAAGAATGAATCTGCAAACTGCCAAAATATTGAATTTTCCAATATTTCTAAAATTGTATGATATATAATAATCGAAATTATCATTTTTGTATTTATCTATTTATTTTATTGATTTTACACAAACATGATTAACAAATTATTTCATACTAGTGACTCAACCTCGCTTCGCTCGGGTTCGTCCCTAGATTAATTCCCCATACAAACTTTCATCCCCATTTTCACCCCCTTAAGGGATGTTTCAGGGATAAAATATCCTGTGTCCTTCCCAGGGTTTCAAGCTATCTTCTTACCAAATTTCATCTAAATCGGTTCAGTAGATCCATTGATTACCCCCTACAACCTTACAAACTTTACCTCTTTATAATATTAGTAATCACCGTCTATTGATATTCAATTGAACTAAATTTTCTTAGTTCCTGATGAAAACCCATACTCCACTGGTAAATGTGGTCAAAGTCGCCTAGTGCATGGGCAGGTTCAATTGTGTTATTGTTTTCCAGAAATGTTCTAGCAACATGTTCAGTGGACAAGACTATAAGGATATGGGATACAAGAGCACCTCCTCATAAGGCATGCATGCTTACAGCTGAAAATGCACATGAAAATGATGTAAATGTTTTATCATGGAACAACAAAGAACCCTTTATTGCTAGTGGTAAATATTAAATATATATTTTATTGACATTTACATTGTAATGTATTCTTTTAAACTGCTTAAAATATTTTTTGTAACTTATCTTGTTTAGAAATATAAAAAGTGACAGATTTTTTATGTATACATTAAATAGAATATGTTCTACTGGGATGCTAGTCTATAGCAAAATTTAATTATGGGACAGAGGTCTATACAATTGTTATAAATATAAATACTTCATTTCTCTCAATAACTAGTTGTTAAATTTTTTCAGGTGGTGATGATGGTTTCCTTCACATATGGGATTTAAGGCAATTCCCAACCAGTACACCCATAGGAACTTTCAAGCACCACACAGCACCAATCACATCAGTTGAGTGGCATTGGTCCGAGCCCAGCGTGTTAGCTTCTGCTGGTGAAGACAATCAGGTGGCTTTGTGGGACTTGGCTGTTGAAAGGGATGATGAAGAAGTTGTTGATGAAGAATTGAAGGTAAAACATTTTGTTTATAAGCTGGTGTTGAACAGTACCCATCTTGCTTTTTTTCTGCTACAAAATTGTAAAACACAATTTCTTGCTTTTTTCTGCTACCAAATTGTTTGCTATGGATACCTTAGGAAAAATTGAAGTTCAAGATTTGACTTGGCTAGTTTTTACCAGTAAAGCAAGTTTTTAGAAGAGTGAGACATGTTGACCTTCCAATATAAAAACAGTAACTTGCATATAACATAAAGAATATATATATATATATATGTGTGTGTCGTGTTATCCATATACTACGAACATCATCTTTGGTGGTTACTCATCTTGTGGGCGTTATCAGGGCTCAAATAATAAAGTATTCAGTGCTCAATACACAATAATCAGGGAAGTCACAATGTTATAAACTTGAAACGGTAATTCTAATGATTTAGAGCTAGCGGGTTCACAGTCACCGATCATAGACTTCCAACTACAATATCAAAGCAAAACTATGATCCACCATGATCAACTGACTTTACTAAACCACGTATCTGCAAAGAATGTCGTGATGGCGTCTCGACCCCGCTCGAGACTAAATCACTGCTCTAAATTCAAAATCAATTTAAAAGCAATAATAAGTAAATTAAAGAACATAGTGACTTTAAACAATAATAAGGTTTCATAACAGAAAAAGGTAACTAAATCCTCCTCTATATATATATATATATATATATATATATATATATATATAACATATACATAACTTGTATGCAAAAACCTGGGAACTTTTGTGCTGACTGTGTCTTCTCTTTACATTTATAGTTAAATTTCATTTCAGAATCTTCCCCCACAATTGCTGTTTATTCATCAAGGGCAAACTGATATCAAAGAACTCCATTGGCACAAGCAAATGCCTGGTGTGATAGTGACGACTGCACATACTGGTTTTAATATATTTAAAACAATTAGTGTATAAAATAAAATGATAAAAATAACAAATATGTTTTATTAAAAAAAAAAATTGTATTTGCCATGATTTTTACACAATCATTAAACCTTAAAATCCAAGATATTTCAATGTAGTTCAGAGACTGTTATGGTCATCTTTAGTTTGTACCATTGCAAGATTTACAAGATGGCGTATTGTGGGCCTTCCGTGGGGGCAATTCTGTAAAGATAAACTTATTTTTATTAAATTTAATATATGTGCATAATAGCTATCAATGCCACAACACATAACCTCTCTATAGTTTATGGACTAATTAAAGAGCTGTGCGAAGATAAAAAAATAAACAAATACTATTGTTATAGTGTGTACTTGTGTTTGTATCTAAAATTGAGGGTTGATAAGAATGTATGTGAATCTAGTCAACGAAGGTTAACTTCGAGGGTTGGAACGGACGCAGAAATGCGCTTTACGAAACAAGGGTTATTTCTAGACTTGTGTTTGACATATCTTGAAGCAACCAGCTACGAAAATGCAACAACAGCAACGAAATGTATATAGCAAATGTTGTATCGTTTTTTTCCGACTTCAATTAAAGATATTATATATCTGACAGTAATTAAAAATAAAAGCCAATAGCACTAGGCAATATCGTAGCTAACTATTAGTGAAAGAATTTTCAGGATCGGATAAGTAGTTTCAGAGACTGACCCCTATTCCTATAAACTTTACAATGCTACACATACGAATTTTATAATATTAATGAAGATTTAAACTAACATTTTTATTTATTCATTAAAGAAGTATTTATTTACCCAAGGCTTATCAATATCTGCCATGTGATCAACAAGTTTCCGCATGTCAGCTTTGCCGAGGGCAGTGCCTATCATGACAGACTTTCGGCAAGCTCTCGATGCGAACATTGCTCTCACTCGACTTGGTCTGCAGTGTTCCGATTGATTTTCCTATAGGGAAAAATAGTTTTAATATGTAAGTGGAAATGGCATAACATTTTTGAAGATATACTTATTTTGACACGTTTGAAAAAAATTATGGATAAAATTTTTACGATGCGAGCGACATGATGATGTTAGCTGCATTTCTGTTACAATCAGAGAGTTGTGACATACGGGATGGAATCTTTAGCTATTTTTGTTCTGTTACGCCAAAGAAGTATAACTATTTACGTGCGTACCATAAGTGTGTACACACACATTTTTTTTTTCAAAGTACTTATTAAAGTACTTATCAAAATAATAATTAAAATAAGGGACTCACTTTAAGCATAAATAAAAGTTCTTCAATGTCTTCTTTTCCAAATATCCAATTCTTTGACATCGGCAATGTTAGAAGTTTAACTCTCTTTGTAGGTGGAGCATGTTCATCTATTTTAAATGTAAAACCATTCTTTTTAAAAATACCCAAATTGTCCAATAAAATTTGTTCATTGACACCTGTTAGTTCCAATTGTTGTGGACTAAAAAAACGATTGAAACAATATATGTTATGGGGTTTTTACCTATTCAAAAAATAACATACTTAATAATTTGATAGCGATAGAACATATTAAATGCAATAGTAAATTTTAGTTGCTATTTCAAAATCAATCAAGTCTCGACTTACAACATATATACATAAAATAAAATTCTGAGATGAATCTGTATATTCAATATTTTTTGGAAAATAGAAGAAAAAGGAAAGCGTCATTATTATCGATACAGAGGCTGATATCTCAGAGATGAGATATTTTCCCGCAATAAAAAGTATCCTATATGTTGACCCGGATAATCAGCTATCATCATATCAAAATCCTTCCAGTGGTTTTTCCGTGACGCGGTTACAGACATACAGACAAAAATCCAAAAAACTAGATTCGGCCTCGGTATCAATGATGACTATTTCAATAATATTTTCAAAAAATATTTAATGTACAAATTCGACTTGGTTAGAATTTTATTATATATATAGATAAACTTCAATATAAAGTACCTGGGCAACTAAACCCATTCAGTGAAATTGTAATTAACTGCGACATATACAAGAATTGCTTGTTTTAATATAATTAGATATATACATAGATATGAATGTAACTTACATTACCAGCTTCTGACTGGTCAATTCTGTTGTTCTTTGTAATGTTTCAAAATTATAAATTTCATCAGTTGCATGTTGATCAATAATGAACAGATCATCCTCTAACTTTGTTATTATAAAACCTAAATTAAATTGACCTACAATAGTCATTTTCTTAAAAGATTCCTTTGATATTTCTTTACTCAACTCTTCTTCACATTTCTTATTGAACACAGGATTTATTGCTGCTTTAAATTTTATCCTATCAGGATTAGATTTACTATTCTTTTTATTATATATTTCTGTCAATGCCTTCACGTGTTCTATAGAAGTTTTTAAATTAACAGATTTTCGTGAATACTTGCCGAGGTCTTCCTTATCTGTTATTACTTTTTGTACTTTTGACTTGGGTGTTTTAATAAGTTCTTCAGTTTTGCAATATATAGTGTGAGATTCCTCAATTATATCATCTGAATGATTTTCTATGTGTATTAGTGGTACTTTATTAAAATAATCTATATATGTAAGCTCTTTTGAAATTTCATTTTCATGGATATTTTCACCGTTTGTATCGTCATTGTTACTGATATTTGCATCTATTATGTTATCACTTAATTTTGACTCTTCATTAATTTCTTCATTTCCAATTGCTTTTTCTGTAATGTCAGTAACAAAGCTCTTTTTTATTGAAATGTAACTATCTAAATTAGTAGTAGATTTTCTTTTTAATTCTGATTTTTCTGGATTCTGGTTAGCTTTATTAACTGAAGATGTATCAGATTGATTGCTAAATTGTTTTATGAAAGACTGAAAAACTCTAGGCTGCTTTAATTCAGGTTCAATTTTCTGACTAAGAATATTAGAAGCTTCTACTTTTAAAGTTCTAGGTATATCTTCAAATAGTTTGAGCAAAGAAGTTTTTAATACATCTAATATGGCTTTTTCTTTTGTCAGAAATACTTTCCTTTTATCAGGAGTAACATTAACGTCTACACTCAGCCTCTCTATATTAATATTAAGGAAAACAAAAGGATATTGATTTCCATTATACTGTCTATAAATTTCATTCACAAGTTTTATAACTTTGGTGGGTTCACAAGGTCTTGAATTTACATAAAAGAACTGCCTATCAGTGCTAGATCGCCCACTGCCATGAGCACATGAAGATATATATCCTATAAGTTCCACAGGATTAGGTATATTTCTATATCCTTGTGTTTTCTGAGTGCCAGTTATTTCTTGTGAACATTTTATTTCATCATTTTGAGCATCATTTGAATCTTCAGACAAATCAATTTCAACATCTTCTATATTCACACTTTCCTCATTTTCTTTTACTTCTCCTGATAAACCCCTAAATATATTGTCTTTTATATTAGTTACCAGCTCGGTCTTTATTTCAAGAATACTTTGTAGTTGTTTAATACCAAAAACACAAGCAATGTTATCTTTATACGAGCTTGAACCTTGTGTTGCTACAACTAAGGACTTATTATTAGAACTTGTTTGATTACTACATGTTATTCTGAAAATTATGTATATATTAATTTAATATCTTATAATTAGTAAAAACATTCATTTTTAAATACTCTTTCAACATAATTATTAGTTATTTATACTAGGAAGGTTTTATACTATGTTTATATAATATTACATATAGTAACTAAGTTTATTTCTTAAATATTAAGCTTACAAATAAATAAAGAATTCATAATATATTTTTTATATATTAGTTTTAAACCTTTAGTAATATTTTGTGATATAGGCATTTTGTTTTTACAAATAGTATAATGTACTTACTTAACTCCTTTACATATTAAACAATATGCATATAGCAGGTTTGTCATTTTATTAAATTCTCTTTTAGCATTTTTATGAAATTCTTTTAGCCTTACTGGAAGGGAGCAAAAGAGATTTGTTAAAGTTACTGTAGTTCCAATCTGGCGAGAACAAGGTGTCTTGTTAATTATGTTTCCTTTATGGTCAAATTCTATTTTTGTAGCTAAAACCAACAAATTATTCATTAATGATCACCGATTATAATAAATCATGATTATAATTTTTTATGACAAAATTTGATACAAACCAAATTCACTTCTTTGATGTCTTGTTGTTATGGTCAGGTTTGCTAAAGAACACAATGAACTTAATGCTTCTCCTCTAAAGCCAAAACTTGATACACCAAGTAAATCTGAATATTCACTTAACTTAGAAGTATGATACTTTAATGCTGCAAAAAAAATATATTAAATAGTTTACATCATAAAATATGAGGATCATAACAAGGTACATTATTTAATAATTATAATCATACTTAATGCCGTGAAATTATCTTCTGTTACACCTGTACCATTATCTGAAACTTCAATAAGGTCTACACCGTAATTTTTGAATCGAATATCCACATTTGTAGCACCAGCATCAAGAGAATTTTCCACTAATTCTTTGACGGCTACTGCAAGACTTAGAACCACCTTAAAAAAGTTTAATGACCTTCTTTTTATATGTTTTGAAATAATATTATTATTTCTATTGACAAAATAAATATAATTACCTGTCCGGAGCAAATTTTATGAACGGTATCGTTATGGATGGGTTTGATAAGATTGATAGAAACATTGTTTTTAATATCCATGATTTTTATAGATTTTAGATTATTATAAATTAGAACTTCATAATAAATAAATTAATAAAAAATAAAAACTACGAAGTACGATAAAAGATGATTTACCGCGTACCTTTCAAATTTACTTGCTTAGATTATGTCATAGATTCATAGAAGCATAGATTATGTAAGTTGTCTGTGACTCTGTTGTAAATTGTAACCACAGACCAGGAACAAGTTGTAACTTTTTTATTTTCCTTGCTTAGCACTATACCTACCCTACCCCAGCCTGCAAATTTATGATATTCGCAATGAAAAAAATACTAATCGATAAATTTTTAATAGCTCAATTCAACTACGTAGCCCTTCCAAATTGCTCACCATTAATTATTTAATTAAAAATCAATAAAGTCCTTGAAAAAAAATTCATTTATCCGTATATTCAAATTTCTATATCTTTTGATATATACAATATTTTAAATTGCTCAAAGTTCTAAAATACTGCTCAAGTTGCATTTGTAATTGCTCAAGTAGAGTTCTCACCAGCTCCACTTTCCTTAATTATTAAATAAATATAAATAGTTTGAATAAATTTAACGTAACGGAATCACGTAATGTGAACAATTCATAAATTCAATAAATTTAAAGAAATCCACCGAGAAACAGAATTAAGACGTTGAATTGGAACGATTGTCCAAGCCCGCCGAGGCCGACCGACAATGCGCGGTGCGCATGCGCACGCTCACTTAACCTACGTTACATTTATTACAACTATACTTTTAATTATTTAATAATCAGCGAAAGTGGAGCTGGTAAAAACTCTACTTGAGCAATTACAAATGCAACTTGAGCAGTGTTTTAGAACTTTGAGCAATTTGAAATATTGTATACATCAAAAGATATAGGAGTTTGAATATACAGATAAATTAATTTTTTTTCAAAGACTTTATTGATTTTTAATTAAATAATTAAAGGTGAGCAATTTGAAAGGGCTACCTAGTTAAATTGAGCTATTGAAAATCTATCGATTAGTATTTTTTTCATTGCAAATATCATAAATTTGCAGGCTGGGGTAGGGTAGGTTAGCACTATGGATGACAAATAAAACTTAGCACAGACCATGGATGACAAATAGAACAGACAATTAGCACATTTTGATTTTATTTGTTTAGATACACACATTATAAGGAAAAATAATTTACTTTTGTAATTATTAATATTGTATAACAAACTCATTTATTATATATCAGAGATACATAATAATTTAATAAGACTATAATTATTATTTACCATTAGGAGGAAGTTCTTTTGCATTGAACACATCTTAACTTCTTACATAAAAATCGATTATTAATCGAAATCTACATGATGAACATCTCTAGTATTTTCTATTTCGTCTCCTGTCAGGCTGTCACATAATGTAGCAAAATACTCTATGGCTGTCATGTCACCTAGTCAACTCACTTCACACTTGTCAGTTGTCAATTTTCAGTAAAGTTCGAGATTTTGTTAAGTGAATTGCGTATATTTTGATTTACACAGAAAGAAAAATATTTAAAAATATTTGTATTGTTTAATTTTCATTATGTCTTTGAATACTGCCCACGCCGATCACGGAGTGCTAATTCATGCTGGTGAATGGTAAGCTTTCTTTGTTTTTCAACAGAAATGATAAGATGTGGTGTAATCAATAGTTTTATATTATGAGTCATTTCTCATAACTATAGAAGCTAAATTATCTATTTGCGATATATACTTACATATTATCATTTATATATTATGATCTTGCATATTCTACTCTTTCTTATACGTACATACCCGTAAAATTTGGTGTGGGTACATAATTTACGCTATACTTAACATTTGCATTTACGCATCCTTTTACTTTATTAATATGTAATAATTGTCTGAAATTCAACTTTATTGACTAGTAATAGTTCCTAAATTGATGTGAAATAATCCACCTATAAAAATTGTCTTCAATTATAAAATTGTTGATGATTAAAGGTAATCTTTAAACAAAACGTTAAATAATTATTAGCGTAGTATTGTTTTACTTCAACATTTATTTCAAATATGTATAAATTCTAGTTTTAATGTATATTTTTATACTTAGTCTATTACATGGGAAAGAAAAACTTAAATATTTAGTAATGTTAAGAATATATACATATTACTTATTAAGGAATAAAAGAAATTAATAAAGTTTTACTTGTAAAAAAATAGAGAATTAAATAAGAAAGTAAATTAGGAATTGCTAATCATAAATTATAGTAAATATTGATTTTCCTGCTTGTGTAATAATGTGGTGATGGTAGTCAATTTTCTACAATAACTTGACCAATCAAAATTGAACAAGTGATAAAACAGTTATAAACATATAATTTCAGGATGAGGAAAATAAGAACACAGTAAACCAATGCAATAAGCTTTATATTATCACTTTTTACTTTATAAGTTTTATAATATCACTTCAATTTCCGTATTTCCATCTAATATAACAATTAAATGTAGTTTTAACGATCACTTTATATCACTACTATTTAACCAATCACAGGAAAACTTTATCTTTTTACTTTTTATCTTTTTACACATAAGTCTACCACTATTTTGATCAATAAGTTTACCAGCATAATTTCAATATTATTTTAACAATGATTACTTATCTTTTCTGGCGTAATGCACGTCTGTCAAAAACTAACCCTTCCAACGGTTACCTTATGCTTTTATATCAATCAGCCGGAAGTGAAATTTTAATTATTTTTATAAAATCATCCTAAAAATCAGTTGAGTATCCATAATTTATAATTTAATTTTATTAAATTAAACAATAGTATTTCAGAATTTTTAAATGTAATAATATAATTATGAACTTCTTACTATTTGATTTATTTTCAAGCATTTATTTATAAGCATATAATTACAAAATTAGTAACTCGAAAATATGTTTAATTTTAAGATATTGACTGTTAAATTATTATATTTTAATATTTCATTAAAAGTATAATCAACAGATGTTCCATATTAATTTGGAGTAGTCAAATATTTCCTGTTAATTTATTAATGACTTTTAATGAAAATATTATTATTCATGATTTCTAATTATGTATATTATTTTATTATGTACAATTTTTCTACTCCGTCTAAGCTTTTTTTTTTTTTTAACGTTGGGAAATGCATTTACGCACGACGTGTGGGACTCACCGGCGTAATACAACCAGTACTACCCACTAAAACCCAACAAAACCTTCCCCCGTCTTAATGGGGCGTCGCAGGATCGCTTACGCATTCAACTACGACGCCCCGACGGCAGGTCTGCCAAAGCAGACCACCACAACCATGGGGTTGCTCCAAGGTCCACTCTGCTATCAGAGAAGTACCAGGAGCAACCCGCAAGGTACACCGCCCCCCGAAGAGGGCCACTTCCCACCGCCCACCGAAGTGGGCAACCTCCCTGTGCGTTTCTTAGCTTCGCTACTACTACTGAGCCCCCCCACCACGACAAGGTGAACGCACGTTGGGGGGGACTCCGTCTAAGCCTAGCCTAACACAAGTGCTAGCTTCTAGTGTTTTATGTTACTTTTATATTATCATCTTTATTTTTCAGCATTATTCTATTTTCTGATAATGTGTCAGTTGAGTTCTATGGAAATGAAACACAAGAATTTAAAGGAACAAAGAATGGTCGTATGTATCTTACCAGCCACAGAATGATTTATAACTCAAAGAATAATTCAGATCCGCTCAGATCATTTAGTTTTCCTTTCATTGCACTTCAAGACGTAAGTATTATCATAGTATATTAATTATTATTGAAGTAAATTTGTGCTATAAAGAGTATTCAGTTTTTATAAAATCTATACATATAATAAAATTGTAACTAAGGCGTATCTGTACATTAGATATTTTTTGGAAAATCTTTTTGAAATAAACATTAGTATCAATACAGAGGCCGAATCTATAGTTTTTAGAATTTTTGTCTGTCTGTTACCGCTTCACAGAAAAACCACTGGAGGGATTTTGATGAAATTTGGTACGGTGATAGCTGATTATCCGGGTCAACATATAGCATACTTTTTACTGTGGGAAAATATCTCATTTTTGAAAATTGAAAATATAAAAACTGCAATGTAAGAGTATATGAATATGTAAAACCTAAGAATTTGGTTTTTGGTTATCTGAACGCGGGTGGAGCCACGGGCAATGCTAGTGATTTATAAAAACTTAATACTCGTATACCAATATATCAAATTATTTTTAGGTGACTGTTGAGCAACCAATGTTTGGTGCTAATTATATAAAAGGCAAAGTCAGAGCACAACCTAATGGCAATTTTATTGGTGAAGTAAAATTTAAATTAACATTTAAGTCTGGAGGAGCCATAGAATTCGGACAGGCTATGCTGAAGGCTGCACACCTTGGTAAGTTAATTATGTATATTTTATTGTTCTTTAAACGTTCTTAAAGTTTCAATTCAATTTTCTTGTTAAGCCATTAACAAACTTGCCAGTTGAGCACAGATTATGTTTTAAAATTTACTGAAACATATCTTATCTTTTTATCATATTTGTCATTTATGATTATCAGTCTAAGTAATTACATTACTTCCAAGCTATTTTGTATGTGTACATTTGTATATTGTATTATAATAGTAGTTTTGTCTATTGCTTTGCATGTAGAGAATAAATTTGTTTTCTCTATAGAATTCATTAAAGAAGAAAAAAAAGTAAATTTAATAGAATTTCATCAATGTCCTGCAAGAATCTTTCGAGTGATAATAAAAAATATTCTAAAGATGTTCCCAATATAAGGCTCTTTTTTTTAAAAAAATCTCGTTATTTCATTATTTTGTATTTTAAATACTTGGAGAAAAAGACCTTTTCTGAACGTGAGTAATATTCATGTTCAGAAGTTTAATAGTGAAAATTGTCTCGAATTTTTTTTTGCATCTCTTTAGCCGTATTTCTATTCTTTAGTAAATCAACTTCAAGAAAAAAAAAAAAGAAAGGTAATATTCACGTTCAGAAGTCACACGAAAAGGTCTATGTTACTCTACTTGGAAACTTAAAAAATCTTGAGCGACCTTTAAGTATTAAAATATCGACTTGAAAATTTCAGAATCCTAATCATTGTGTCCTCACGATGTTTTCCTTCACTGTTAAGACAAGTGGTAATCATGTTGGAAAAGATTTGCACATGAAAATATCAGAGGTGCAAGACCCAGGATTTGAACCAGCTTCACTCGGTTTCCCAAGCGAGTGTGTTACCATTGGGCTATCACTGCCTTTTTATTTTAATATATAATCGATATTAAGGCAGTGGTACCCCAGTGGTAACGCGCTCGCTTGGAAAACCGAGTGATGCGGGTTCAAATCCCGGGTCTCGCACCTCTGATATTTTCATGTGCGAATCATTTCTAACATGATGACCACTTGCCTTACGGTGAAGGAAAACATCGTGAGGAAACCTGCATGTCTGAGAGAACCTAGCAAGTTTTCGAAAGACATGTGAAGTCCGCCAACCCGCACTTGGCCAGCGTGGTGGACTATGGCCTGATGCTCTTCTTACTGAAGGGAGGCCCGTGCCCAGCAGTGGGACGTTAAAAAGGGATGAATACAATAATCGATATTTCCAGCGTCACGGCACATGTCGCCCAACGCGCCGCCGCCGCCGTACGCACCGCCCACCGGCCCCTGGCACGCCGCGCCGCCCCCCGCCTACGCGCCGCCCCCACAGGGATACTATGGCTGGGTGCCACCATATAGTGTAAGTTATATATAAATTATCCTACATTTCGCCTACTTCTGCTGACATTGAGTTTTTTGAAGTACTACTTCTTTTGACACATTTGGAAAAAAATATGAGAGTAAAATTTTTACCATGCAATACGCACACCGACAGCCAAAAAGCAACATGATGAAGTTAGCTAAATTCCTCTTACAAACAGAGAGTTGTGACATAAGAGATGAAATCTTTAGCTTTTTTTTTTGTTTTGTTACGCCAAAGAAGTATAACTTCTTACGTACGTACACACACATGTTTTTCACATCCATTCACGGAAAAGCATGGAAAAAAGTAGTAAATGATGAAAATCCGTATATTATCAGAGTACAGTAACACGGCTCTAAGAGGCACGAGAAGAATTGTGGGCGATATTAGCGCGTATGTGCACTCGCGTACTAAAGTGCTAAACCTTATAAAGTTCATTTCTGACGTACCTGTCCTAATAGTTCTTAAATAATAAAACAATTTTTACTATTAGTATATTGTTATATTAGCTGTAACGTACGGCTCTTTCTGGTCCATCCTAATTTCTGAAATATAAATTCTATCAAGATAATAAATGCTGGATTTATTATTTTGATAGAATTTATATTAATAAACTATACTTTCTTACATAAATTATATATTTAAGTAATATAAAAGTATTATCTGTAATAATTAACTATCATTTAAATATTTGTTGTATAGACAATGTAAAATTATTTTTCAGGCATTCCCTGATCAACCATCACCAAACTCAGTATTTGTATCGAGTAGTCCCCCACCATATCCGGGTGTAATGGGCACTGCCTATCCACCCGGTGCAGGATTTCCTGGAGCAAGTGGACCGAGTCCAACAGGTGCGAATGGTTTTCCGGGTAACATGGCCCCGGGTTACCCTGGTAACGTTCCCCCTGGCTACCCGGGTAATGCGCCGCCTGGTTACCCAGGTAACATGCCCCCAGGTTACCCCGGCGGCTTTGCGTCAGCACCCAACATGTCATCAAGTGGTAAGATAAACATTTATTCTTAGGAGTTAAATAAAATTTTGTTGTTTACAGGTTACCTAACCATTATTAAATGGATTCCACTATATTAAAGGTAGTATTGATAAGATGTGTGTTATAAGAGCTAAAATATGTCATTGCTCATTTATAAAAAAAATGTATTCACATAATAGTAGCAACATATTTTAGGATTTGGCTAATATTACTTGTCTTTGCCTTCTAACATCAATATAATTTTAATCACAATCAAATATGAGTTGTATGAGAGTTTTCGATTATAAAAATAAAATGCATTACATAACTTAAATAACTTATCCTCAAGTGCATCATTTAAACAACTTATTTAAAACATTCCCGATTTTAGTACCTAAAACTATTTTCCCTATATTATCATGGTGCGGGTGTCATTAGTCAAACCGTTCCTTTTCAGTTATTTAATGTTCCTATGATTCACAAACATGACGTCATATTTCTGTTCTAACCCAAGTACATATTATGAGCGTAAATTATTGATAATTGTGGTAAGTCAAAGATTTTAAAAATATATTTGAATTATTATGAGTACCTATGCAACTATTTTTAAATACACTCTAAATTATAAAAAATATGATGCGCTCTGTTGTGTATGTAACGTAACGTATTAGTGATGGGACATTGTTGTTACGATAGATGGTCGGTATTTGAAGGGAAGTATTTTTGTACGTTTTTAAAAAAAATGTTTTCATGTAATAATTTAAGAGCGAAAAACGAATTATGTACCAACGTTTTACGTATCTGATGCAGCTATGTGTAGTTTAACTACCTTTTTTGTCACATAATTATGTGTCGGCCCTCAGGCTCGGTCTCCCGCCCGCGCAGCTCATTCGGCTCGAAGGACTAAATTTGTGTAGGCCGTAACGGGATTTTAAATGAAAGCAGTGGACTGTATATGAATTACGTATAATCTAATGAGAGCATATGGAAGTGTCCGTACTCCGTGGCACAGGTAGGCTAAGTGGCCGCGGTCACATGCGCTCGCGGTCGAGGAGGGTCCCCCGCCCGCGCAACTCATACGTCACGCGCCCGGTGAGAGGGAGACGCGCCGACATAATTATGTGAAAAACATTTAAATATTCAAACTTTCTAGAGGTCTATTATAACGGATCTCAGATTCAGAAAGTTATATTTCAATACTTTAGAATTCATGATATTTTTTTTAGAATATATGAAAAGACAAGATGAGTTTCGTGTTAACTGAAGTTTAAAATATTTTTTAGATTTCACTCTGTGAACATTTTTATCGATAATATTGATTAAAAGCTGTCACTTCGCAATTCATTTGGTACTGACAAGTGTCACCCGCACCATGCTATAATGAAAATAGTATAACAGACATTGTAAAGGAATGGATTACTGTTTTACTTAATGAACTTGTCTTAACTAATTTTAATTAACTTCTTTAATATCTTTGTTTTTATTTCTTAAACTATCAATGTAGACCTAATAGTTAATTTTTATTGAAATATTTAAAATAATCTTATCGGCATTTCATACTACAATGCTCCAATGTGAGTAGGTATGTTAGAACATTAACATTGTTTTTATTTCATATTGTAGAAACACGTTCTTTAATAACATAAGTAATTTTTGCAATCATATTATAAGTAGTTTATACATGATATAATAATTTTGGTAAGTATTGGGTATTAGTAATGTTCGTTTTGCAGTAGTTTGTATAATATTTGCAGATGCGAAGGCAGCAGAAGCAGCACAGAGTGCCTATTACGATCCCAATAAGCCCCAGACTGCTTATGTACCACCACCATACAATGTAAGTATTAGTATAAAAGTTGTTATCATTCAAGTTTCTAGTTATATTGTGAATTATTGTATGTTTCAGTTATTATAATAATCTTTTTCTTTCATTTTTCTTTACTTACTGCACTATCATATTTCTTAGTTTTGGAAATTTTTGAATTAATATATTTTTTGACAAAACTTTTGTTTTCATTATGAATAAAATAAATCCGTATTTACTATATAAATGTGAAAGTTTATGAGTATGGATGTTTGTTACTCTTTCACGTCAGAATATCTGAACGGATTTGGATGTAATTTGGTACAGAGATAGATTATAGTCTGGAATAACACGTAGGCAACTTTTTATCCCGGAAAAATGTACGGTTTTCGTGGGATAGGTGTGTTCGTGTCTACTTAGAGGCGAACCCGAGCGAAATGAGAGTGAATCGCTAGTAATTAATAATTTCGTAATATATTAAAATAATATTGTACATCTGCAGGATCAACCGCCGACTTATCAGGAGTCTACATCGAAAAAAGACAACTAATGCACTGTCCACACTACCACATGAATACACGTCACTCTTCTTAATATCATTCTGGAGAAAGAAAATAAGCTTATGTAACAAACACATTGTGTAAATAATTGCATTTACTCCAAAATATAAATGTGCTATTATTTTGCCTTTACATTCCACCTGAAGATATGTGCTAAAAATGTGCTTATATTTAAAATTATTGCGCTTGTTGTATTTGTTAATTAAAAATATAAAAATGTTTCGATATATAATAATCATTAAATAAATATTTAGTATATAATGATAAAGCTTCATGGTGATGCCTTTACGTACAAACTTTATCCCTTGATTAAATATGCTGAGCTTCAGTAAAAGTCATAAGTTCTAAAAGTAATTGTAATTCAGAATGCTTTGGTATTTAATATAATAAATAATAATATTTAATGGCTTTACTATAGGAGTTTGTAAAGAATAATTATAATAATTAATAATTTCGTTTTATTATAACAACTGTTAAAAAATAATTGTTTACTTTTATATGTATTGATAAAGGAGTCGTATATATTCTATTATAGATATTTAACTATTAATAATAACATAAAAATCTATTTGAAGTCGAGGTTGAGAATAAATATTACATTTTAATCAATACAAATATTTTATATGAATTACTACCATTTGGTCAATGTTCGGTTTTTAATTGTTAAAATTTAGTACAATTGTCACTTATTTTAACAGATTTCACTTTGCTAGGGCTTGTTTATACTAGGTACTATTAATCTTTTATTGTCTTGGACAATAATAGAATTAAAATTATTTATTGATTTGATTGTATTTTAGTATTAATTGAATAAATAGTATTCTTGTATTGAAAAAATGTTTTTCTTTTTTTTTTACAAACCCCTTCTGTAGATCATGATGATGAAGATACATAATATTTACTTAAAAATATAAAATGAGGTCTTAATATAAAAATCTGTATTTCTGATATATTTAAGTCTTAAGTTGATCAAAATTATTATTGGTCAAAAATCTAATAAACCTCTGTAGGACATGATATGTTAAAAAGCTAGCTTATGTCAGTATTGAAAAAAAGAAGATAAATTTACTCTTCTGTCAAACGTGCAAAATTACAAGTTATATTAAAACTAAATATATTAAAAAAATAGTTTTTGCCATGAAGTAAAATAATAAAATCGACTATAATTTCGGTTTCTTCTTAATATGGGTATGTTAGCGAAATAAGGAGTTCAATATTGAGCAACTTTGTACAAAAACCAGTCAATGTAGATTTTTATTCAATCATGTAAGTCAGTTTATTTTTGTCTGCCACTCAAATGAGATATTTGCAAGTTGATTCCGTTCCTTCAAATTGATTTCTTCCTTCCAATATTTAAATATATACATATTATAATATCTTAAACTTTGGTACAAAGTTGTATTCAAAATATTTATATTTCAATTTTTATTGGCAAAATATTTTATTTATTTTTTCACTTTAGTTTAAGGTTACGATTATAGAAGAAACATGAATAAACGTTGTGAGTATATTTTTCTATAATATTTATTTTGTTGCATTTGGTCAACTATACACTAAGCGGTAACTTTAATATGGCGTTTTTTGTGTTTTTTAATTATTCGGTAATCTCATTGTTTTTCTTATAAATACTTGAGTTAAGTGATAAAGTTATATTTGCAAAAGTTGGTAAGTCTATTAATTCCTTATATTATCGGAACTTGAGTGGCAGGTTAATGTAAACTGGCTTATATTAAGTAGGTACTTTTAGGTTTGTCCTATATACGTAACAATAAATATTTTTCAGAGTAAAGCTTGCTCATGGCTCCCTCGACGCATCCTCCCTGTACGCCAACAGCGTCATGCCAACCAATAAGATGTCATCCTACGCCTCCACCATGTCGAAATCCAGAAAAATGTTTGAAAAAGACGAGTTCAAAAGGTCTAAAGCCTTGCAGAAGCGCTGTGTCTATAATGGCGACCAGGCCCAAAGCATCGTGTGCAAGTTGTGGCAAGTTCGGGACTAAGACCTCAGATCCTCGAAATGTAAAATCAGTAGAAAAATTTCTTAAAGAAAAGTCTAAAGAAGCAAAAATGAAAAAAAAAGATAGACTTAAAGGAACTAACTCTTATGCTAATTATATGAAAAAGAAAGGTAGGCCGAAATCCAAAACCGACTGCTGCGCCGGTAAAGGACACAGAGGACGATTAAAAAAGTCAAAAAAATGTTGTGAAATTCTATAAAAAATAACTCAAATTTCATGCATTTTAAATAAATGATATATTTTAAATATATTATAAGCAATTTGAGCTTATGAAAATGATATCTTGACGCAGTGGCGCGATAAAATATACTAAAATTTATATATTCCTTTCCTATTATAATAATTATTGTAACAAGCTCTTTAGACGTGTACCTATGCGAAATATTGAAATATACTAATTTTATAATATGTATTGATGTTTCATTTTATTAAATCATTGCGTTTTTGTAAGGTGTAAATAAAATAAATACCATTTAATAAATAAAAGTCATAACAAACTACAAAGACAAATTTTTCATTACCTAAGAAAAATATATACTAGGTCCACCTGTTCCTGAGAATATCGGTGGTAACACACGGACAGACAGACGGACAAGATAGTGATCCTATAAGGGTTCCTTTTTTACCTTTTGAGGTACGAAACCCTAAAAATAATATGTAATTTATTTTGCAGCTGTATATTCGACAAAAAGCCTTAAACCTTGCGTATCAGAGGCCTCGTGCAGTATTCATAAACATAGACCGCATCCGGTGCCTTGTGCTCAACCTGAAAAATGTTACAAGAAATGTATAAAAAAAAAAGGTACATGTCCAAGCGCTATGGAAACAATCAGTCGCCAGGGATCACCTTGTGAGTGTGCAAGAGTACAATCAAAAGACTCTAGAATGAGTAACAAACGAACAAACAAAACCCATAAAAAACGTATGCGTAAAGCTTATAAACAACGCTCTTTAGTATCTCGTTGGAGTAGAGAGAAAAAATGTTGTACTATAATTTAAATTTGAAGCTTTTATAGATCAATAACATGTAACATATTAATAAAAAAATATTCTTTTATTCAATAAACAATTATAATTTATGTTTTTTCAGTGTTTTAATTCGTTATAGGTATAATAGATATATATATGTGTATAAATCTATACATAATATAGTAAAATTGTAACTAAGCCGAAACTGTACATTAAATATTTTTTGGAAAATTTTATCGATACAGAGGCCGAATCTATAGTTTTTAGAATTTTTGTCTGTCTGTCTGTCAGTCAGTCTGTCTGTTACCGCATCACGGGAAAACCACTGGATAGATTTTGATGAAATTTGGTATGATGATAGCTGGTTATCCGGGGTCAACTTAAAGGATAGGTACTTTTTATTGCGGGAAAATATCTCATCTCCGAGAAATCTATACTAAATGTTAAAACGTAGAGAGGGACGAACCCGAGCGGAGCGAGGGTGAGTCGCTAGTTATATGTACGAATTACAGTTCACAGATGTAAATAGTAAACATATTATAATTCCTAAAGAACTACAGAGTACAGACTAATAAATGGTCATGAAGTTGGATAATATAAGCAATATAAAAGAAAAATATCGATAGCTTTAAAATAACTCGGTAAAAATAACACAGAGAAACGTCTAAAATTAATAGGACATAGGTATTTATAACGTGTATAATATATGTATTTTTACAATGATTTAATTTTTACACGCTGATTAGAATCTTAAACGTTTTAATATCGTTTTAAATAATACAAAGCAAGACGCTTTGGAGGGTTACAGTTTTAAGGCTCATTATTTATAACCGATCGCTACTAAATACAGCTTATCTCTCTTTTGGAAATCGGTTATAAATATTTAATATGTCGTCGTTTAAGTTAATTCCTTAAAACAATAAATAACATAGACCGTAAGCGTAGACGTCTATTTATTTATGAAACAAAGGAAATATAAGTAATCGATTAAATAGTATCGATATTTTAATCGAATCTTCAGGAGTGAATACATACAGCTCTATTGCTCCTTCGAAAGAGCTTCAAAATTAGCGTTAACAGAGCAAAGAGAAAGATTAAATTCTGTGGCAACTAAAGAGTGGCATCTAGTACTATTATTAATAAAGTCTGATAATTTTATACCTGAAACTGTTGGGACTTTCATACATTTAAGATTTATGTATGTTCAGTAAAAAAGTATTTTTTTATATGCGACTCTATGTTGGCCCGGATTATTGACGTTTTGTGAGTCTCAAGAATAGGCTTCCGAGTAGTGTTTGTGTCGGTCTGTAATTTGTGGGTGTGCGGTGAAACGAATTTAATTTAATTAAGTTAAAAAATTAATAATATTTTTATTTGTGAAAAGTGCAAAACTGTGTTTCATAATTTATATTTAATATGTGCTTTAAATTAGCACTGATGTGGCAAACCGGATCGCACCGAGGTAGTGAAAACGTGACTCCGTTTTAAGGTCAGTATTGGATTTTCTATTCTAATTTCGGTGCATATTTTTATTATATTAAATTAGCTACATTATTTTGGTTTATAAACATTTTTTAATAAAGTTTATCTATCCTTTATTTTGTAGATAAGATGCCCTTAGTACACATTAAAAAAATAAACTATTACAAAATGTTCGTCATAACTTTAAAAATCATGCTAAATTTTATTAAACTGGGTTGTTGTTGGTGGTTGTGGTTACTAATACTTTTCAGTATATAATACTCGATAAATATAATTATAACTAAATTATTTTGTTAAACGTTGCTATTGGTATATATTTTTATAATAAAATATTAGGTAAACTAAACAAAAATGTATATAAAACTTCATTTAGAACCACAATTTGTAAATGTCTAACTTTATGAAGTTTGCTGAGATTACTAATGAAAAATTAAAGTAACAATTAAAGGTATCATCTTTATTTAATTTCAAAACTATTGAATAAAAAAATACAATAACATATAAATACACACAAATGTGATAGTAATAAGTATCACCAGAATAGTTCTTTTAAATCAATTAAATATTCTCATTTGTAATAAAATATTAAAAAGGCATTATATGTCATATAACGGTGGTTTAAATTTAAAATTTGTATTAATAAATTATTTAAATAGACCTTTGACACTCTTAGAGACATTTGAGATGTTTACGAGTATGTATTGAAACTATTATACTTTGAATAATTTGATCAAAACTACTTTTTGTAAGCATTGTAGTTCAGTAAAAACTTTATAATAATATTTACATTATTATTATTATTGGTTTCTTTGAAACATCTTACCTGAAGGAAAAAAATGAAATTTATTTATTAGTAGTTTCTCAGTAACTATTTGCAACAGTATACACTATCATCATCTCCCTGCCCATTTCCCAATCACTTGGGGTTGGCGCAGTACATCTTCTCTACTGCTGATAGGATTTGACAAAAGTTTTACAACCGGCTGCCTGTCTGACACCAACCCTCCTTGGGAATGCTATTGTTTATCGTGGAAGCCTTGTAATATATTAATATGCACATTCCATATTGTTAATAATTCAACAGTATACACTATATAACATAAACAAGTAACTCATTCCACATTATGTAAATGCATCCATGATCCACTATATGTATGCAGCAAACCGTTGCTGCTGAGGGAAAGCAGCAAAAACAAAAGTCTCATTTATAATATTAGGTTTACTACCTATATTATATAAAAATATTGTTTAACAATGAGACTGTTAACATAGATTTTGTAGGATTTATTTGCTAGTTTTTTTCTATAATAAAATATTATACAATTTTCATAAAAATTAATACCAATAATAAGAAACATTCAAAACATAATGTCAATATATATTTTCTTTGACAATAGAAAAATTGTTAAAAATAATAAAAATACAAGGTAACCCACAATTTAGTGTGTTTTTTCATAATCTTCCTCCAATTCTCTGTAGTGTGCTTAAAAGCAAAAAATTTACTTAGTTGCAGAAGGTTTTTATACTAAGTGTCACTTGCATAAAAATTATTAATTTGGTTTTAAATGGGTCTTACATATTTTGTAATGAATGACAAATAGTCTAATTTGACATTTGCTAAACATATTTAGAATATTTAAATAAACTTAAGAATTTAAAGCACTTATAATTATAATGACGACACATTTGGCTCAGTTTGTAGTTACCCTGCTTGCTGTGCCAGTGGTTGCGGGTTTGAGTCCCGCTGGAGGCATTCATTTGTGTGATGAGCACAAATATTTGTAATCCAGTCATGGGTGTTTATATTTATAATATGTATTTATTTAAAATTATATATATGTAGTGTATCAACTATCTAGTATCTGTAACACAAGCCTCGTAGCTTACCATGGAACTAGATGGTGGTGTGTGTTAATGTCCCAACATATTTATCATATTTATCATTTATCAATTAAATTTAAGAAGATTGAGATATCCAATTCTATTTTTAACCTAGTTGATGGTATTGGACCTATGTGCTTGTGTATCATTTTAATATATGATGTGAAAAATCCTAGGAATTACTTATGAAAATTCATCTAATTAATATTGTTTTATTCTTATTAGAGCTCTACACTCTTGCTCTATACAATTTTCATAATACTTTTACTTCAAGGAATGAGGCATTGGTATCATTCTATATCTGCTTGAAAAATTGTTATTAAATCAGATCAGACAGATATAGGTTGTAGCCAAATAGATGTCAAAAGAAAAGCAAGGGCCCTCAAATTATTATTTTTTAACAGATTTATGAAAAGTACATTGGTACTTTGTGTTTATGTCAGCGTATGAGCCTATAGATTTTTAATGAAACATAAAAAATTTGCTTTATTAAATGATTCTTTAAAAATAAAAAGAATAAAAGATTTATAATTTGTATATATCATTAACTCAGTGGTCCTTGTTGACACATTTATTTTGACTAATTAAGTTGGACACACTAAAAATGTTTTTTAAATGCAATAAGGGGTAAGTATAATCCTTTTGGGAGCTACTATGACAGAGATAGATCAACATCTTTAATTTATTTTACTTTAAACTTTACTTTAACATAAGTTCCCTTGTTATATGTTGATTATTAAAAAGATAACTGATAGTAATTTTTCCTTTTGTACATACATATTTAAATAAATGCCATTATTTAAATATGTACAAAAAGAGGATTTTGTATTTAAAATATTCTTATAAAAACACATTTTACTGTAATTTATACACCTAAGTGCTAATAGAACAAAATCGGTCTTAAAATGAGAGTGGAACTAACTTTGCGCTTGTTTAGCCAGAGCGAGCATGACGTGTCCAAGTGGCAAGAAGCCGACGGCGGACCCTTCCGTGCACCCTCCATTGAGCACCCTCTCTTTGTGAAACATGTCGGCTAACTTGTTCTTAGGAACTGCTTCTATAAAAGTGTTGCAGTAGGAGTTTAGTGAAATAATTTAGCTAAAAATAACATTTACACAATCTATAGGTATATATGTAATAAAAAAAATATGAAATCTATTATGAGTCCGTTCGGCTGTTATTTCCAACCAATTTGCTAACACTTTTTTTAATGAAAGGTATTGTACACAGATTTGTCATCAAGCAATTGGAAATCACGTAATTTTCACTCTTCTCAAGTTATACTCAAACGCGATTACCTCTTATACATTTCTTATGCTTTCATAGATTTCTTTCTCTATATCTCCGGTTCTTATTGAGGTACGCGGTTCGTTTTGGTCTAAGAACACTCGCTGGAACAAGTTATTACATTTGAGCTTTTAGTCATTTAAATTGGTTGAGTTGAAGGAAGGGAAGGTAGGTGTGAACATTCAACTTGACTTTTAATATGCGATTCAACAACGTGTTGTCATTGCATTCTCAATTTACTCCACAGTCGTAATGATTCTACAAGTGGTTGCAGGGCCAACATTGATGGGCCTGGGGTTACTTCCATATAGCGGTGCACGGTGCAGTTCACAGTTGATTAAAATTGCCACTAAATTTGCATGAGCATTCGCTATTTGGCTTGAAAGTAACGAAGCCGCCATAATTCGTTTTGCAAAGTTAAGCATTTGGGATGAGGCACTTGTGGTCAACTAACATTGTGTATTAATTGACTATTATTGAAAAACATAATGTACCATTATGGGAAAAATATCATTTTAGGAGAAGATTTCCGGCAAGTTTTGCCTATTGTACCTCAAGTATCAAGGTCTGTTACAGTGCAGAACTCTATTAAATTTTCCACTGCCACTTTTCAAACTTACTCAAAATATGAGAGCAAGCGCTGATTGAATGTGAATTTACTAACGTCCTGTTCATAATTAGCGATGGTCAATATCCTGCTAATGATGACGATTCGGTGGTGCTTCCTCCCCTTAGTCCCTGATTTCAGACTCTGATATTGTCAGTGAAATATTTGGTCAAAATTCCTCATTTCCTCTTCAAATTTGATACCTCTCAAGGTATGCAATTCTAGCGTCTAAAGGTATCTGCCCACTACACCGTCTCATACCATGACTGTGCTAGGACCGTATCAGGCAAAAAAATATTCTTTGTATTGAAAAGTATGAGACTCTGCCCACTATTCCGTTCCGTCACCGTATTCACACCGCACCGTCCGTCGCACCGTCGCGTGTCGTGCACGTAGCGGTAACAATTATCGGCGAGAATATTTTGCCAGTGCCGCGCCGGTACGCTCCGTGCCTAGGACTGGTGCGCGCAGGCGGCGCAATGGTGAGCATACGCAGCACTAAAACCGTTACATACGGGTATGATACGTTCTAGTGGCCATAGTAGTCCGTGCCATGCTCGTTTCCGTCTCTGATACGTTCATAGCACGTCCATGGTATGAGACGGTGTAGTGGGCAGACTCCTTAAGAGTGGGCATTGCGATGAAATTAATAAGAAGGTTTTAGATATCCTTCCAGGTTTATCCAGAACTTATTATTCATTTAAGCGGCGAAGGCAATTTCCTATAATAGTGGCTTTCTGCATTAACAAGGCACAGGGACAAACCATTGAGCGAGTAGGATTTACTTATCTAACCAATCTTTGGTCACTGCACGGAAAATCGTTAAAAATGTGAAGATAGAAATTATAGGGTCGACCCAAAGCTAATATTGTTTGGAAAAAAGAATTGTGAAATCAGAATTATCCTATCGTGCTGCGGGGTAAAGCACGGGTCTCTAGTATTATACTATTATTTTAAAGAACAATTATTTTTGTATTATTGTTATTTGCTATTGTTTCCATAAATAATACACGTAGTACTATTAAAGTAACATAATTATTAATAAGCTAAACATATAATAATTTTACATAGGACGTAGGGCGCATTTAAACATTTAAAAAACAATTAATTACGAATAGGAACCAGAAACGGTAGGTATTTTGAAAGTATCACAATAAAGGTCAGTCGACCTTGGTGGAGTCGGAGGTGAAGTGCGGTTGCAGCATTGGTAACATGAGCTGCTTGTTCCAGATGGGCGAGCGCGCGCGGCGAGCGGGCGGCCGCGCGGCGTCGGGTGACACGCGGTGTGCGACGCTTGCGCCATACACCGGCTTCTTGCTTGTAACGTAGGTATCAATATACATATTACATACTTATATTACTCTTATTACCGTACAACTTGTCTGCAATTTGATTGAAAGTATCAATTTAAAGTTATAAAATTTATTTGCAATATTTATTATTTATTACATAAAAAATAATTAATTATTTCGTAGGCATTCCTGAGGCCAGTCCTCTCTATCCTCCAACGGGTATCCATCTGAATCCACGCAATAAGTTACATTTCCTGCGTTTTGATTAGGTCGGTAGTTTCCGTTTGGTAAGCACACTTCTGAAACTGTCATTCCTCTGTCGGGAAAATACATTATCGAGTCACGTGCGCAGTCTGCAATAAAAATATATAACTTTTGTACAAAAGAAAAAATATATAACACATCTCTGTAAGAAATACATCACATATATATAAAAAAAGAATTTAATAATTAAATATTAAAGAATATAAGAATATAAAAATATAATAATTTAGTGACCTGCATGATTTCTCATCTGATGTAATTTTTTGTATGGTTGAAAATTAAACTTTGAGGATTTGGTAGGTTTGTTACGTAGGTACATTGTTTAAAAAAGGAAACTAAGTCAACTATGTACTTTTCTTGACCTTAGTCTAGTTAAATTTTCTATTATTTTAACTTTTAATCTGCTTAAAAAAGTAATAAACTTAATAATATCTGTGATGTGTGTGATATTTCTAAATTGGCAAACAAAATTACAGACCTTTAATAAGAATATATAATATTTATATTGAGCATTTGGATAAAATGCTTCCAAATATGTACCTTTGAACTCACGTAACTCACGTCGTTAAACAATGGAGTGTTAATTTTTAAGAGAGTTTTAGATTCAAAAGTTATAAAAGTATTTTCAATGCTGGTATATATTTAATTGGATCGAAGTATTGATCGTACGTAAAACATTTGTTTAGTTATATAAGAGTTTTGCAACCATTCTTTGCAAAAGAATACTTTTACTCTTATCAAAACTAGCTTATCTCACATTCTTTATGTCACGCTTCTCTTATCGAAGGCTGTGGCTACGTATGTAAACAAGCAAGTAAACGTTGTTTTTCCTCGAACTGGTTAAACAGTTATGTTTTGGGCGAGATATCCAGTATTGCGGCTCCCGCATTCCATCAGAGCGTCAACCGAATGAATGGAGCCACACAACATGTCGGGAATAGGGTCACGGTCGCAAACCGGTCGCCCAGAGTTCGCTCTGCAATGCGTGTGCTCTAACGGTACTACCATACGTTTCCTACTATTTTGTTGTATTAGCATATTTAACATATTATTTATATTCAAATTATTTTATTTAAATGGGGCCCTATACACCAATTAAGCATGCTTTTAATATGATAATACTCACTGCAATTCATTCCAGCCATTTCACTGGCAACGACTTGCCAAGATCCCAATATTTTACCGTCCCGACCGGTGCAATAAGCGCTAAAAATGAAATAATGAAAATAGAATCAATAAAACGGAATACACAATATAAACGGTCAAAACTATTAATTACTACCAAGTGTTTAACAAGATTCTTACATTCCATTTTGTATTTGATAAGGTCCATAGCTTCCGTCATAGTCACAGAATGTTATTGGATTTCCCAAGAAAAATGTACCGTGTTCAGATTGTTCTCTACTTATAGTGGCTAGAGCATGGACTATGCTTTCACACCTTCGAAGATAATTTTCTCCTATAGTCGCGACGCTATCTAGCAAAAGCAAGAAAAGATACATTATTAATGTTGGATTTATGCGGGTGTAGATAAGTTGAACAAAACTTACATAGAAGACCTTTCAGTGTTCCACCCTATGTCACTGCCGCTTCAGTGAACGTGAGAGCGTTCTATTTTCAGAGTGTTTTGTTCAACCAATTTCATTACGTGACAATCTTTAAGAATTTGTACATCGCATGTTAAATATAACTAACTTGCTTCTGCCCGATTTTAACCGATTTCAAAAAAAGGAGTAGGTTGGAGCCGTATGTTTTTTTACACTTGTTACTGTTATTAACTAACCTACCATGCTAAAATCAAGAAAATCAAGATGTAAAAAATTAGAAATAACTGAAGGGCTTTTTAAATGGGTATCTTATCAAATATTCTCAGTTTCTTACTTTTGCAATTCATAGATATCGGTTAACATTTTTTTGCTAAATTAAAAAAAAACAGTCATATAACCACTAGTCAATTTTAAAACATTTAGAAATTGAGTGAGTTATTTAGTTATATTTTTATCTACATAATATAAAAAAAAGTTATTACGACAAGGCAACAGTTTCATGTCAACTTCTGGCACGGGAGGAACTGTGGGTTGTCCTGTTCTGGCATCTGCACACCAACACATGCCTTCATCACACTGCAACGGCTCGTAATCACCGTTGCTCGAACAATGCAGGGTGGACAGTTTATTTCGAGATTTTTCTAATTCATTCCTTTTTCGGCTGCAAGCTGTAAGGTTTATATTAACAAATAATTCATTTAAGCACGCATTGTAAGCACTAAAATGGGCGAAGTATAACATGTTTCATGTAGATAGTAGATACAATTAATTGGACCCAGTTATGCAAAAAACAGCCATGTGCGTAAAAGTACCAACAGAGTTATAAGCATTTTATTATAAAAAATAAAATAATTATAAAAAATAATCAATTTTTATATAAATATTGTTCAATTTTAAAATAACCAGAAAAACAAAACATAACCTAAGTGCAACTATCGACAGAAAAATGCTTATAACTCTGTTGGTACTTTTACGTACATGGCTGTTTTTTGCATAACTGGGTCCAATTATTATTAATGATGACCGTTTCTTCTTTATTCGACATGGAACCGACTCGGGTCTAATAATCTACCGAATAATTTTCTTTTATTTTGAAGATAAGTATTCTATGTGCCACCTTAAAAGAAACATCAAAACTAAAATTAGGTAAGCAATTCCTATTTTAAACCCATACCTATCATTATGTTAATAAAGCATTTATCGATTAACTATGATCAATAATAATAATAAGATAACGTTTTTTTTTACGTTTCAACAATAAGTTAAACTGAGTCCATTAGTCCTTTTCATGTAAAAGTAATATTAAATGATTCTATTTTATAAATTGACTACCGACTCACCCTCGCTCCGCTCGGGTTCGTCCCTAGTAGAAATTTAGGTTCGTATGTACATATTTTTAATGCCGAATCATAAAAATAAAAAAATTATAATATATTTTTTTTGTCCAAAATTAAAAATATATTTTTTTTGGGGTGGACCACCCTTATCACTTAGGGGTATGGAAAATAGTTTACGTCCTATTCTCAGACCTACTGAATATACACAAAATTTCATAAGAATCGGTCAAAAAACCGTTTCGGAGGAGTTTTGTTACAAACACTATGACACGAGATTTTTTTATATTAGAAGGTAGATGTCTTGTTAATCCATACATGTAATAAAATTGTAGCAAAGCCAAATCTGGACGAGAAATTAAAAAAAAAAACTATGTTACCTACGTATTGTGTACGGAATGATAATAGTTTTTGAAATTTTCGTCAGTTTGTCTGTATATCTTTGTGCATTTCACGCAAAAGGTACTGAACGGATTTTAACTTTTTGTGTAGTACTTATTACTCGGGTCAACATTTATGAAGGATGATGTATAGGGATAATAGGGCGTCAAAATTTTAGTCTTTTTTGACGAATCTGTCAAAACAAGCAGCTTTTACACAATAATATATTATGTTGGTAAAAGTAGTTCGATATAACTTTAAGTAGTTATTTAATATTCTATTTCGAAATAGGCACTATGAGTTAATCTGCTACCATAAAGATATGTGATTTTTTTAAATCTTTTCACTGACGTTGACATTTATGTCAAAATAAATTATTTGTGTCCTCCATAGTAAATATATTGTGAATTATATTTAAATTCAACGTCTTCTGTTTATGTGATAACAGCAATTTATTTAAAAACCAGTCTAATAATTTGCGTATTTAATTTATTTAAAAAAATTACACAATTATTTTTCATGTATCGTTTTGAGGTTAATATTTGTTTTATAACATAAAGAAATCTTACCACAAGTCATCTGCTCCGCTTGATTTTTCCACATTTGTCCAAATATTCTGTTGCCTTCTGCATCCGAACAGAAACATCTGCGCATTGTGTAAATAATACATTTTAACGGTGAAACGTCGATGCATTGGAGCGCGAACAAATCAATTAATCAATATATAATATGTTCGTTTCTTAGGAGTGTAATATTTCTAACATAACCTAAATAATCGGCTTCCAAAAAAAAGTTTAAAATTAAAATAGTGAACTTGGATAAAGCACCTACATGTTTCATAATTTAATTTAACGACTACCTTCCAACGAATATATCGCCTTTGCATTGCACAGGTGCGTAACGTCCATCCGGTAAGCAGTTAGAGGGGGGTTTGCATTCTCCCATAGGAATATCTGTGTGAAAGAATTGTTATTAGTTTAACGCTGTTTATGACGATCGTATATAAATTATAATAGGCATATTGAAATGATAATACTTTTTGAAGTATTTAAAAATAGAAATTTTATTACAAACAAAACATGTCTACGAGTTAGCTTTTCCGTATAAATTATATGGCCCTACAAGGCCCTAACATCGTAATGATTTATTGTTGATTGCCAATAGTTATTTTAAATGTCTATGCACATATACTCAACGGCACAAAAAACATTTTAAATAGTTATTAACCAGATAAATGACGTTAGTAAAGTTTAACCTGTGCTATTGTTGTTATCACCCTCACTAGGTTCTCCACAACCAGGGCAGCAACCATGTATACTTGCATAGGGAGTCAGTGGAAGCCCTGGGCCACATTCACTTTGAGAAAGATCAGTTATACATACTTCGGCTATAGTACACCGAGAAGCATTACTTTTATGATTCACTGTAATTATAATCAACAACAAGTAAAAATATATTTTGAACATATTAAAACTATTATTTTTAGGCACGCAATATGTCTTCAATGCACTGTTGTTGAGTATATAGCGAAAAGCTATCAATAATTTATCAATAGCATCTTATCAATCAATTATAATTCTTGAGAAATGTATAATAATGACAGCGATAACAACAATAGACACATTGATATTCATGTAGGATTATAACTATACGTATATGATAAAAATATAAAGAGTTATTTCAAATAAAGTTATTGGTGCTATTTTTAGTGAGTAGATTCACTTATTTATTAACAAATAAATTCATACATTATACTGAATTTTGCCATTTTGTATGACACAGCTATCTTTGCTATCACTATCTCGAGTTGTTACGCGAGGGAGCTAAGACGTGCACAGTGTCGTCGCTCGCACTAGTACCCAAACCAAGCGATGACAACCTGCGTCGCTAGCGCTTATCTTTTTCATTATCAGTATAACATTTGTATCGCGGCCTATTTCTCATACTTGTACTAAGTGTCATGAAGATACTTCTCGTTGATTTATACTGGATAACTTCTTTTTCAGATTGGTTTAAAGCGGCCGTACCCGGCTAGCATGGAGGAGTGCAAGAAAAGAGCACAAGGCACAAAAGTTTCTAAAATTGCGAATATTTTTCAAGGGATGCCTTCGAGGGACGACGAAGATATGCGTGGTAGTGACGTGACCGTGGTGCGAACTGAAAGCCATTTGGCGCGATTTAATAATGCTAGGGCATTGTTCGAAAAATTAGGCGAAGAAAATCGTAATTTTCGTATTGAAAAATCACCTTCGGCAGCAGCTAGTTTCGCTGGGACGCGTGGTGTTCTTCCGGTAGTTCCTTCTCGTTCCCGCTCAAGTTCGGCGGGTTCTGTGAGCCCGACGCGCAATAATGCGACTCCGACTTCAAATTTGTCACCTGCTGTAAATGGTGATCGTTTATCTAATGGCGCTGCACTACAGCCACCACCGAAACCCGTTAAACCTAGTGTTCTTCCAAAGCCCGAGAAGCCGGATAGACGATTTAATAAAGAACTAATAGAAAAACAGAAAAATTGGACAGCTCATTTTAATAAGTCGCGGCCACCCAGATTCGAACAAGAACAAAGATTAGACTATAAATCAAATAGTGGATATCAAGACAGAAAATCACCGGAAAAAGTAGACAAACATGTCCCATCACGAGTTTACACACCACCGCCTTCACCAGGCGCTTGCGATTCTTATGCAGAACGCCCTAGTACTCTTCCTTCCTTAATAAACAGAGGTATACATGTTGCGAAATCACCTAGTCCTGTAAAAAATGTCGCTCCTGTGTTACCTCCACCTAGATCTAGCAATACTATATCTCCCACCGTGAAATCAGAATTACTAATTTCGCCAACAATAAATGAAAAAATGAAAAATGATTTATTAATAAATAGGGATACTTTTAATCAATCTAAACAAAGTCCTACGAAAATAGAATCTATAGAAAGGCTACGTCCATCGACATCTCCGGAACTTGAAAGAAAAACTGATAACGTAGAAGAAATTATTTCAAGAAATGAAAGTAATTTACAATCTCCAAGATCTATAGATCGTACATCACCAACTACACAATTTTTACAAGATAAATTCGAGATAGATAAGAGTCCCAGATCTTACAAATCACCGCCTTCTCCCCCATTGCGCGCTCCTAAATCTCCACCGCCGCCAATACCGGATGACAAAAACGTAACACCAGACAGTAATATAACAACTGCAAAATCATTAACTGATGAAACCGAATGTGTAACGAAAGTAGAAGTGGAAAACGATAGTGTCGATTCACATCAAGAAGTAATTGTTAAATCGCTTTCATCTTCTTCAATCTCATCACTTCCTCAGGATGTTGTCAAAGAGAACAATGTGCTTGACACAGAACATTCTGTTATAGTGACACCTGATATTTGTGATGTAGCATTGAGATCTCCTACGAAAAGTCATGAAGAAGATATTTATGAGACTATGCAATATAGTGGTAATTGGGATGAGAAGAACAGGCGACGATCTTCAACTCCGGAGTCACCTACAAATGTAATTCAGACTGAAGAAGTGTCGCGGTCGCCCCTTGCATCTCCCATGGCTTCACCAGTACATAGCCTTCCCTATTCTTCGTCTCCAGCGCCAGCATCGCCCTCGCAAGGTATGCAGTATCAAATTATATTATTATTTTTTTGTTTAAGCGATATATTAATATATGTTGATAGTATTTCGGACAAAATCTTACATGTTTGTGTACTGTATATGAATACAGTATATCAGGTAATTGGTGTCAGGACATAGTTGAGGCTTACGAGTCAAAAAAACTTTACTTTTCCTTGATTAATTACTAGGAATAGCTACTTACTCTTGCTTCGCTTTGTATTTATAATATTACTCGCCCCCTCTCGGATTTGTTTAGACAAAAATTCTAAAAACTATATTAATTATATAACTATTTAAATTAATAAATATTTCAGTTAGATTTTCCAAAAAATGTTTAATGTACCAATTCGACTCAGCCAGAATTTTATTATATAACTAGCGAGTTACCCTCGCTTAGCCCGGGTTCGTTCCTACTTACGTTTTAACTTTTAGTATCGATTTCTCAGGGATGAGATATTTTCTCGGTGTAAAAAGTATCCTATATCTTGACCCGGATAACCAGCTATCATTATACAAAATCTCATCAAAATCCCTCCAGTGGTTTTTCCGTGATGCGGTAACAGACAGACAGACAAAAATTCTAAAAACTATATATTCGGCCTCTGTATCGATGATGTCTATTTCAATGAGATTTTCCAAAAAATATTTAATGTATTAATTCGGCTTATTTACAATTTTATTATATGTATATTCATATAAGTAACGCCTTTTTTTTTTTTTAACGTTGGGAAATGCATTTACGCACGACGTGTGGGACTCACCGGCGTAATACAGCCAGTACTACCCACTAAAACCCAACAAAACCTTCCCCCGTCTTAATGGGGCGTCGCAGGATCGCTTACGCATTCAACTACGACGCCCCGACGGCAGGTCTGCCGAAGCAGACCACCACAACCATGGGGTTGCTCCACAGTCCACTCTGCTATCAGAGAAGTACCAGGAGCAACCCGCATGGTACACCGCCCCCCAAAGAGGGCCACCTCCCACCGCCCACCGAAGTGGGCAACCTCCCTGTGCGTTTCTTAGCTTCGTGCCCGGTTGGGTTGCCGGGCACTACTGAGCCCCCCCACCACGACAAGGTGAACGCACGTTGGGGGGGATATAAGTAACGCCTACTATTTGTACTAAATTTTATCCAAATTCGTCCAGCCGATTCAGTGTAAAGTAGTAACAAACATATAAACACACTCAAAATATAATTATGTTTTCTTGGTATTAATAAAATTTTAAGGCCTACTTTAACTAAAAACTACTAGTTTGATTTGAAGTCTTACTTTACATGAAAATTTAAAATAATAGTTGCTGCATGTACATACATACGTATGTACCTACTGCAAGCAGCGAAAATACTCGATTGATACGACGCGACGCGGACGTGCAAAAAAAAAATTAAAAACTCGCAGGCATTTAATTATTATGGTTTCTATAGAGTAAATTAATGTTTTTATTCAATTTGCACTTATTGATGCATGTCTCCTCACTTGTCTGATATTCCCAACTTTAGCAGTAAAAAAAAATCAGCTCCAAAAAACTTAAATTTATTATGAAAAAAATATATTAAAATTTACGAATACTTTAAACACCTGCCATTTCGCGCGCTTGGCGTGACGTCACCGTATGATATACTTAGAAAAATGATGACTCGATTTGTAGCGACAAAATTTATTTATAAGTTATGATAATTTACTTTGATGTCATATTCGGTTTGACCAATGGCGTGCGTTTCAACTACTTTGAATTTCCCACCTATATTTGCATTTTTAATAATTATTTTTTTAATCCATCCACGACCGCTGACACGCCGGCGTGTCAGTTAACAATAGATTTCTTAGAAGTTTAGTTAGTTTCTTAGAAATTTACTTGGAGGTGCTCATCTAAAAGAAATTAAATTAAAAAATATTGATATTTTCTTAATTCAAAAGCAATAAAGATTATAAAAAAAAACTCACCTTTATTTGAATCACACGATATTCCCGATTGTAGATTATATTAGAAGGCGGTGGTTTTCTCAGTCGTTCTTGTGACGAAATCCTTCCCTATTGTTTATTTTAATACGTCCGCATTTCTATGCTTTTGTTGTCTCAATATAGAGAGATTAATCTCACACCTTTTCATAGGTCTCGCAAACACACTTTTATATACCTATTACCTATATAAAAAACTGTCTTCCACATTTTCGTTTGACATGTAGGAGTTTTGAGGAAAATATGCGGCATGGCTGATAGCGACTGTTCAGGCTGTTTTTATATGTGACCACACCATCACATTGCACCATCCTATATATGCTTCTTGTCACTCATATTATGTAGTATATCTCATGTTATGTATCGAACTTTATCTCTTGTCAGATTTTCAACGCCTATTGCGTTTTGTTTTGTGATGGCTCTAACCACAGATTTATAAACTAAAGTTTATAAATCGTGTGTTCGTTAAAGCCACAGATTTATAAACTAAAGTTTATAAATCTGTGGCTCTAACGAACTCTGATAAAGCAAGTAGTTCATCTAAGACATCTACCCGAGAGAGACAGATGGTTAAATAAAGACCAAAAACTAAATGATTTACGTTTAGTAAACTGTTAAAATTTTCATAAACAGAAAATATCACATTGCGTGCGTTTAAATTGTAACTGAATCCCTCCAGCTGTTTAGTATAGGCCAGCACAAGAATTTGAAAACGTTTTCTTGCTACTCGTCTTTGATAGCACGAGCAAATTTTCTAACGTAATATGCGATTTGTTTAGCTTATAAGAATGTCTGTCTTAAAAATTCTACTGATGAATAGAGTTTACTCCGCAAAGCAAGTTCATTGTTTTTCTTATAAACTAATCATCATTAGTATTAAATCTAAGCCCAAGCATCCCTGAGGCTGCATTGATAAATGAGAATATAATGTTTTATACAAAACCAAGATGTCGACTAGAGCTGGGTTGATAGCGTCAATGTACAGAGACCGAGTATCTTGACTTTATAATGCACTGATATTGAGACAAGGTAGGTTTGCTATGTTTTGTCTGCGTAGTCGACGTAGATTTGCTTTGAATAAAAAAAATAATGAAAAGTTAATAGTTTTCGTTTTTTTGTTAAATTATGCTATAAGTCAGTTAATGGTTATTGGATACCTGTTGATTGAAAAATCGTACGTAAAATTAAAAAAAATTGTGAAGTGGGAACAACACTTTCAGTTTTATTTGTTTCTCTGGGGCAATACTTAGGTTTATGAGCGTAATAAAAATAAACAAGAATATATTGTCATCTAGGTGATAATGTTTTCTGTGTTTCAGACAGAAGCGATGCTCTTGCGGATAATAATATAATACTGTATAGTGTATAGTATTATGTTAAGCGCGGCAAATTAGCTAAGTAAACTATTCGGGAATCCTCGGCCAGGCGGGCACGTAAAAATTTCTATCCAGTAACGGCCCCATTTTTAGAACTGGTACTACCACGGGTTAACTGATTACGGCGGATTTCAAGGTGATTACTCATTCTCCATACAACCATAGCATCTCCTGGAATATTCCTGTACAGGAAAATGTGCAAGGACCGTTCAAGGTTCTCTAGTAAATGTAATAAATATTCTATGTTCTTACAACGAAATTCTCTGTTACTAAGATTTCGGTGAGGTCACATATTGTCTTATGCCTTTTAACCCCCAACACAAAAGAGAGGTGTTATAAGTTTGACGTGTCTTTGTGTTTTAAATTATTTTTAGGCAGCCTTTTTAGAAAGCAGATTTATCAGAAATTGCTGAATATTATTTCACTTATTTTGCATTAAATAAAAATGAAATTAATAATTATCATCGTAGGTTCGAAACATAATATGTACATTCGAAAGGTAAATGTTTATTAATAAATTTTAAGAAAATGTAGCTGATAAATATATATCAATAATAAGTAACTGTGGAACGAAATTAATATAATTTTTCAAGTAGTTTGTGTCTACAAACTTTGTGTAGGCGTCGATTGACGTACGTTTAGCGGTCTCGTGTTCAGTGGGTTCAATGTAATATTGAGGAAGTCAAGGTATTTGAGTCGTTGCGAGAGTTGCGAGTCGATCCCGATTTAGATGCTCCGGCGCCGCCGCCTTCGCCGCGACGACGCAGTAACCCGAGCGACGTCGTCCTGCGCGCCCTTCCCTCATTTCAAATCTCGAATTGAGACAGTTTTAATAGTTGAATTGACCGTACATTGTGTTGAGAGTGTGAAATTTGTTCTGTGTGATTGTTTACTTACAAATCATCAAGTGCAAATTGTTTGTTGCCAATATTAATATTACACATGCATATAGTTCACCAAACAAGATGATGTACCGATGTTTTGGATAATTACTTCTATTCATTGAATATTCAAATCTGTTTCTTGTCTTGTCAATTCAATGACAGTTGCATGTTACGAAAGACAAGCCATTGTTTGCAATTTAAAACTGTGCACTTTGTTTTGTTATGTTATTTTTCATCCACACAGCTGTCTTGACTATTGTTTTAATAATTTCTCTTACTTTATAACATAAATGAACAGTTATAAGACCAATGAAAAATTTGCACATATTAATCGACCCCATTTGGGTGAAGATAACCTCGTTGGATCGCCATAAAATAGAGATACATTATTTAGATCTTATAAATAAAACAGGAGTATTGTTGTTTATCGTTTATCGTATGCGCACTCGCAATATACATACTTATGTATGTACGTATGTTGGATATTAATATAAATTTTATGGTTAAAAGATTGAAAGTATCTTTCTAGCGGTTGTTATTTGTAGTAATGTTTAGGTCTGCGATAAGCTCATGAAGCAAGCAATTCACTATTGATTTCAAATTAACTTCGTAATTTTTTCTTGCTGATGTTATTTTTTTATTAATAAAATTAAATTTAAGTAATATAAAGGTTTAAATTAAATACAAAAAAGGTTAATATTCAAAATGGTTAAACATAAAGTATAAAGACAGTTGACAAAATACGTCGTTTCGAGTTGAAAGTGAGTGTGAGTGTGCAAAATACTGCTTCGAGCAGGCGATGGCGTGGCGATGAGGTCGTCACGTGCGCACACCCGCGCTCGTACAACATGCGTCTCTGCGGATGTTGTATGGGTTAGTAAATTTTATAAGTATAATCTATACATATAATAAAATTGTAACTAAGCCGAATCTGTACATTAAATATTTTTTGGAAAATCTTATTGAAACAAACATTATTTTCGATACAGAAGCCGAATCTATAGTTTTTATAATTTCTGTCTGTCTGTCTGTCTGCTTGTCTGTTACCGCATCACAGAAAAACCACTCGAGGGATTTTGATGAAATTTAGCATGGTGATAGCTGGTTATCCGCCGGGTCAACTTATAGGATACTTTTTAGTTTTTACCGCGGGAAAATATCAAATTTCTAAGAAAATACACAAAAACTGCATTGTAAGAGTATACTAATATATGTATGTAACCTAAGAATTTGGTTTTTGGTCATCTGAACGCGGGCGGAGCCGCGGGCAATGCTAGTAATGTATAAATATTTCTTTTTATAATTATAATTAATAATTCAACTTTATATTTGTTTTCATCATTAATTTACAAACAATAAGATTTTTTTCAACTATATAATATGCATAAGTATACCTATTATAAATATAACATGCGATTACATCGTGAGCAAAGCGAGACAGCCTAGTTCTATACATCTACTTGATCGTTTAAAATAAAACCTAACTATTTTTTGAATTGGGATCATGTTTAAAAAGCAAAAAAAAAGACCGATTGAAAGCTCATCCAACCGATCTTAAGTGACGTGCGATTAAACACACGGACAAACAATCTTAACACCTGAGTTTGGTGCTATTACATTCTGAACATCGCAATATAATATATTATACTATAATATTTACAGGTCATAGATAATACATGTGTGTATTTTAACGTACCCAAATATGATAATGGATATTATTGTTTGAATTGGATGTAAGGTACTACTACTTTGTAAGAGAATAAGTTTATTATCATAATTTCGTTCTACTAATATATAGTGCTTTAGTATAGAAAAAAATATATTCTTGTATACTGATTTTGGCGCACTTATAATATACTTTATTGGTAAAGCTTGCTTTACCTACATTTATTGCTTATAGAATAGTAACATATCACATCTTCTACTGTTATAGTTATATCTGTGTACTACCAACCTTATGGCTTCTTTTTGTGAAATTATACTTACGAATTGAAAATCGTAATTCAATGCAGCTTTTAGCTTCTCAAATCAATATAAAGTGTTGAATGAGTATTGTATTGTGAATAAATTACTAAGCCATAGATCTTCTTCAGTCTTGGCACGCCTTGCCATTGAGCTGACTACACCTTTTCTGCCTTTTCTATAAAACTGTTGTTACGGCTCTACTTTTACATAAAGTGGTATTTTATTTATTTAATTTGTTACTGTTGATAAATTAAAGTTTACGTAAATTTAACATAGAGTATGTAAGACTTCCGATTTTATTAATATGACCTTCCAGTGAAAGGTTTCTAGGGATCTCTTATTTTTTTTTATGGGACTAAGGGGGCAAACGGGCAGGAGGCTCACCTGATGGAAAGTGATCACCGCCGCCCATGGACATCTGTAACACCGCAGGGCTTTCAGATGCGTTGCCGGCCTTTAAGGAAGGTATACGCTCTCTTCTTGAAGGTGGCCAGGTCGTAGCGGTTCGGAAAGACCGCCGGCGATAGCTGGTTCCACAGAGGGGTTGTGCGGGGCAGAAAATGCCTTAAAAATCGCATTGCTGTGGAACGCTGGACATCGAGGTGGTGTGGATGGAATTTACTATTTTGGCGCGATGTCCGATGATGAAATTCAGCAGCCGGGATCAGTCTGAACAATTCCTCGGAACACTCCCCGTGATAAATGCGGTAGAAGATGCAGAGTGTATCCAACATCTCTACGCAGAGCTAATTAAGGATCAAGCCGATCAGAGAGATCTAGATCGTCGATAACTCGAGCTGCCCTACGTTGAATGCGGTCAAATGGAAGTAGCTGGTACTGGGAAGCTCCCGCCCAAAGATGAGAACAGTACTCCATGTGGGGCCGAATTTGCGCCTTATAAAGAATAAGACGCTGACGCGACGTGAAGTACTGTCTCGCCTTGCTGAGCACACCAAGCTTCTTTGAGGCCAGTTTGGCCTTACCTTCGAATTGACCACGGAACTGGACGTTGCTCGAGATGTCGACGCCAAGTATTCCGATACTGGCTGTGGCAGACAGAGGAGTGTCCTCAAATTGAGGAGCTACGATAAATAATAATATCTATCTTATATTAATAATAATATCTATCTTTGCATTGTATAAAATGAAGTCGCTTCCGCTGTCTCTTCGCTTAGATCTTTTTAACTACTCAACGGATTTTAATGCAGCTTTCAGCAATAGATAGATTGATTCAAGAGGAAGGTTTATATGTATAACACATGCATATTATAGTACAGAAAAGCCAAGAAATTTAAAGATTTGTATTGTGCGCTTGCCGCATACATTGCCTACCTAGGGACGATCCCGAGCGAAGCGAGGGTGAGTCGCTAGTACATTATATAATAAAATTCTAACTGAGTCGAATCTGTATATTAAATAAATATTTAATATACAGATTCGACTCAATTCGTTTTTCATTATATTTAATATACACATTCGACTCAGTTCGTTGTTCGTTCAGTTTCGACTTAGTTACGACTCTTAGAAAATCTTATTCAAATAGTCATTATTATCGATACAGAGCCCGAAACTATAGTTTTTAGAATTTTTGTCTGTCTGTCTGGGGAACGCATCCCGTTTAAGTTCTTCAATCCTAAATGGATGTACACATCCTTCAAGTAAAGTAGTAGGTCTTAAGTTATACTAGTATTTCTTTTAATTTTTAATGAATATTATAATATCCAGAGAACCCCGTGGCCATTTCTCTTCCTGCCAATTATTTGAATTCAAGCTTTTCCTTATAATACGTAATAAGTTCAAACAAAGTACGCTTACAAAATATTATTTGGTAAGGGTACTTTGTAAATTTTGTAATAAAATTGTAATAACTACCGTCGGTTAAAGCTACTTAAAAAATGACATCACCCAAATCAAATTAAAATTATAATACTTAATGTCTCTAAATGGTATATATATACGTGGGATGTATAACTGGTTTACGATTTTTAGCTCTACGGTCAGCAGATACCTATTTTGGCAAGTTATTCTTGAACTTTATAATTTGGTTAATGTACTTGAAAGATAAAATAATGATTTTTGTTTATTTCTTCATATGATAAATATCATATATCACTGTAATTCAAAAATTGGTCATAATATTGGAAAAATTCTTCATAAACGAACCTACTTGGTAACTGTACTAAAGAATTAACAGCGAACAAAGCGGCTGATTGTCGACGGTTATTAATTAGTAAAATGGAGCTACGCTTGCTACCACATTGAGTTAGATTATGTTGCTGCTCCGTTTTTATATTCTTTATACTTAATAGCAATATCTATATTTATTCATATAATAAAATTGTAACTGAGCCGAATCTGTACGTTAAATTATTTTTTTAATTTCTTATTGAAATAGACTTTATTATCGATACAGAGGGCGAATCTATAGTTTTTAGAATTTTTGTCTGTCTGTTACCGTATCACAGCAAAACCACTGGATGGATTTCGATGAAATTTGGTATTGTGATAGCTGGTTATCCGGGTCAACATTAAGGATACTTTTTATTGCGGGAAAATATCTCATCTCTGAGAAATCTATACTAAATGTTAAAACGTAAGTAGGGACGAACCCTAGCGGAGCGAGGGTGAGTCGCTAGTTATATATCGATACAGAGGCTGATACTTATAGTTTTTAGAATTTTTGTCTGTCTCTCTGTCTGTTTGTCTCATAACGCATCACGAGAAAACCACAGGACAGATTTTGATAAAATTTGGTATGATGATAGCTGATTATCTGGGTTAACATATAGGATACTTTTTACGGCGTAAAAATATCTCATCTCTGAGAAATATATACTAACCGTTTAAACGTTCCGAGGGTCGAATGCGAGCAGATTAGTATTTATATATTGTAACGATGGCGGTTTACGCAATTATATTCTATAGTTTAATATTCTCACAGTATTAAAGTTTTTTTTATTGTCTTAATTAAATTAGAATTTGCCGTGTGAAAGTTTCAAATTCTTGAATAGCATCCTAGTGTATTAAGATCGTATACCTGCACACTTCTGGCATCTGTGGCGTAGTCGATGTTAAAATTAACTATATTAACCTATTTCCAATTTATATTTACTTGAACTGTTCTAAACTCATAGCGAAATAGTTTTTGCGCACATTTTGTAAATTTTCATTAATAGAGATATAGATTTAATACCTCATAAATAAATTTTAATCGTAGGTACAATAAGTATATTGAAGAGTTATTATTTGCGTAGTGGGTGGAGGTCGCAAGTCTTCGGAGACAGAGGATGTGGCGGGTCGGGGTCGATCGCGTGCCTCGAGCGTTTCGGACGAGGGTGGGTTCAACGAGCCCTCGCCGGAGGTAGTGGCACGCCTGCGGCCCGCCGACTACCGCGACCCGCACCCGCCACTCACCAGCGACATACGAGATGCGGAGCGCGCCAGGTCCGATCCCGACACGCTCTCCGTACTGCAACAGGTAAACAAAATGTACTATATATACGTATATATACTACTCTATTATTTAACTGCCTCGGTGGTGTAGTGGCTAGCATGTACGGCTGCACACCCGGAGGTCCTGGGTCCCGGGTCGGGCCAAGTTTAGTTATTGAGTCTTCCTGCATAGTAAGTCTCAGTAACAGCCCGGAGTTGGGAAGTTGGCGGTGTTTCACCCCCGTGCCTCGGAGAGCACGTAAAGCCGTCGGTCCTGCGCCTTAACTCTCACCGGTCGTGTCGAGTGGTCGTCCCACCGGAGTATGAGAGTGATAGGAATAGAGAGTGCACTTGTGTCTGCGCGTACACTTGAGCACTATAATATCTCCTGCGCAGTTGGCTAATCTCATTGAGATTGGCGGCCGTGGCCGGAATCGGCTAGGAGAACATCATCATCACTCTACTATATATGTACTATATATGCACGCTTGGCTCAGTTTGTAGTGACCATGCTTGCTGTACCAGCGGTCGCGGGTTCGAGTCCCGCTGGGGGCATTCATTTGTGTGATGAGCACGAATGTTTGTGCTATAGTCATGGGTGTTTAAATTTATAATATGTATGTATTTAGTTATATATGTGTAGTGTATCAACTATTTGGTATCCATATCACAAGCCTTGTAGCTTACCATGGAACTAGATGGTGCTGTGTGTTAATGTCACGACATATTTATTTAGTTATAATATACCGAACATTTGTAAAATATTGAACATTCACCAAGCACTGGTAGTCACCGACGACTAATTTGTATTAATACATTACATTTTTCATTTAATTAACGGCGCTGATGAATTATTTGCTACGAAACATTATGCGGATGCATTTATTTCCCTCCTGGAAATGCATATTTATAAATGTTTATAGTGAAATTGTGAATTAATTAAATTGAACTTTGAAGCATGTTTTGTTCGATTTTTTTTACATTCGCTAATTATCGATTAGGAAATAAAAACTTTATTGCACTCATTTATGTAACGATCATATATGTATGTAAAAACATACATATAGGTACCTCTTTATATTTCCCACTAGCGACTCGCCCTCGCTTCGCTCGAGTTTGTCCCTACTTACGTTTTATCAGTTAGTATGGAATAGATAAGACTATATATTATATTTAGACTATATAATATTTATAATTATAAAGATTATATAATATTTATAATTATAAAGACTATATAATATTTATAAGTCTATATAGCCTTCCTCAATAAAAGGACTATCAAAAGAAAAAAAATCAAATCGGATTCGTAGTTCCTAAGATAGCGTGTTCTAGCGTGTTCAAACAACAAACAAACTCTGCTTCTTTATAATATTAGTATACGTAGATTAGCTTTCATTTACACATACCTATTGTAGCGTTGTTGACTGCCTGAAATTAAAGAAAATGAAAACTGAAGTTTAAAAAGAATAGTTACTTGCTAAACTAATTCATATCAAAACAAAAAGAAACATAATATATTTGGTTATGAATTCCTGTAGCGAATTTTTTAGTCTCATTTGAAAAGTTTAGTTCCAAAAACACAATAGACAATTGTATTAAAATAGTAAGGAATAACAACTAGCGATATACTTAATAGCAATCAACTCGGGGGACTGTCTGAACTTAGCACCCGACTTTTAATGTTAAGTTTTTTTTAAGTTTGTTTGAAACCTGCCGAAATCTTTCAAAGAAACCTAAAAAAGAACAAATTTCCCATAGTCGGGTGCTAAGTTCACACAGCCCAATTTATGCAATAGAATAAGATGAACAAAAACTCATCATCATGGCACAATTATAGGACTCGGGAGTAGTAGTAAGTGAGGCGAGTCAGGGCTCCATAGAGGTGCTCGATAAGTCGACCACTAGCCAATGGAGCGTGTCGGAGGAGGGCCCGGGGGAGGCGCGGGGTGACGCAGCGCCCGACGAGGACAAGCAACCCGACAGCATGACGCCCGACGAGGCTGAGATATTGCTGAGCTCCAGGTTTGTCTCTATACCCCTAATGTACGCTTCTTTACTCTTTAGTACTTAGACTTCCTATACCTAGTGCCTAAAATATCTTATTTTTCTCATATTATTGATATCAATATCATATAGTACTCATCTCTTAGTACAAGTACTTCTACTAGATACTATTTAGTTAAATTATATGAAACCTTATGATATGGACGAATTTTGTTAATGTACCTACGTATAAATTACCATATATTTTTTGCAGTATATTGTTACATTATACATTACAATATATGTTACATAGTACATTTTATTACATTTTGATTTTAAACAGATTAATAATATTTTTCCAAAATTGGATTTTGTAATTAGAATTTAATTTAGATAGACATAGATATTTTGAGGTTTCAGTATTTAGAATTTGATTATTCTTTCTCAATGCACGTTTCTATAATTAAATAATTTTTGTTGCACGCTTAATCTTTGTTTTCAAATCTCTGCCTACTCGTGAGTATACTGTTTCTTTGCTCGTAAGAATTTGTAGATTACTTTCTTAGCTTTTTATTGTTATTAAATGTTTAATTTTTATCATTTGCATGCTGCCTGTGCGCACAACGCTTCATTCTTGACCACATTTGCAGTATTCTGGAGAAAAAACTTAGGTAAGCTTGCTTTCTTGGAGAGTATTTTCTTTTCTTAAGTTTATTTTAATTTCTGAGTTTGTATGTGTTGTGTTATTTTTGTATGTTGTGTCTATTAATAGTAATTAAGAAACTTTTAGTAATTATAAATATTATACAAATTAAATAATATTAAGCAAACTTATTTTTTATTAAATGTAACCGACTTGCTTTTTGAAAAAATAAACGGCATGCAAGTACCTTTAGTTCTCTTTGGAAAACTTTTTCGCTACTATATCTTAATAAAGACTTTTTAATTTGTGTAAAAGGGTTTCGGATATTTAGTGTTGTGCCTATGCATACAATCGTTTCACAATCACTAAGCGAAAATCGGGTAACATACAATAAACACATAAAACCCAAATTGAGAACTTCATTTTTTGAAGTTTATGTAGAAATGTTTTTCAATTCACTAGTTTGCAGTGGCAGAGTTTCTCATCGTCTCTTCTTAGCAGAACTAACTACATATTGAACCCGCGGTAGTTTTCTCACAAACTTATATACTGAGATTTAATTTAAATAATATGTAAAAATTGACGATTTAAAAGTGCTCGTAAAAGTCTATTTTATTAATATTAGACGCGAAAGTTTGTGAGGATTATTGTGTATGTTTGTTACTGATAATATCGAAAGATAATTCAATGGCTTCTGAACGTATGTACTTAGATGAAACTTTACAGTAATTTAGCTTATACATCAGAATATAGTAAAACATAGTAGGTACTATCGTAAATATATTTTAACTATATTTGTTTGGATTATCCACAGGCAAGAAGCTCTGCTATCAGACGAGCAGGCGCAAGAGATCGTGGCGATGCTGTCGCCGCACGCGGCCGCCGCGCCGCACGCGGCTGCGCTCGCGCCCGACAACGGCGTGTCGCTCAACGACAGCTACCAGTCCGTGCTCTCGTATGAGAGGTGGGTGACACGTAACACTGGCAGCTATGAAATGTTTTAAAATGATATTTTTTATAAAAAGGAAGTTATTTATTACATGAAATATTTGTGATAAATTAAAAATTTGACTAGTATAATATATGTGAGAGTATATTATTAGGACTAAAGCGCCTGAATGGACTTGTTTAACATTAACGACTTAGATATATTATAACCAGCGAGGGTAAATCGTCTTTGGCTTATAATATTCAGTACGGCGGTATGTTATTTAACGTTGTTTATACTTTAGTCATAAGTGGAAGGCGTAATAGGATATATAATTGGATTTAGCACTTAATTACTAAGTTTGTATGTAGGGGATAATAGCTGAAACTACTGATCCGATTTTAAAATTCTTTCATTAATAAAAAGCTATATTACCGAAGAATGCTTTAAGCTACTTTTTATTTATAAAAATGTATTTACTGTCAGAAATCCTAATAATTTTAATCGAAGTGTATCTTTATCGTCGGAGCAAAAACCGATAAATCACATTTGTGTTTTTTTTTGTGGAAAAATATAAAAATATGGCCAAGTTCATGGTTTTCTAATTTAGAGTTAAACGAAATCTATCAATTTACTGGTGATAGCATCACTGTTTGGAAACCTAAATTGTCTTAAAATAAAAATATTAATTTTTATTCTAATTTGGATTTAGAGCGGATTTATCATTTTTCGACCAGGTTACATTAACCATAGAGCAAGATATTATGTACGAGAGGCATCATAAAAATATTTTAAAATGTGATTATTCGTTTTTGTTCTAACTCACCTCATCTGATCCTACAGCATGCAGTCGGTGGACGAGAGCTACGAGTTCGTGTCGCTGGAGGCGGACGCAGGCGCGGAGGCGGAGGCGGAGGCGGGCGCGGGCGGCGACGCGCGCGAGCCCGCCACGGTGTTCGACCACTACCCGCCGCGCTCGCTGCGCGAACTCGCAGAGGAGAACGGCATACATTACTTTGAGGATGGACATTTTTATACGGAGGCACGTCATGTTTGTCTATACTAACATTATAAAGAAGTGAAGTTTGTGACGTTGTAGGGGTTAATCTCTGGATCAACTGAACAGATTTAGATGAAATTAAGTAAGAAGATAGTTTGAGACCCTGGGAGGGACATAGGCTACTTTTTATCCTGGAAATCAGCCCTTAAGGGGGTGAAAAATGGGGGTAAAAGTTTGTATCGGGAATTAGCTAGGGACGAACCCAAGCGAAGCGACGGTGAGTCGCTAGTATTTTATAAATAAGTATAGTTACATTTATATTTCGTCTCACTTGTGGCTGATATGAAAGTAACAGGGCGGCAGTGTCCGAACACTAACCGCTGTGCTCGCTGCGGCAACAAGTCCTGAACAGGATTCATTGCTTTGTGGGTGGTTTACTTATTTTTAAATTTTGACAAAAATTAAGGCGCTTTCGGTTCATAAAATGTATTTTGAAAGTCTACTACACATTTTGACGTGCTGAATCTATGGTGGCTAGGTCTTCTTCAAGTGTAACCTTGAGTAATTGAATTGAATGTTGCCAACAGCAAGTAGGCAAATAGTAAAAAAGGATGCAGGAGCGTCAAGGCCTTTTTATATATTCTACTACCTGAAAGCAATAAAGTGAATAATTAATTATTCATCAATAAATGGAATATGTACAGGAATATCACCTTTTATAGATACAAATAAATTATATTTCAATTTACTTTATTTTAAGGTCGCCGGACTTCCACCGGTTGAAGAGGACGAGGATGACGATTATTACCCACCAGTATTTGTTAAGAGAAATACCAAAGTTAAATTCAGGTAGGCTGATAATATTATAGTATTTTATTTTTATATATTTATTTTATTTATGCTTTATGTCAGACACAGGTTTTTATACATCATATCTTTATAATTATTAAACAATATATTTTTGAACTATCAAGTACAAAAATGAATAACTTGTTACTTAAATTATTTTGTATCGATGCTCCACAGTAATGGAACATCGTGAGACAAAAACCAAGATTTGTAGAGTGATAAAATTGGATGTTTCACATAACACTCTGGCAAAGTCTATTGATCTCGTTAGAGATTTATAATTAAAACAAAGTACTACTTTTATTATTTTTGTGAGCTTTTTTTAATGTCTTGTTTCTGTAACTCAATAAACCTACGGAACGCGAACGTCACTTACTTTATCAATAACCTATTATCTAAAACTACCGATAGCTTATGTTTGGGTACAAATATCATATAATCATCCAAAGTATTTGTTACTTCATTTGTATTTTCTCAACGATAATATTTATTTTGTTTTCTTTAATATACATATGTGTTTAAATAATGTGTGTATATCATTCAGTTGCAGTTGACTCCTGTCTAAATTTTTGATAATAACGGTACTTTTATATTAGCAGCTCTAAGTTTCCCATATCATATAATAAACAATTCATTTAATGCAATAGCTCAATTTATGAATATATAGCTTAATAAATTATTCAAGAGTATATAATGGTATGGTAATTATGGAAATTTGATTCAAGAATACATTATTTGATTAGATATAAACACGTGATTCACACGATATTTCCTTATATGTACATACTAAAATTATTGACATTTTAGATGAAAATATCTTTCCGGATTTATTTGGATTTTAGGTTTCCGAAGTTTCAAATAACTTACAGCAATCATGATTGTCGGAATTATTCGTGTGAACACCTGTGATTGTTATCATATATTGACATCGATCAAAAAAGTAATAGATATCCCATGTTCATCCATTTCCAAAAGTTCTCTTAAAACTGTCACCAATTGTGTTTAGGTAATTATTCTAGTTAAAATATAAATATATAACAATGTAAATTGAACCTTAAATGCAATGCTTAAAGTTGTCTTCTGTACGGTGCAACCGTAACATACTCGTATTACAATTCAACATTTTACTCGACACGAATTCGTTATTATTTTAATTCATAAAAATCAAGACAGTTCGCTTACCGCGAGCAAGTAAGCTGCGCGTGCTCACAAGTCCATATTATTTTCATTATCATTTTATTAATAAGTCTACAGAAAGTAAAGAGTATTAAGTGTTAATTCCAAACATCTTTCATTCTAACAATCTAATAGTGCATTAGTTAACAAGAACCGGTAGATTATTAAATGGTCCTTCGAGCCGGAGACAAAAAAAAATTAAGGGCGCGCTCAAATATTGAAATGAGCGCTCAATCGGTCGATGTATATGTATTGACTAATAAATGTCCTTCCAGCACGGATCCGATGCGCGTGTTCTCGACGCACTCGGTGCGCGAGTACGACCGCCGCAACGAGGACGTGGACCCCGTGGCCGCGTCCGCCGAGTACGAGCTGGAGAAGCGCGTGGAGAAGATGCACGTCTTCCCCGTCGACTTGGTGAAGGGATCGGATGGCCTTGGACTGTCTATCATAGGTATGCTTCGTTTACTATCTCTTTCTTTTTACTTTTTTACTTTCTTTTTACTTCATTTACTATCTCTTTCCATATTTTCTAACCCAAAGGTTGTCTGTAAGAAATCGCTAATTAGCGATAAGACCGCTTTTTGTCACACTTTTGTTTTTTTTTTATATTTTGTTCACTGTATTTACTACATGATTGTGGTGTACAGTAAAATAAATAAATAAATACCTCTTTGGACTAATGGTTAGCGTCTACTACTGATCCGGATGTGCTGAGTTAAAGTCGCGGGTTGGGCCAAGTTATAATTATTATAGTTTTTCTGTGAAGAAATTCTCAGTAATAAACCAGAGTTGGTTTGGTGGTGGCCCATGCGACTCTGAGAGCTCGTGTCCATAAGTGCCTGATCACTCACCGCGCATGTCGAATTTTCGTCCCATCAGTCTTTCATACTCTCAAAAACGGTATTAAACTAAAATCATCATATTTAACTGAGTGAACCGATTTTGTAAGGGAAAAGTTGTATTATACTTTGAAATATTTTTAATTTATTTTAAAATATTTTTAATTATTTTCAAAGGATGTGCCAAGCTCAGTTATTAAAAAATGTGGGAGCTCATATGAGTGCTGCAATATCGGAATTGTAATTTATTGTTTAAGGATTGTAAGTTTTAATACTTATTATCCTATTCCAGATTAAGAGAAATCCAAAAAGTCAAATATCATAAAAATTGCTCCAGCCGTTCTTGAGTTATAAATGGTGTAACTTACACCACATTATTTTATATATATTTATTTATTTATTTAAATCAGGTATGGGCGTGGGCGCGGACGCGGGGCTGGAGAAGCTGGGCATCTTCGTGAAGACGATCACGGAGAGCGGCGCGGCGGCGCGCGACGGACGCATACAGGTCAACGACCAGATCATTGAGGTGGACGGGAAGAGCCTGGTGAGACATGTGTATTCACTATTCAGCCCTTTTTTTAACGTCCCACTGCTGGGCACGGGCATCCCTTCAGTACGAGGGGATCTGGTCATAGTGCGTGTTGGCGGACGTCACACGTCTTTCGAAAACTTGCTAGGTTCTCTCAGACATGCGGGTTTTCTCATGATGTTTTCGTTCACCGTTAAGACAAGTAGCAATCATGTTAGAATTGATTCGCATATGAAAATATCAGAGGCGCGAGACCCGGGATTTGAACCCGCTTCATTCGGTTTCCTAAGCGAGCGCGTTACCACTGGGCTACCACTTCCTTTATGGTGCCTGGTGGGACGTATACTGTTATATAAATAAGATATTTAATTAAAATTATCTTCTGAGAATATGTTTGCTGTAAACATTCGAAACTTCGGAAACTAAAAATCAAAATAAAAGTATGAAATCCGAGCAAATATTTTCATGTTGTTAATGTACACTGATCGCTGGTCTAGTAGCTGGCTTATATGCATACTGATTACTGAGGGTCTGATGTTTGATGATATTAAGAAAAGCTGATGTGCTCAATTTGCATGTATGTATTATTTGGATAGTGAAAAAAAAATTATAATCTTATTTCAATATTATATTTTCTATATTGTCAGTGTTTAACAACAAATACAAAACATTTTTGAGCTAAACATATGTGCTACTTTATTTTATACTAGCAGAACTCGCGGCTTCGCTCGCGCTAAAACTACAAAAAAATCTTTAAAAAGGAAGTTTCATACAAACATTAATTCCCTATTTTACCCTCTTATAGGAGGAATTTTGAAAAATGCTAAGACACGTATTTATTTAATTTTATAGAAGAGTATATATAACAAGTTTCAAGTAATTCTGATCATAAATATTTTTTTGGATTGTATTATAACGTGTTTTCCCATGGAAATTAGATAATCTCCCGCGATAAAAAGTAGCCTATGTCACTCTCCAGCCCTCCAACTATATCCATACAAAAAATCACGCCAATCTGTCACTTCGTTTCGACGTGAAAGAAGGACAAACAAACAAATAAACACTCACATTTGTAATATTGGTATAGACTAAAAGGCAGACTTCTAACGTCTTCTATCAATTCGTTATTTTGTGGCTTTTAGACGTGACAGGTTATGTATATAACGTCCTTTGTAAACCAGTAAAGTTTTTACAGACATATCAGTTTCACTAACGATATAGAAATCACCATAATTATATAAATATAATTAATTATTATTGTTTCCCCCCACAGGTGGGCGTGACGCAAGCGTACGCGGCGTCGGTGCTCCGCAACACGTCGGGGCCGGTCAAGTTCCTCATCGGGCGGGAGAAGGACCCCGAGAACAGTGAAGTGGCGCACCTCATCAGGCAGTCGTTGGCCGCGGACAAGGAGAGGGAAGAGAGGTGATATTCATTGTACTTTTTTATCTCTTATTACATAGTGTATGTTTGTAAGTAAATTCGGAGATTGATGGAGATAAGCGTTAGCATTAGTTAATAATACTAATAATAATGAGATCCCCTGGAGACTCTAGTCTTATCGTATGTGATGATGCTAGAGAAAAAAATGAGAGAAGTGTGAGTCTGACTCGCACACCGATGGTTTCGTAGCATGAAATATTAAAATAAGTTTATAATCGCAATTTTATTTTGGTAATGTAACTTCAAATTTACGAATTTCTGATTTTTTAGTTTGATTGTGCTGTAAGATATTGCTCCTTTCTATATTTCATTATTTTAGGTCAACAAGATTTACTATATAACCCTGTAGATTTTGATTCACTTGATTGTCAAAATATGCGTCAAAAACGGCCATATTTGAAGGATTTTTTTAAGCAATATAGCTTTTATGTTTAACATTATAATATGGATAATATTTCATTAATATATAGAAAATAGAGATGTTGTAATAATTTAAAATAATTTAGAGCTGCTCGTGAGCGTCAGCGGCGGCAACAAACTGAAGAGGAGAGTAGTCCGCCGGCTGCCGACGCGCGCCATCCAGACATTGTGGAGTTGCGGGCGTTACTTAATGAGGTATGTAAGATATAAAATAAAAAAAAAGACTATTTTTGGTATTTATACAGACAAAATGGAGGGATAAAAGGTCATCCTACATAGATTGTCATTCAACTCTTGATTTATTCACACTATGAGAAATATCTGTATGAATTGAAATTGTGAACCTAATTTGCAGTATGTATATATATATATATATATATATACATATATATATATTAATTTAGTATGTGTTCACGTATTTACTTTTGAGGATCTGATTGACCGATGTACGAATTTTGTATTGATGCATTAAGTGCAATTCTTATAATAAAAAAATATCTACAAATGTACCTATAAAAATGTAAATACCGTTAATTTCCCAATTCCGGGCTGTTACTGAGAATTTCTTAACAGAAAGCCTCAATGGCTAAAAGTCCGACCCGGAACTCGAGTCGGGGTTGGCAGCCGTACATTCTAACCACTAAACTGATACCTCGTATGTGGTATGGTGTACATTAGGTGTGCCAAAAAAAAAGTTTTTTTCTTTAGTTACCATGAAAATATCGTTCAAGATTACGAAAAAAATCTGGTAAAGTTTGAGCTTTTAATATTAAAAGGTTCATCTTGATTTTTGATTTTCCATATAAATAACACGGGTGTTTTTGTTTGGAATTTTAATGCCCTCAAATGAATTATAGTCCAGTCAATTAAAAACATTATTAACTAATAAACAACATATATTTTTAGGGAATTAAACGGTCTACAAAGATGATCTAATATGATTTTTTGCACAGTCGACTCGTTTAAAAGTTATTTCGAGGTTAAAGTTCAACCTCAAATGAAGTAAATGATGACTTCTTCAATTCTTATGAAGAATTGTGTCTATCATAAAATAATAGCTCAAAAACATTAAATAACACATTTTTCGTGAAGTTATAACAGTATAAATGATTATTCCAGTTGGTGGGCATGGAGGCGGGCGGCGGCAGCGGCGCGGAGGTGAGCGCGCGCGTGCGCGAGTGGTGCGCGGCGCGCGCGCCGCACGACCACCTGCGCCGCGCGCTCGCCGCCGCCGCCGACACCGCGCACCGCGCGCACCGCAAGTACGACAAGGTACTGTGCCGTGGTAACCGCTGTTATTGTCTGACACATGATATATAATATTATATTCTTTCCTTAAATGATATTCTATAAATATATGATTGTGATATGCTTAATATGCGTTATTTTTAGTATCTCATCTATCCTAATTATTTAAAACATAAATTGAATTTCTTAAAGAGTACCGATAACCTCCAGAAGTTTACGTCTTGCGCGTCTACACATACATACACGCACCACACACCACCACCACATCAAAGAAAATATTGAATCGCACTCAAAGGCTAATTTTATGCGATTTGAATACTACCTATATCTAAACTGATATTATAAAGAAGTAAAGTTTGTAAGTTTTGATGTAAGGAGTAATCTCTTAAACTACTTATGCGATTCTGAAAATTCTTACTATAATAGAAAGCTATATTATGACTGAAAGCTGTAGGCTGTTTTTTATTTCGATAAAATAATGTTTACTGTCAGAAATCATAATAACTTTAGGACAGAATTATTGCTAGGTATTTACTCTAGCGAAACGGGGTTTTTGTATGTTTGTAACGAATAAACTCAAAATCTAAGGGACCGATTCAGTAAGAAATGAAATTTGCTAAGGAGATACTTTGAGACCCTGGAAAGGACATAGGATATTTTTTATTCAGAAAATCATCCCTTAAGGGGGTGAAAATGGGGATGAAAGTTTGTATGGGGAATCGAGCTAGTATATAAATATAAAGTAAGAACGCGCCCCCGCAGGCGCGGCGCGCGCTGCGCGAGTGGCGGCGCACGCGCGCCATGGTGCGCGCGCGCGAGGAGTGGTGGAGCGCCGCGCTGCGCGACGCGCACCGCGAGTACGCCGCCGCGCTCTCCGCGCTGCACGACCGCGTCGCGCGCCTCGAGGTGCTGCTGCTCGTGAGTGCTGCCACGGAGATCATATCACATTTATTTATTTAGTAACGATGCTTATATGTATACAGTAAAACAATAGCTACGATGATACTGCAAAACTATAAACTGCGCTGCAGATATCAACACCTCTGAACAATATTTAAACTATTTTTTAATCTACGACGCAAAAAGAGGGATTATAAGTTGACGTCGATGTCTGTCTATCTGTCTGTGTGTGTGTGTGTGTGTGTGTGTTTTTCATTTGAAAGCCAGTTTCCTTGCGGTGGTCCTTAATTATGTTTGGTTAATATCGGTCCAGCAGTGTAAGACTAACAGCTCTTTTCCAAAATGATGCGAGGCATTTTGGCGTATGATTGATTACTCGATTAAGTGCTTCACACATGCCAGTGTAATCGTTAAATGACAATTCGTTTGCTTAGGGGGTTTTATATTTAATTTATAATTATGTATATGTGTGTGTGTGTTTGTGTTTGTGAATGCAAATCAATTTAGAATACTATTCTTTATCATTATTCAGCCTGCTTTCGTTCACTGCTGGACGTACACCCCTCTTTATAGCACGCCACTGAATTCGATCTTCAGCTCGGCACAATGCTATATCCATACAGAAATTATCAGCGCTGATTTGGGTTGTTCCCCGAACTAATTTCGTCGTTAATCCGTAAAATTTCGAAATATTTGTGTAAACTAAATTATGTATATATTATATATACATATTTTATATATGTATAAATAGTAAAAACGCAATCTATGAAAATACATCACACATTCGCTAGGTAATTGCTGATTTTACAATAATCAGTAAAATGACGCAAATTTAATTTACGAATGTATTATTTCGCTTTCGTTCACTTAGGACATTTATTAAAACCTATCTATCTATTTATTATCTTTTATTAATTTTATACGTATAAACTTTCAAAAGGTTTAAAAAAAATCTATATTGAAATTGTGCTTATAACTATAAAACAGGAGACGCAAAAGAAGGCTGGTCTACCAGTAATGCTACCTCATGAGCCGTCAGCGCGACGAGAAACACCGCCCCTGCCGCGGCGACCAGACCCGGATCCTTTACTTATTAATGGTAATAATTAAAACAAAAAATGCTTTAATAAATTAAATAAATAATGTCATTTTTAATTATGAGATGACTAACCTATATGAGACTAATTACGTGTTTATGGTTTTTTAGATCCTTGGAGCTCAGACAGTGACCTCTCAGATCTGTCGCCTATTGAGGACGAATATGCAAAAGTCGACAAGTCGGATAAAAAGCCACGTGAAGCGCCAGATATCGGAGACGTGACGGTTACAACGACAAGTGACGTAAAATTGCCGAGCAACGTCACTACTAACTCTGTCACGTCACCCACAACTGTGACGACGAATTATGCGAACGTCACGTCATCGTCATATGTGAACGTGACTACTGCGACGTCATACGTTAATGTGACGTCGGCTCCGAGTGTCACGCCTACTACAAACTCCTCAAGCCATATTGTTACCGTCACCACTGCTGCGTCTACCCCAGCTGTCGTCGCCGATACTTTGTAAGTCATCAACAACAACAAATAACAATTTATATTATTAGGTGAGAATGGTTTTTCCGACTTCAGAAAGGCAAAGGATTGTCAGCATTTTTGGTTGCGGATAAGTTACGCAATATTTTTACCAGTTGTGTGTGTTTTAATAATTCATCTTTTAATAAATGAGTTATTCAAAATAAATAATAAATATTTTTAAGTAATAAAGTTGGTGAGAATTTTAATGACCTGGTCACATAATATAGGGTTCTGTAGGGCATTAAGACACCTACCCAGGTAAGTCGCTAGTATGTTGTAATAATTAAATTGTAAAATATGAATAAATATATTTGTATAGGAGCGGGGCTAACGCAACTAGTATGGCGAGCATCACAAGCACAGCGAGCAGCGCGGGGAGCGTGGGCGCGGGGGCGGGCGCGGGGGCGTCGCGCGAGCTGGACGCGGCGGTGCCGCGCGGCGCGCTGCTGGACACGTCGGCGCACCGCGCGCGCACCGACCTGGCGCGCCACCGCCACCACGCGCCGCTGCACTCCCACTCGCCCCATTCCCCCCACTCCCTCAGCAATGCTAGCTCGGTGAGGTTCATACTCGTTGTATATTGTCTACATAGTATAAAACAAAGTCGCTTTAAGCTGTCTGTCTGTCCCTATGTATGCTTAGATCTTTAAAACTACGCAACGGAATTTGATGCGGTTTATAATACATGCATATTATTATTAAATTGTATGGAAAAACCGAGAAATTCAAAGATTTGTTTTTCATATTAACCATTAAAATGTACCTATGTGTATGTTCTCCCTTTGTACCACAGATAACCTATGTCTAGTATTGAATTATTACTAAACTCTGTGTACTCCCTATAGATAATAATTTATAACGATCATATTACTGCAATATAGTGTTTTGTGTAAAGCTTGCCCTGCCAAATGTAACAGACCTAACTATCATTAATGCTCATTCTTTACTTAACAAGGCTAGAATATACCGACAATGAAACGTATTAATTGACAAGTGATAGATAAACAAATTGTTTATTTTATATAAGATCTTGTTGGGATTTTAATATTGAGAAACGCAAACTTTCCAGTATGATGGGTTAGACGATTCCTACAACGACTCTGCGGACGAGTCGCTGAGCGAGTCCACTTCGGGGGCGCCTCCACACGCCTCTCACCACACTGTTAGTACATGATCACATATTATTCCAATCAATTATTATCGTTTATAATTTTCAAATTTCAAAACAAACATTTTTAATTTTCCAAATTTTATGAAATTTTATTTTAATAAAGTCGGGCGTGTTCCTTGTTACTTACAACATCACACGTAATTTTCTGCTAGTTATTACCCGATTACTAACTGTCCTGTGTTTTTATTGTATTAACGAGTTTTTTATCAATACTTAACATTCCCTAATTAACTAATAATTTTAATTATAAAGGCTGAAAATACTGAAAAAATGTATTTAAAGTATTTTCGTAAATGTTTTTCAGCAACGAGATACGCGACAAAGCTGCGGTAGTTCGATCGGCAGTGCGATGGATGATGCCGTGTATTCCCGCGACCATCGACATCATCCTCTCTCAGGTATGATCCTAATGTAATTCAAATTGTCACATTATATGTTAATATTCAATGTTACGCCAATTAAAACGATATTTTTATAGTATGAGTATATGGTTAATAAAATAAATGAATTGATTATTTTTAATATTTCTTAACTGGCGTAATATATAAGTCATATACATAACACTTTAGTGTTGCTAGCTCTGTGTGTTACATATTTATGCTTTGGTAAATGTTCACTGGGTGAAAATAAATATATAATCAGTAACGTATTTCACTTAAATATATTTGTTTTGTATTTTGTATATTTGTCGCATATTAAAAAATATTGTATACGCTTTAAATTTATAAAATAACGTACTACATAATAAAGCGTGAATATTGATAACTGAACACCGAACAATACAAACAATACGTGAGGTATTACGTAACGTATTGGATCGTGCCGGTCCGACGAGCAGGTCCGCCCGCGTCGCTGGCGGAGCAGCTCAAGCAGGTGCTGGCCGAGCGCGAGCGCCGCCTCGCCGCGTCGCCGCCGCCCCCGCACGCGCTGCCCCCCGCGCACCCCGCGCACCCCGACCCCGTGCAGCTCACCAACGAGCTGGTCGACGAGATACGCCAGGCCGTCAGCGAGGCCAACGCCAGAGGTTTGTCTCTGTCACACACACCGCGATACATTATGAGAGAGAGAGAAAGTATTAGTCAGACGAGATACTCTAGGTTGTCAGCGAGGCCAACGTGAGAGGTTAGTGCCTACCATACCGCGTATCGTAGAGAGAGAGAGATATACTCTCATGAGTTACTACTGTTCTTCAAGTAAGGTTAGGATGGAGAGATATAATTTTAGCGCGCGGAATATTACGAGTAATGGTATCTACTTTTTGGAAATTTGCATTGAATGATTTAGACTAATATGAAATGTTTGTTGGTTTTTTATATATATAAAATAAATTTTAAGTAAATTAAAACACTACAATGTAAACGGTTTTTGATGGTATATATACTAAAGCAAAAATGAACATGATTCTAAAAGCAATATAATATCTTATAATAGTTAGGAATTTGAAGCAAACTAATATAAATATTGTATTTATATATGCATATCACATATATTATGTTATTGAGTGTGAGGTGGTGGTGCCAAAATAGGCTGCTTATTATTTTGTTATAACATTTTGTGTTTTCATCTTAATATTTATGTAATATCTTTACTAACTTTCATTTATTTGCTTTTTTTTGTATTTTGTGTTATTACATATTATAGCAGATGTGTTTTTTAATAAAATAATAAACTAATGAAAGATTCACTGGATAGTATTTGAAGCAAAAAAAAAAAACCTTGTAACGCTAATATCGTAAAGCACAACAAACACAAACAAAAATGGTTGTAGTGAAGAAAGCTCCGGCTTGTGTAGTCGGCGGCGAGGTGCCGTGGCAGCCGCTGTCGGCCGCCGTGTCGGAGGCGAGCCTGTCGCCGCGCGCGGCGCCGTCACCCGCGCCCTCGCACGCCGCGCACGCCGCCGCCCCGCACCCCGTCAACCTGTGGACTAAGCAGCAGGTCGGGATTGTTTTTTTTTTTTGAAGTAAAACTTCTTTAGGCACGCTTAACTTGGGTAGTTAGCTGGTGAATGCGTTACGAAAAAATGTACATACGTTTGTTGCCATGGTAACCGTTGTTATTGTCTGACAAATGATATATAATATTATGTTCTTGCCTTAAATGATATTCTATAAATATAAATTGAATTTCATAAAGAGTACCGATAACCTTCAGAAATTTTACTTCTTACACGTGTATATATCCATACATGCACTCTTTAATTTTTTTTATTAAAAAAGAAAGTGGCACAGGAGCATACATAGTGCCTGATGAGTGAGGGTATATCCATTAATTACGTGAGCTGTTCTTCTTTCAATTTAGACTCCTCCTCTTGTTGTTGAGATTAAGTGAGATTTGACCCCTCTCAGTTTAAATGTAATTTGACGAGACTTTAATTGGACTCTTAACTAAACCTAATCCTATTTTGAACTCAAGTAATTAATGGATGCCCTCCCCTCCCCTCTCCCCCCTAAGCAGTATTTGCAGCTTAAAAAAATAATTATACATTTTATTTTTAAAACAGGTATGGCAATGGATATCAAGCCTTGGCGAAGGGCTGGAGCGCCACGCGGGGGCGTTCGCCACACGCGGCGTGGACGGCGCTTTGCTCCTCACTCTAAGCTCTTCAGACCTGAAACTCCTGGGACTCCCCGGCGACGAGAGACGACGAATGAAAAGACGCCTGAAAGACCTACGAGCCCAACACGAGAAACACCTAAAGGCACTCAAGAAGGCAGAGAAGAAAGCCCGCAAGAAGTAACTCCCAATATACGTACCTCTTTACATTAATCGAGCTATGGCGCGCTTATGACGTTCCTACATGCCTTATTCTAATAATCCGATATGTTATATCGTTATATTGCGGTATCCTATAAGTAACTACATACATTATACTTTTATTCTTTTTGTACAACGTATTGGAACTTTTTAATATTATGTCCTTGAGATCTTAAAGCGTTATTAGCCGTGTAAATGAGGTATGGGAAGCCTTTGTGGCATCTAACTCGCCCGCCAAATAGAGTGACACTTCACGTGAAACGTGTTTAGTATATTGCTATGTAGACTTAAGGTTTTAATTTTCGACTTCTTATGTATTTCTTGCCTTATTTATTTGTATTACTAACTTTGTGGCAGATATTTTTTTCTTCTTATACATGATCGTTTCACGTGAATTGCTTACTCTTAACACTTTTTCCAATGTATTAACTTAAATTAAGCGAAAGTGTAGCGCCATACTTATGATAATATTATGTAAACTAAATCGAAGTTCTGATTCGTTGAGGACGTTGATTGATATGAAGAGATCGATTGTGTATTAAATTTAGAATACATTAGAAGATATACTGCATTGTCGTATTTCTAGATGAATGGTTATATCTGAGTTGTAATCGTTGATGCGATTACTGTGTCAGGTAGGAGCCCGTCTGCGTGTAGCTTCTAGCGACAGGGCTGCCAGATCGTACAATTGGATATGAAAATTGTAAAATATGCTTATTTTATGTATATTTCATTTGAGTTTTTACGTATTTTCAACCGACTTCAAAAAGGAGGAGGTTCTCAATTCGACTGTATGTTTTTTTTTTTATGTTTGTTACCTCAGAACTCCGTCATTTATTAACCGATTTGGAAATTTTTTGTTTTGTTTCAAAGGGTATACTTCCAGATTGGTCCCATTTAAATTTCAAAAAAAAATACCACCCCTAAGGGTGGAAAAACAACTAATGATGAATTTAACCTACTTCTAATTGTCATATTCACTTGAAACTTTGCAAGTATTTCTATTTCCGTTGATAGTACAGTGGTTCGGTGTTGTTGACCTGATCTGATGGCAAGGCCAGAAGGTGGATAGGTGGAACTCTTCAACGGCTAATAGTAGATACTTTGAGTTTGGGCTTATTTTGTTTGATTTGACAAGCCTAACACGTTAGAATTCTTACTGTGCTACGTCTGTCTACACTAAAAAGGGAAAAATAAAAACTTTTTAACAAAAACATAAAAACCGACTTCAAACAAAAGCACTAAAAAGTAAAAAATAACTGATTGGTAGTTTTCATTTACTATACATACCTAATCAAATATTTTCGAAGTCGGTGTGCTTTGGCTAAGTAATTAAAGCCTACCTATTAAATACATACCCAATCAAATATTTTCGAAATCGGTGCCAGCCCATACAAAGCAAAGCACACCGACTTCGAAAATATTTGATTAGGTATGTATAGTAAATGAAAACTACCAATCAGTTATTTTTTACTTTTTAGTGCTTTTGTTTGAAGTCGGTTTTTATTGAAATTTTTTATTCGTCACAGACTATTTCTCAACAGTTTTGTTAATTTGTATAATAAAATTTGATTTTGTATAATTGGAGTGACCCAGCGGTATAAAATAAGTTGGCTCTATTGGCAGCAGTTGTCACTACTGGCAGCCCTGTGCAGCAATTAGAGTGCCGCCATGAATGAAAAATCGAAACGTAGTGATCGATCGAAGAATTTTTAATAGTTTAATACATTATTCTAACATGCGATGCAAGCTCGTCCCTCACCTATCTGCTTATTAAATGAGAAGTGTTTGGATTTAAGCATAATATAAAAATAAATGTATCACAGGTTTGTTCATGTGTTATGTTCATTATAAAATAATTCTTACGAGCATATGGGTGATGATCACCTGGCTTAGGATCTTCTGCTATAACTAATTATGATATAGATCGGTTCCATTGACGATTTAAGTACTACCAAAGTGACAAATATGACTAATATATAATTTTCAATGTTGAACTTCTTCGTTGTTCCTACATTTTGTATTACATGTCTACACTTCTGTGTTATATGCGAGTTGATGGGTTGTCTGAGAATACTGGCTCAATCTAGTCATAAGATCGATTTGTAAGCTGTTCGGACTTAATGAACTATATTATAGCATTTTTTTCTGGGAATTTTCAAATTTTTAGCGTAAATTGTAACTTTCATGTGTAATAATTTAGATATATGTATTATTATATGAGTACATCGCGATAATTCTATTAAGTCAATATTCTAAAAATACGAATTGATTTTTTGGTAATGGCATTTATTTATACATTTTATTGCACAAAATGTACTTACTCAGGTGATTCTATTTATATATCACCGGTATATTAGTGTATCGAAATAATAGTAAAAAACGTTAATCCAATCGTGTGATCTCATGGCATGGTGTAAGAGTATATCTACTAAATTTACACGATTTACGAAATAAATTATCATAGGAAGAAATCTGACAGATCGCTATTGAAAATATGACAAAAACTAATATTTAATGCAAATATGTTTCATGCAGTAAATGAAAAAATAACCAAATTTAAATGTAATCAAATCAAACAGCCATGAAGATGTTATTATTAATTAAGAAGTTTCCTGTCAAATCTCTTCACAAGATAAGTTGAGTAACAATATAAATGTTATATAGTAGCCTACGCCCCAGTTCCTGTATCGCCCAATCTACACGATATATATATATTACATTCCAATAACTTTCTCTCAATATAGTTGTTCTGTGTGTGTTGAATGATTTAGACGAGCTTTATAGTTTTCTTAGGCGACATGAATAGGGTTTATCTAAGTGTTATTCGGTCTGTGTATTCATCGAGCGTGTTTGGTTCCGTAGCTACATTTACCATGTAAATATAGTCTCGAAGTGGACTGACTGGAGACTAAATAGTGTGTTTGTTGTGTTCGTATGACTGAATATATATCGTACGTTTAGAGTATTTATTTCGATTAAGATTTAACATTAAACGTAAGTAGGACTCTATTAACTATTGCCAAAATTGATGAGTACTTTTTTTATATTTGTTGATTTTTTTAATTTGCTTTTCCCTTAAATTATTTTTATATTTATTTTGGGACCAAATTAATTTATTATAATCTTACAATTTATTGTTTATGTATTTGGGTGTGTTCAGATGAAAGATTTTTATTTATAAATAAATAAACAAACCAAAGTCTATATCATAATGCTTTTTATTGTAAAACCTTTATTCCCTGGCATTAGTGAAAGTTTAATTCCAATTTCATATGAAACTTCTGTTATGGTGTTAATATTCATTACTAAGTACAATGTTATGAGATTATTTTTGAATCTAGTATAACTTATATTTGCCAAACAAGATATTTTACAGATTAGAGATATATAAAGTACATAGAAATTAAAATAATATTGTAATTTCCCTGAAAACTAAAAATTGTAGTCTAAAGAATAAAATTATGATCAACAGATTTTGAACAGTAGGTTATAATATAATGTTTTTGCCTTGGATATTTTAGTTTGTCTATCATACCTATTACCTACATATTATTTCACCCCCGTGCCTCGGAGAGCACGTAAAGCCGTCGGTCCTGCGCCTTAACTCTCACCGGTCGTGTCGAGTGGTCGTCCCACCGGAGTATGAGAGTGATAGGAATAGAGAGTGCACTTGTGTCTGCGCGTACACTTGAGCACTATAATATCTCCTGCGCAGTTGGCTAATCTCATTGAGATTGGCGGCCGTGGCCGGAATCGGCTAGGAGAACATCATCATATAATGTGTTATGTGACAGTCGGGAGACAGTGTTAGACAAATCAACAGACAGATGTTCATCTTGCTTAAAGCTTTTACGTTGGTTGAATTACAATGACTTTTTTTTATTTTCAAGTAAAATCAGGAAATATGTTTCAGTATTATTATCACTAAAATAAAAGAATTTTTGCTTATGTAAAACTGAAAATGCCATAATATAGATTTCAATTTTTTTATTTTTAAGTGTTTTATGTGAATCTGGTTTTCCTACTATCCATCTTGCTGTAACTTGCTGGGAGGTAATAGTGTTTTAACTTTTATAATGTTCACCATGAAAATTTTTGACAACCATCTAGCATCCCCTTGATCATTTTTTTTATAATAAAACCTATCATGGGATCCCTGTCAGATGTGAACGAGCAGGGAACTGCAAGTCTCCTATTTACTAAAACCCCAGCGGTAGTGCAATAGGGCATTGCAGGGTGTCTTGTGCACACACTATATATGTGCACTACATCCCTGCAGTGTTGTCTTTGATCTTAAGTTAAATGCTGCCAAGGAATTACAATATATACTATAAGGATTTTTATACTGCTTAGTCCTGTGATTTTCTTGTACATAATTTACTTATGGTCACTAAGTATATAATATAATATTAGTAAATTTAATTAGTACAAAAAGGTAAGAATAAAAAGGATTTCAAAAAAAAAAAAACGATTTTATTCAGTATTTTTGTTCTTCTTTTTATTTCTTTTTTTCTTTTTTGATTTTTTAGCAGTGGTTGTTTCATTATTACCTTCTGCATTATCAATGTCATCATAACTTATAGTTACAAATGCACCAGCTTTTCTTTTAAGTGCTGATTTTAGCATTTTTGCATCATTTTCAGAAATATCACTATCTTCATTTTTAGATTCATTTTCTTCTTCATTTTCCTCATCTGATTCTTCCTTTTTAACGAAATGACTTTGTCTATTTAATGTTACACAAGTAATTCTACATGAAGCATTTGCTGAACACATTTCTTGTAATTTGTCATCATCAACTGACCATGATTTTATTTCCCCAGTACTGGAGGCAGAATATAGTGTGCCATTTTCATAATGCACACATTTTACTCTTTGTTTATGAGCTGGATAGGTTTGTGCTTTTGTTTCAGATACTGTGAACCTAACAATATTACCGCTTTCAAGTCCTACAAATAAGTTATCATCATCAGTCCATTGAACTGTACTTGGCTTTGAATTACATGTTAATCGTTTTTCTAGGCCTGCTTTACTGATTGTCCAAACATCAACATTTTGTAAAGATATAAGAGAAAATCTATCACCACCAGGTGAAAATTTTATTTCTGTAGGCAGGGTTACACCTTTACTGGCTAAATTTATTGTAAAAGCTGGACGTCCTTTGACAAGATTCCAAGTTCTAAGAGTTTTATCACCCCCAATACTTAAAGCCAATTTATCCGATGGGTGTATAGCAATGGCAGTAACTGGTTGTCCTATAAAAAAATAGCTATTATTACAAGTAAAAAACACTTAAAATAGGTAAGTTGAAAAAATTACTTACCACTGTGTGCTTTTTTCCAAATCTTTTCTATTTGCCAATTTCCTGTTCTGGTGACAATAATAGAGCCATCATCACTACCCGTAAGCAAATGAGTTCCATTATGAGTAAAAGCAACACTGTTTATTGTACCATCATGATTCATTAAAACTGTGTGCTCTTTACGTGTCTTCAAATCTATAACAACGACTTTGTCGTCGGTTCCACCTGAAGCCAAAAACTTTCCTGCTACAGAAACGCAACGCACTGATGCGGTGTGTGAATGAGTTGCAAATGTTTGTTTCAGTTTTGTACCCTAAAATAACAATATTAATTTATTAGACGATATAGATGTAGATAAAACGTGTTTGATATATTTAAAAAGGAAAACTTCTTGTTTACTTCATCTTCAGATCGCAATGAATATCCAAGTAAAAATCCTTCATATGTTCCTACAATTACTTCGTCCATTTTATTATTTTTACGGTAATTTTTAAATGTAAATTAATATTTTAATTATAACCTCATCGTTTATTAACACATTGACGTATGTCACCAAAAAACAATAACAATGACAGTGACATTTGATGTATATTTTTAAATTTTGACTAATGCACAGAGCACTAGTGTATAAGACATAAACTGACAAGAGCATACATCTAAATCCCAGCATGCAATATAAGCGATTACAAAGTTACTTTTGTAGTTCATATAACTTTTCGTCACTTAAACTACCCAAATGGCTAGATCGAAAAATAGCGGTTGTATAGCACAGTAAGTCACAGACGATGTTTCCTAACTCCTTTAATAATATACCTATACTATACTTATAAGGCGGGGCAGCGTGGCAAAGGCAAGCGATAAGATTAAGATCGTGGTGATCTTATAGCAGGCTAAATTGAATTAGGTATGCGCACAAGAAATAGTAACAGAAAAGAAAAAAAGAAAATTATTTACAGTAAGAAATGAGATCCCATCAAAAACATAACATGTAAGAGAAGCAAGTCTTCCAACGCAAACTGCGTTATACAATAAGTTGTCAAAAAAATTGTAAGTCACTTAATTTATTCAGGACCTTATTATTTAATAAATAGAATGAAATGATCAGAGTTTTTTTGATTACAAATAAACAAATCTTTCATTGCACATTGGGAAAATAAAACTGTTATTGTTTATTTTTTGTTTTATTTTATTTTAATTCGATTAATTGAAAGAAATGTAGTTGTACCTATTGGCTGTTATTACTTTTTCTGTTTGATCTGTCATCTGTGTTATATTTTCTATCTGTAATCATGTTGACAGTGTCATGAAGGAAAAAGCCTCTGCTTAGTTCATGATTTATTCGTATTAATTTTAACTCTTTAGTGAAGTATGAATGTAGTTTCCTGAAATTATTTGTATAAATAATATTTTGAATTTTTAGATAAAGTCATATTTTCATTCTGGTGAGTGTTCGTTTAGTTTTAGGTCTGTGTGCTTGGAGTTCTCTACAAATGTCTACTGCTATCGATCTATAAGAAAATATTTGTTTTACTTTCGCCTTGGTGCAGGATTCCCAAAAGAGGACTTATTTAGACATCTACAAGATGGATTTGGCGGAGACAATGAAAAGTGTTCTAGCGAAAAGCACGGGAAATGCAAGCGGTGCATCAAGCAGCTCTAGTGCGGCGGCTCCGCATGGCGCTGAGGGCTACGTGACGGAAAAACTTTATATGCTGCTTCAATTATATTTGCAAAATAAAGGCTGGAGCCCTAGTATAGAACTTTTGCAATGTTTTAGTGATTTAAAAGAGTCCTCAATGCTGCCTAGTGCTGCTTATTTACAGTAAGTAAAGACAATTAATAGTTATAGAACAGCATATCTTTAGGAAGATATAAAATATATAAACAATATCTTATAATTTACTAAATGTTTTTTTTATTAACAGAATGATGGCTTCAAGAGTGGGCTTAGATGCACAAGGTAGATTAATATATCGTGAAAATGGAAAAATAATTCTTCCATATGAGCACTTTGCTAATGCTGTCATGTTAAAGCATATGAATGGTCCCCATGGACTTCATCTTGGATTAGAAGCTACAGTTAGAGCAGTAAGTAAGAAAATTTTTCTTTGATTTTAAGCATCTCCCTTTCATATATGAATTTTAAACAACTACTTTTCTATATTTTGAACTTTTAGGTTGTAGAATCATATACCATTGGTCGTGATCAATTTGGGATGGAAAAAGAGTTTATTGTAGATGTAGTCCAAAACTGTCCAAATCCAGCTTGCCGTTATTATAAAAATCAGCTGGAAATGACACAGAAATCTATTCAGCAACACTTATCACAACAACCAACATATATTCCAGGTAAACTTTATTATTTATATATTTTCTAAATCTTTTATAAATGTATACTTTAATAGAAAATTCCAACAAATACAGAATACAAAATACTTAATATATAGCATAACTGATTTACATATTCATCTTATTATATTTTGACTTAATATTGAATTGGATATCGATTCAATATCGATATATCATCGTCAATCATAAACTCATTTTTGCATACTCTTTTCTTCTTTTAGTATTTCTTAAAAACAGTATCAATAAATAAAACAAACATCTGCAGCATAGAATAGTCCTATGTGCCTTAAAAAACCAGAGGACTGCTGCTCAGTGTACTATTATTTCTACATAATGAGTGTTGTTAAACAGTGGCAGTAAGATAATTTTTGCACAGAGTAATTGTTATATTGTTATGATTTAATCTCTTAAAATTCATCTGCAACTAGTCGCAACTAGTTGCCCAGACTCTAGATCTTCTACAAAACAGAGTCGACACTAAATAAACTTCACATTGTCATTTTTGTGCTTCACTGCATAAATAATGTGAATAGTATGTTTTTTAATTGATTTTTGTATCCAAAGGACTGTTCAAACAATAGTGTGGTCAAAATTCAAGTGTTAGTTTTTAGTATCAAATACAATTAATATACTTTGAATTATTTTTTAAACATGCTATCTCTATTCTATTATAGCTTATATTATGTGTTTTAAATTCACTGATTTTAATTTAGGCAATAATTATTCTTCGTACACTGTGAATAGTGCATGCCAGAGGACTGTACTTTTAGACATTTAGAAAGAATGTATTTATATTATTAAAGGATGCAAATGTAGTATATCAATGTTTTTATATACCAGACTTGTATTCCATGTAGCCAAATAAGTAAAAATATATATACATAAATAGCTCAGGAAAACGATTTCCCCATTACTATATTCCTTTTGAATATATTTCGAGGAATGTTATGTATGCTATACAAAATCGAAGAGGCACTAGATACCAAAGACATTTGTCTAGGCACCTTCATTGACTTTGAAGGTGCTTTCGACAAAACCAACTTCACTAGTATCAAAGCCGCACTCAGCAGACATAAGGTAAATCCAGTAATAGCTGACTGGATCCAATACATGCTAGCGAATAGAGTGGTCAGGCTAGGTAACAGCAACAAACAAGGTGCCATCGTAGCCAAAGGATGTCCTCAAGGAGGAGTACTCTCACCTCTCTTATGGAACCTAGTAGTCAACGACCTAATAACCCTGCTCAACAACAACAGATATTATACGATAGGCTATGCAGATGACCTAGCCATCCTCGTAACGGGCAAATTCACAAGTACAGTTTGTGAATTAACTCAGACAGCCCTAAATATAGTCGAAAAATGGTGTTATGACTATAATCTGAGTGTTAACCCACGCAAAACAGAACTAATAATGTTCACAAACAAAAGAGCCCTAGGAAGCTACACCCTGCCGAAACTCTTTAACTCCACCTTAACATTAATCACAGAGGTAAAATACCTTGGAATTACCTTAGATAGCAAACTAAATTGGTCTAAACACCTAGACAATTTACTAAACAAAGCCAGTATCACCTTCTGGCAATGCCGAAGGATGATAGGTAAAAAATGGGGCCTTAATCCCAAAATAACTCTATGGCTATATACATCGGTAATACGACCTATGATCAGCTATGGTGCCTTAGTGTGGTGGCGTAGAACACTTTTGACCACAGCACAAACCAAGCTACAAAGCTGGCAAAGGCTGGTGTGCATGGCAGTGACGGGCTGCATGAGAACAACACCAACCGCAGCTCTCGAAGCCATGCTAAACCTTTTACCGCTTCACTTGTTTATACAACAAGAGGCTGCGTCTACCGCGATAAGACTAGATGGTCAAAAACTGCTAAGGAAAACAGGCACTCCACACACAAAAATCCTAATGGACGTAGCCAAAGACATTCCTCTTATGGGAGCACCCAATGACGGAATACAAATAAAATACATTTTTGACAAAAAATATAAAATACAGCTGGAGGAAGATACATATGAAGGTCGCGACAGTAAGGACCTAAGAATCTACACCGACGGCTCGAAAACCAAATCGGGGACTGGCTGTGGCATTTTCTCCGATGATCTAAACATTAAAACCTCAATACCTCTAGGTACCTACAACACGATGTTTCAAGCTGAAAGTCTAGGTATCCTTGAGGCAGCCAGAACAATTGCGACAAAGAAGGTGGAAGACTGCTCCATCCGCATATTATCAGACAGCATGTCAGCACTACAGGCATTAAATAATAATTCTACCATATCAGGTATGATCTATGAATGTCATAAGGCCTTGACACAGGTAAGTGACCGGAATGAGATCACCTTACAATGGATCAAAGGCCACAGTAACTCGTGGGGGAACGATAAGGCAGATGAGCTAGCAAGAAGGGGTTCGGACATGACGGCGATAGGACCAGAGCCCATCGTCTCGTTACCTTCTTGCTGGCTCAAAGGCCAAATTCGACAACGAACTAAACGCCAACACAACAATGTATGCCGTGAAGTTGTAGACTGTAGACAGGCGAAAAAATCGCTTCCAAACATTGATGCCAAAATGTCGAACCGTATCATCAAACTTAACAGACCTCAACTCAGGCAAATAACCGCGGCCTTAACCGGCCACGGACCATATAATAAACATCTATTTAATATAGGTATAACTGACAGTCCACTTTGCAGGGCGTGCATGGGGGCAGATGAAACGGCTGCACATGTGATCTTGTATTGTCCAGGTGTAGCGACGTACCGGGCTCAACATCTTGGCACTCCTGGGTCACTCCCGGAAATTTTCGGCAAGACGAAGAGGTTGCTGAAGTTCCTGGAGGAACTGGGGTGGCAAGAGTAACAAGAAGTTAAATTACCACACACGCAAAATAGGCGCATAGTCGTCGAGTTGCGGAAAACAGCCCGAACATACCATACCATACCATATGTATGCTATATTATTATTAATATTTATATCTCTTTGGTTTTCACGGTTATTTGGAAGGCTTGTGTGGGAACAAAGGTCCAACATGTAGAGGCCCCTTAAGAGATTCAAGTTTGTTTAATGTGACACATCATAATATAATGATAATGCATAGGGACTATGAAAAATATGGAAAACGTCCAAGGTTCTTTGGAATGGAGTTTGGATAGGCTAAAAATCTGGGCGATTGGATGTGACTACCAGACCTCTGCCTTCTCAATAGTCTCAGATTGAATATTTGGTGGACATCTACTAGATGGCCCCACAAAGCCCCACATAGTGCATCCTCTTTACAAATACGACGCAACATTGGCGTGGTCGGCTAAGGTTGTCGAGAGGTGAGCACTGGTTTCACTAACATGAGAGTTCTCGTGTTATTATGCTGATTGAGCACTTCTACCCTTTCGACCACTTTGTTCACTTTGGACGGCCAATAAAGGCAAGTCATGAGGGGGGACAGATGGTGTTTCCCCCGGGCGATCTCATTGTTTCACCAACAACTCACCACAAGCTGCCCCCTGGGCTAATTATTATTGTTATTATATTTCTACACAAATAACTCTTTCTTTCAGAGGCTGGTGGTGCGTCATTACCAGACAGTGCAGCAGTTGAACGTCTATTACGAGGTGCAGCTTTACCACAAGACTATCAACTGCCAATTGCACCCCATCTAGCTGCACTCAGTGAGTTGTTATGTAAAAATCTATTTTGTTCTCTATTAGAGTCATTTACCATTATTATCTATACCTTAAGTGTATTTGTAAATTAAAAAAAAAATTAAATCTGTAAATAAATTGCAGAGCACAAGCATAAAACAAATCAATTTCGTATGTAAAGTATTATATATTTAAATTAAGTTTATTAATATTAATGTTCATTGAAAATGTAATTTCCAGCAAACCTAGCTGGTGATAAGTCAGAACGTCGAGCGGAGAAGTTATCTCAACAGATGCTCCTGCAGCAGAACAGGTCACTGGCACACCAAGCGCCTATAGACAAGTACTCTCACTCACAGCGATCCTCTTCACACTCTAGTATGGACACTAAATCAAAGCACCATTATACTGATGAACACAAGCTCACTGATTTCTTGAGGTATGTTTTATTATATTGTGTAATAAATTTTCATTTTATATTATACACTTACGATTGTAATCAAAAGCCTTTCAAGATGTTTATTTGGTTTAGTCTCAGACTAAGAAAAAATATAGAGTGAGTTTTAAAATAGTATACTAATATTAATAGAATACTATTCATATATTATTCATCTTTTTTTTGAAATATTGTAAATTACTAATACCTACATACAATTCCTCATAGAAAGTAATTGATCTGTATGGTAAAATCGCATAAAGGGCAAAATCACGCTACTATTTATGACTTTCACATTTTTTTTGGGGGACTCCATCGATATAAATCCTTAGTCTGAGGGTTTACTCTTAACAATGCATATTTCCCCAGGTGTAGAGTTACCTACTAACAATAATTGTTATTACTTTATGCCTGTCAAACTTTACTACGTGAGGATGATCTTACAGGATACATAGATAAACTGCTTTTAGGCGTTGCAGATATTAGTAAAAGAGATAAAGACATTACTTAAGGAGGTATAAATTCCATTTTATAGTGAGAAATGCTAATGGTAGGCTTATCTGATATTTATACAAAAATGTGCACCATGCGATCTCTGCGTGAATCTCCCTCTCATCTCGCATAGAATTTAATTGTAAGCTAGGTTAGATCGTTACTGTATTGCCGTGTACTGCAGTAACCTCGAAATAAATAAATAAATATGTTAGCACACATCACCATCTAGTACCATGGTAAGCTACTAGGCTTGTGTTATGAATACAGATAGTTGATTCACTACATATATATAATTTTAAATACATTAATATTATAAATATAAACAAACGCCAATGACTGGAGTACAAACATTCGTGCAACAGCAAACTGAGCCAAACATGTAATCAATTAAATGTAACAAAACGTGTTTCATGTCCGTGCAGAGCCAACTTGGAGAGCCTGGAGTCTCTGTCGGGTACCCACGAGCGCGGGGGGTCGGGGGGCGTGGGGGGCGCGGCGGCGGGCGCGGCGGGGGGTGCGGCGGGGGGCGCGGGGGGCCAGGAGCGCGTGGTGCGCGCATTTGCGGAGCTGGCGCGCAACCTGCAGCGCATGCGGCCGTGCGTGCGCCCCGCCATGTGCAAGCCCTACGGCAAGCAGAGCGAGCAGCTGCAGAAGAGTTAGTGTGCTACTTGCTTTATAATAATAATCTATATAAATAAAAATGAATGTTGCTAAGCGCAAAACTGGAGAACGACTGGACCAATTTTTATGATTCATATTTGATATTTTGGATTTCTCCTCCGAATAGGATAATAAGTATTAAAACATCAGAAAAATTAACGAAAAAAAAATTATGGGGCTAACGCTGGCTAATAACTATATCTCTTCAAAACGTACCAGTTATAAATTTACCATACCAATATACCATACTTAGTATTATTATTATCCATACTACATTTAATATTATAAATGTGAAAGTGTGTTTGTTTGTCCTTCTTTGTGTGAAACGGAGTGACGGATTAGCGTGATTTTTTGTGTGAAGATAGTTGGAGGGCTAGAGCTACTTTTTACCGTGGGAGATTATCTCATTCCCACGGAAAAAACACGTTATAATACAACCCACAATAACTCATCATACCTATGTATATATAATATCTATTTCATACTAACCGTTAAAACGTACCAAGGGACAAACCCGAGCGAAGCGAGGGCGAGTGAGTAATATATACAAATAAATAAAATAAAATAAAAATAAATAAATAAATTTTAATACGTGAAGCAAAAACTTTGTACCCCTTTTTACACAAATTGCGCGGACGGAGGAATATGAAGTTTCGCACACTTATAGTTTATATAGAGGAGTGCAGAATGATATTTTGTTTTAAAATTATGCATAAAAAATCCAAATAATTGATTTAATATTAATAAAAAAACCATTACACACACTACCATGTATTTGACACAAACACACACACGCATAGGTATATACTCTTTTGTTTGTTGTTAAAGTCTGTGTGTATACTGAATAATATTTCCTTTTAAAATTATGAAAGCTTAAAGCAAATGAATTATATAAAACATTGCTCATTTTAGTATTGTTGGATACAATCCAACTCGTGCAGTCGCTGCGAAGTTACCTGCCGCCTCCGCACATTCAAGTTACATCGTGGAAGAACGATGACAAGCTACGGTGAGATAAAAATAATTAAATTATATTGACTAATTAAGAATATAGTGATTATGTGGGTCTTTAAAATTTCTTAGCCTTATAAATCTTCTATTTTTTTTGATTACACTCATTGACCTGGCTTTTCCGTGTCCATATAATCGTGTAATATCTAATGTCTAACTTCTAGGGGTCATTAATAACATTACCATTATATAGGCAGGATAAACATATTTTTTTCCTTTTACACTCATAATAAAAGTCTTAGATGTAAAAAAATAAAAAAAAATGCCATGCTCCTTTGGGCTGCGGTATCGTTTTAGCATAACACGTGCTTAGTAACCTTTTCAAAATTCAAATGCGACATTTCTACAAGTTACACTCAAATAGAGGATTCGTTGTAGGGTTAATCGATTGAAAAGCAATTTGTGTAATAACAAAGTTCTCTTGACCGGTTTCGGCCAAAGCGGCAAATCTCACTGAGACTAGCGAACTTTTATTCAGCCCCTTTTTTTTAACATCCCACTGCTGGGCACGGGCCTCCTTTCATTACTAGGGGGATGAGGTCATAGTCCACCACTCTGACCAAGTGCGAGTTGGCGGACTGCAGACGTCTTTCGAAAACTTACTAAGTTCTCTCAGACACGCAGGTTTCCTCACAATGTTTTCCTTCACAGTAAGGCCAGTAGTAGTAATCATGTTAGAAATGATTCGCACATGAAAATATCAGAGGTGCTAGACCCGGGATTTGAACTCGCTTCATTCGGTTTCCCAAGCGAGCGCGTTACCACTGGGCTACCACTGCCTAGCCAACTGCGCAGGAGATATTATAGTGCATTAGTGTACGTGTAGACATAACGTGCACTCTGTATACATGTCACTTTCACTCCGGTGGGACGAGAACTCGACACCCACGGTGAAGGGTCAGGTACAGGACCGACAGCTTTACCTACTCTACACGGGGGTGAATTAAACACTTTCAACTTCCCAACTCGGGACTTCTACGGAGAAATTCTTAATAGAAATGTGCACTCAATAATTGAACTCGACCCGAGCCGGGACTCGAACCCAGGACATCTGGAACTGCGGCCGTACATGCCAGCCACTAGACCACGGAGAGAACCTATCTACGATAGGTGTATTTTTTTTAAATACCCAGGATGCTCTTTACATTTATAGTAATTTATAGCCTGTAACCATTCTAGACCATTACTTTTATGAAAACCGTATGAAAATCCGTTTAGGAACTTCTGAGATTACCCTGAAGAAAAATAAAACTAAGCAAGGTTTTTTAAAATAAAGTGCTGTAAAAATATATAGTCTATACTTTTATTTAACTAATAAAACGTACTTTTTATTCGATAAGATGGGTGAAGGTCAATCTTACTTCGGATCTTAAGACTTAATATAAAAATATTTTCATGATAAATATAAAAAATCTGACGATGACGCTGGGTTTATAGATTTAAAATATATTTTTTCTGAATTACAGTTCTAACAATATGGAGGAGCTCGAGAGCCGTAAGATTGTAAGCGGTAACTAGCCTTACAGCCTAACATACATTCATGAGCATACAACAAACCACTTGTATCGAGATATATCTGGTATATAATATGACTTATATCTAAAATTATTTACCAGTGAGTACATATATATGTATATACTAATTATTCTGTTTTGATTTTTATGACAAGGAAAATTAATCATATTTTATATTTTTTTTTGGTTATTTTGGCCTGTCTGGTACTTTTGGTACTTTTGATGTATACGGATTTTTATTTTGGCATTTTTTTAATTTGCCTGTGGATTGCGAATGGTATTTATTTTTACGTAAAGATATTAATATAAATTAAACACCCGAAATGGCGTATTTTATACGTTATTAAATTTTGAGAGACAAATATTGTCGATAACATTTTATTGCAGATTAAATAGATGCAGACAATAAAAAAGCTTATTTGGTATTTCATTGTGACTTTTTTCTGTTTTATTTTTTATACAGTTTGTTAAAATGAATTATTTATTTTAAAAAATATATTTTGTTTCGGCCTCTTATATATTTTGGTCATATAATGTATAATGAACGTACACGCAGGCAGTGTTGCCATTATCAAACATAATTTTATATGATAATTATATTTCGCACAAAATATGTTTAATCTTTTATTATTAACTAATTAAGTACTTTTAAATTGCTTTATTCTTGTTGGTGTTTCTCGAAACTTCTCTTTTTTTTATTTTTTTATTTCCTGTTACATACATTTGTATGCTTTATTGCTTTGAATGTTATATGACTACAGTTTAGAATATTTTATGACTTGTTCTAATTATGCTTATTGGTGTACTTGATGGACCTTTTTTTAAGACTTCATAAAAATGTTTTTTTTGAGTCCATACGCTTGCAATCACGGTAGCTAGAGACCTAATGCTTACATTCAATTATAAATGTTCAATTTTAATTTACTACCAATATACACAATAATAGAAACACGTGTCACTTCTGAAAAGAATATATCAAAATAATTTTTTTTTTAAATATTTTGATAAATTAAAAAAATAACAATTGAGTACTCTAAAGTGTATCGTAATCTCGGTTTACTGTTTGTTATAAGTGCATTATTTACACTGTGATAGAGGTGTAACAGGCAGAGTCTTGACATGGATCTTGGATAGTATTATGTAAGTTAAGCAACCCTTTGGGCTTGAATATAAATTAAGTAGATTATTTAAATTGTACTAAAATACATTATTTAAATTGTAATATTATGGAATTTTCGGTTTATTATTATTTATCTGTATCTCATACCATGTGTAGAATTAACGTCTCTGAGACGACAACTAAAATGAAAATATATATACATTTTAAATTATGAAAGCTCTATTTCGTGATTTGTGGCTTTAAAATTCTAAATTGGAGGTTACCAGTCCGTAATAAAACAGTTTTGGAAGCTTATAAATTTTGACGTTTATATGGAAATTAATTTGAACTGGTTGAAGAGTCTATTACAGATACAATTTGTTTCTACAAATGGTGTGATTTATAGAATTTTGGATTAAAATTAAATCGCCATGTCTTGTCGTGTAAAGTGATAGCGAGGATAGTATCGTACTGAAGACTGCAAGTTTTTCACATTTTCTAGGCTATTCGAGTGTAGGTGAAGTTCGATTTGTAGGAAACAATAGTGTTTGGTTCAAAGTTGAATGGTTTATTTAAGTTTTTATAATTTAAGTATATCTCATATTAAGGGCTTAGTGCATTTGACTTTTTCAACATAGTATGCAAGTTAAAATATACTTTAAAATGGTAAAATTCTTGCAACCACCCACAACTGAGCGGGTCAAATGTGCGTGAACTTTTATTTGAATTAGGTTTTTTTTTATTTCATTTCATGTATTCGGTCTTATATTTTTCTGTACGACGTCGAATATAAAAGCTTTAAAGTTTTCTATTATTTTTTTATTATTCAAAAAATATTTTAAAATTGCTTTATATTTTAACTTACACACATTTTTATTATACATCATTTCCGCAAACATCACCGATAGTACGCAAGTGCAATAATTAGGCAAAGCCTACGTTATATTTTATATATAAGTACTGTAATTCTAAATTGTAAAGCATAACATATACATATTTAATATAGGCGTATGAGGTTGTATTGGTATAAGACTACAGCTTAGTTAAAGAGTCGTGGACGATTGTATAAAACTTTTTTTAGATTTATGACATTTTAAATAAGATTATCTTTTCGAAATTTTTCGCGGTTTTATCTTGATTTTTCCGGACGTTTCGAATGGTTTACCAGGATTTTTGTAAAGCATTTGTAACATCAGCAATCAAAAATCAAAATAAATCCGCGGAAAAGTCAGAAAAAAAAATTCGATAAAAAGTTCATATTATATAAGATTCGTTTAATTGTGACGATGCTAGTTGATTTGTTATAAAGAGTTGCTTTTATTACTACTTAATGTCTCGAGTTATACTACCCCTAAACGTGCAACATTGGTGTCTCTAATACATTTATAATTAATTGTAATCGATTTTTTTTAACATTACTATTCATTAAGGTTTTTATAATCGTCCATCTCAAATCATTGTAGGGGATTCTTCAAGCATCACATTTCATTAAAAATATATTTATGTAATAAATGCGGAAAAATAATTTATATTGAAAATATTTTGGCAGTTAGAAGACGCTTTGTTAATGCGTTAACGAATGTAACGAGGCTATTTTATTCTCTTATAACATGTGTACAATAATGTATGTATTAGAATTAAGTTTTTGTCTTAAACACCTATATAACATGCATTTACAAAAATAAAAATAATAGTTTAGTAATACCTTTTAAATATCTCGTCTAAATTTTTTGTATTTTTTTTTAACTTTTGCATTTTATTCGTATTAATTTATAGCATTTATATATTTAAAAATTACTTTCGTATGGGTTCCACGAATTAAGCAAAAGTGCAAAATTATATTTTTTGTCACTTAGGCACTTTACGTATAACCCTTGGAAATGCGAGTGTACGCACATAAATAATGTTTGTTATGTATAATATTATATAAAATTGTCCTCGAAGTATTAAAACGACCGGATGAATCTCTCTCTGTATTAGGATTAAGCTTTCTAGTCAAAAATTAATATCATATTCTTAAAATTTGGTCTTATTGGCAAATGTACCTATTGAATATAGTAACTTATTATTGGTCGAAGTGAACAGCAAACATATCCCGCGTCGATGCCGCTGTCTACTCAAATATTGTTTTGATCTCAACTCAAAATCACTACATTTTTTTTTATCTCGACACCTGCAAAGAACACTATTGTAACTTATCGTAATACACTAAACTAAGTTAAAATAACTTGTAGAACATAATTTTTTATGTATATAAGAAAAAAATCGCTATATTACTGAGTTACAGCGTTGTTCCTGGCAGGTTATTTTTCGTTCACTATTTAAATGTTCATACAATGACTTAATATACTCTATACAGCCTTCCAGTGAAAGTCTCTTGTATGGCACTTTTGAGTGTATCATCTGTTTCTACTATAATCATATTATATCGAGCCTCCATTACTTTATTATTTCATTTATTTTATAATTGTAAATTGTAATGTTTCGAATTAATAAATATTGTGTTCTTAAATAGATTTAAAATGGAAATGCGACTGAGCCATGTACCTCTTCCAAAATGATGAACGAGTGCGTGTGTCAATGTGATTTGGTTACACGCGCTAGAAGTGAAACTTCTATAGGTTATTGGTCCTTTTTGTGAAATTCAATTTATGTTTTAAATTATTAGGATAGGAGAGATACTAAAAATATTTTTTTATCGATTTAAAAAGGAAAATAATATGTTATTATTCAAATGTTGTAATGATTCAATAAATTAAACTCCAATAAATAAAATAATATTAAAGGGATGCCAATTTTTGAGTGAAAAAAAAATTCAAGTAAATAATTTTTTTAACGATATTCGTTATTCCATCGCTCATTTAAAAATATATGAAAGAAGTATTTTTTATAAATATCTATTTTTATTTAAACGAAACCGTTTTCGTTACAAAAATCGTAAGTCTAATCCTTTTTCCCTCTCACGGCGCGCCTGAAGAAGTTTCACTTCAAAAAAAAACTGTTCTGTTTTTGCAACATATTTTGTACATTCACAATTAAATTAGTGATAGTATTATTTTTATTCTCTGAAAATATGTAATTGTAAATTAAAATAACTGGCAACTGAAGCCTGTGATAATTTAAATATTCTTTGGCTTTGTAGCTTATTTCATTATTTAACTCGTATACGTTTTTTTAGATGTTTTTAATGTTGGTAGTATTGTATTAAAACGACGTAAGTTTGGCCTTGCCATGTAATTTACTATTTGCTGATTTGTTTATCTGTAAAAAATATAATAAAGTCAATCGAAAAAAATTAGAATAAATAAAGTGATGCGAAAAACAACATTGCTTTTATTTAATCTTCCCGTTTTGGTATTAAATAACAGAATTAATAAATATACATTCGTATATTTTTTTCTGTTTAATATTAACGTTTTCGCGATTTTTTACTTTCATTGTTAACTGTTTGTGTTTTGAATACTCTGTTAAAAATGTCATGAAAGTTTAAATAGATAATAAATTGCAGATTATTTTAGAAATATCTTTGCGAATCTATATATAAATAGGCAAAGATAAAAATATCTTTCAGTGCGTTTTTTCTCGTCTGTCTGTCAACCGATTTTCTCATTTTTCATTTAGTAGTTATTGACGGGTTCTAGTGTTATCAATAAGAAATATTGGAATCAGTTTTTTTTATATAGGTAGGTAAATTCTATTCTTATATGTTTTTCACATATTTTCAACTAGCGATAGGTATGATATATAGCCTAAAGCCTTCCTCAATAAACAGGCTATCAATGCAATCTCGGATTTGTACTTCCCGAGATTAGCGCGCCCAAACAAACAAACAAACAAACTCTGCCTCTTTATAATATTAGTATAGATAATGAATATGGTCGAATTTCAACCACTGGGCAAACACTAGTTAGAATAAATAAGAATGATCAAATAAAAAAATCATCGTAATATTATATGTAGTTTTTATTAAAATACACGAAATGTTAACACAGATAGAAGAAAAATGGACATAATTTTATAAACATGTTCAGTATTTATGTAATAATAATAAACGATGTACTAATGTTATCTTGAATACAACTTAATTAGACGTGACGTAGATTAAGTACATTGAAATCCGTTTATTATGAATACTATACTGACCAACCGCTTAATATGAAGAGTTTAATTACAGTGCGAAGTTTGGCTTTCGTTTAGAATTCTTTACTTCTATAATATTTCGTCGATAAGCGACTTTGTGGATATAATGGCTTTGCTTATTAGGTCGCTTATATATATTATACCCTATTTTTACCCGACCTAGTATAACCATTTTTTAACCGAGTATAACCTATTTTTACCCGACAGCGCCAGTATGATGACCTGTTTGTCACTTCCCTAATCCCTATGATGTCATTATAAAAGGACTCCACTGTACATATAAATTTAAAATTATTGCAATGCTCTAGAAAAACTTGTTTTTAAAGTAATCAATTTATATGGCAGTATCCAAAAAAATCACGATTACAATAATATATATGTAAACATTGAAAAGATTTCTAAGGAATGATTTATTAAATATTCGTTTTTATCAGTAGTACATAATCGATGTCAAGAGTCACAACATAATACTTATTGTTAGAAAGTAGATATATAATAATTAATGGAATAAGAGTTTTTAAAATTAATAATAATAATTAAAAAATACATATATTAATATAAATATAAACATTAAAGCACGTCACGAAAACATGACCCACTATGTATAGACAGTTTGTTTCTTAATGTAAATGCAAATTTGAATTAAATACGTATAGAAGGACATATTTTTTTAATTTTATAATTATAATTACTACACTACTACGACACATATAAAAGCTAATTTATTGTAAATATAAAAAAGCTCCACGACATCGACCAAAATGAACAGACATGGTACGTTCGACGTATGACAAGTGTTTGTTTGTTTTTAACAAGACAAATTCGTTTATATATCACCAAAAAGTTAATAACGCATTAATTATTGACTTAAGTACCAGTTTTCATATTATAGTTGATGGCTAGTTTATTTAATGAGGTAGGATATAACTTGCGCTTATTATTACAATTGTTCCTTATAAAATAGTTATAATTTGGAATGTTTTAGGACAAATCGGTTTATATAAGTTCAATTATAACATATTTTCATATGTAAAATGTAGATTTTTCATGAAAAGATTGTTCAAATGATAATCTACGATAAATATGTTTATTGATTAAATGTTTAAAGCGATAAATCGTTAGTAAAAATATGTATAAAACATCAAATGCATAGTAGTAACATTTTTAATACATTTTCTGACCAAAATTTCTACAATTACACCCAGAGTTAAAATACAACATTAATTCTCCACAACATAGCAAGTAGACACTTTCCAGTAAAAATATGTGTACGAGTAGTTCTTACATCATATTACAGTGTCCGATTGAAATTAATGTTTACAAATAAAATTGAAAGCAAATTTTTGTGAAAATTCTTTTCTTGTTGCTTTTTTCTTATATTTCTTTTTGCTTTCTTTCTCTTCTTTCTTTTGAATGAAAAGCGTTATTTCATAAATTAATATTTTACTTACTCTAAAAAAATCATATGGTCATCTCATATGTAGGTAAGAATGTATGGACCGCTATTAAAAACCACACGTAAGATAACTAAATGAATATTAGCAATTTTAGTATAAAGCGAAATAACATGAAAATTTCAATTTAGTGCCGAAACAAAATTTCGGACGATTACTAATTTATTATATTCGTTAATGAAATGAACGGTTCAAACAGTTTGAGCTTATTTCGATATAAGTTTTTTTATGAACTATGGGCACTATTCACATCTGATGTTACTATGTGACATTATCCATTACAGAACATTTTATTGTCGATACTTAATAGCGACATTGTAAAGTATGTGGCACTTAGTATAAATAAACAAACCAATCATAAGTGATTGTAAGTCTAACTAATTTTTTTTGAATTTAATAAAATAATGTAAATGCCATAAAAATCTTAACATTGTATAATAACTTTAATTAAATTTTAGATTAATTCAAAAATTCAGCCGATAACGTAATCTATTTAATATAATTAACGTAAGTAGCAATTTTTGCATATCTTGCCAATTATGTATGAATAGTAACTATCAAAATCATAGATTATTTTAATAAAACCTATTAAAACTCCCGTATGGGAGTGAAAACATAAACCGAATCGTCTAACCAGTAGTACGCCTGAGCAAAATCTCCCTCGCAGAGGTACGGAGCTCGCGTCCACGACGACAACTCGAATCCTATCTCTTCTCTCATGAAACGTATGAATGAAGCTACTTGCTCTTCGAAATTCTCTCCCTGTATGGGAAGACGTTCTTCGGGCTTGTGGTCTGATGTTACTGTAATCGAAGATTATTGTTTTAGTTAATTATTTTTCTTAAAAGTTGGTATTACCCCTTTTTTAACGGTATGTGAGGCTCACCAGCTATAAAAGTCACTACTGCCAACTAAAAGTTAAAGGAACCTTCTCCGATAAATGGCATCGCAGTATCGCTAACGTACTCAAGCATGACGCCCTGACGGCAGGCCTGTCGAGGTAGACCACAAGAACATTGGTTTGCTCCAAAGGTTTACTCTGCTATCAGAGAAGTACCAGGAGCAACCCACTCGGCACGTCGTACAAAAGTTCCCGCTTCCCAGTGCGTTTCTCGGCTTCACGCCAGCTGGATTGCCGGATGATAATGAGCTTCCTCTCACCACCACGACAAGGTCCACAAACATGGGAAGGCAATCACTAACGACCCTAGGTAACTTTGTAATCGGCATATATCTTAAGCTGACTTATAAAGAAAGAGTAGTCTATGACTCTATCGCTTAGTACAGATGAAGCTCTACATTGAATCTACTCATCTATTTGAAAAAAAAAACAAATAAAACCCATAACATAAAACGATTTTACGTTGTCCATACGTATAGATAGACAAAATCTCAAAACATTTTTTTTTTACTTTTCCTTCATTTAACACATCCCAGCGCCATAAATTAGAAATAAGATTGTATGGACTTTATATTGCTTAAAACACGAAATACAATGTTTGTAAAGTCACATGACGATCAGTAAAAAACATCAATACACAAAGGAATTCGTATGAAAGTTTTCGTTTTTGCATTTTTGTAAAAAAAGTATTATTTAAATTATATACATACTATATATTCATACCTTCAACGTAAGGCTTGTAAGGTAGAACAAGCGCAAGTAGCAAAACGCCTTCAGATGATAGAGCCGCTTTCGCTTGCCGCAGCATACTGCGAGGTTTACTGCATCGGTCCAACAAGTTCAGCATACACACGCAATCGAAACGTTGTTCTTTCCACCATTCCTCCGTATCTAGTAACCTTTAAATATATGAATATGAGATTTGACCAACATGCTTAGAAAGTAATGTTTAGGGTGATTAATTATTGGGATATTAAACCATGAAGTATATTAGTATATAATATATAAAAGTATACTAATTTCATATCAAACTTATGCATATGTATATACAGCAGAAAAGAGAAGTTATAAAATTAAATTTTTAATAATAAATATGGCATATTATAATAGATAACCGAGATCATAAAGGATACGTAGTTTTACGTTCTTTATAAGAAAAAAGTTAAACTCAAATCATTCCTTCGATGAACAATAATAAATCTTTTTTAAAACAAACCAATCGAGCTGACATAAGAAATATTCACAACTAGCGACTTACCGTCACTTCACTCGGGTGTACCTCTAGGTGCCTTATAGGTCATAGTCTATCTCTGTACTACATTTTATGCAAATCCGGCCAGACGTTTCATACACACATACAAACTTTCACATTTATAATATTGCTTCGTAATACTTACGTATACCCTTTACTGCTGAGCACTTTTCTCATACAAGCAGATATTTCCGTTGCGTATTTATTAGTGTACAGGTGTGCAAAGCGGCGACTCACTTCGCCATCCCCCGCGCCGACGTCCACGAGCCCGCCCGTGATGTTACTGCGATGTGTCGTGCGCAGCAGCGAGTGCGCTTGCGCAGCCGACAGAACGAACATAGAGCCTCTGCCCAGCCAACTTTAATGAAACAGAAAAGTATGGCTTTTCAAATTAAAATAATAATTATGTTTCGTGTGATAAAATACCACAATTTTCTAGATTATTTCACTATTTATTATATAAGAAGTATGTATATTGAGATATAAAATAAAAAAAAAATATTCCTTTTTTTCCATAACCAAAACATATTCGATGGCTAGTTGTCGCTAAAAGTTGTAAGGAAAAAAATTATAATACGTTTTCAACTCTTTCATTAATTCTCTACATAAATGCATTTGCCTTGTCATTACTTGATTGTATCGTGATTAAGGGTAGTTAGATAAAACTGTCTAGTTATAATAAAGTAACTTAATAAAGGGCAAAACCTGGCTTGAGCTATGGACGATAGGACACAGTATATATTTTTTTCATTTATTCATTAAATTGATAATTACAAAGTTTATAGACAAAGCACGTAACGCGTAAATTCATACCTTATATAACTTAATTGAAATCACAAAATTGAGTAAGTAAAAACTACTTCTAATTTAGTTATAGTGCGATTTAGTGGGTCGGGTGCCGCAGATGTGAGCAAAAATAGTGCAATTACCCTCCACCACTGGTGGTGGTTCGAGACCATTCGCGCTGGCTTTGCAATTACCGAGTATAAAACACAAAGCACGCTACAGGCAACAACGTTTGGCCAACGATCAAGCGAAGCAAATTGTGCGCCGGCGGCATCTCCCTCCCCGCAACGTCTTCATCGCGCCTCGGGCAAGAGTCGAAAGTGGATAATGACTAGTAAATCCTGCACTCATTAGCTGAAAGCGAGCGTCGCGGCGATCGATACCAATCGTCTTTGTCGAGAAAAGGGATAATCGGCACGAGACCCGAGCTCTGTTATTAGACGTTGTACCATATATCACGCGCGGCATTATCCGCGGCCTCTGGCGTCCGCGCTGCAATTACTGTGGCGCGAACGCAAGCGGTCATACGGTGCATACGGTCCAGCCGTAGTGTGCCTAAGCATTAGCTCTACTTTGAAGCCCTCGTGTTTAGACACCTACGTCCTACACATCTTAAAAGTATATTAACTAGTTCGATTTAGTTTTTTGTCACAAATTATTGAGGAATCAAATATTAAAGCGCCAAAAGTTGATATTTTGGGGTTATTTTTCCGTTTCATATATGTTGCGCTCTGGTTAATTTGCTGAGTATATAGAAGTATTGGTGACAGAAATAGCGAGTTGATTGCCGTATTGTCCTGCTTAGCTCGAAACTACGTGCGATACATGATACTTGGATACTTTCTGAAAGAGTGTTCTTTAGTTAATTGTCATGGCAAAGATACTTATGTATTTCAAATAATAATTTTTTTATAATAATTGTAAATAAAAGGTAAATATTTTCTACTAAGTATATACTAGTGATACTTCGGTAGCGGTGAAAGTTCCATATTTAGTAAATTTGACTGCTAACGTAGGATCAATATTACCTATTAAAGTTCCTGAACCTTAGAAGTATTGTTGAAAATCATAAATGATTCAAGGAATTGTTCTAAAAAAGAGGATCCTTTCAGTAAAGAAGGAAATTTTAGCATGAGTGACACTTAGGTGCACGTAGGTAAAGCGAATAGAGCAGTAGGTGGCTAGGCGGGTATCTATTTCAATTGAATGCGGTGGCTTGCAACAAGGAATCCGATGCGGTTATCGAAGACGGAGGTGAGAGATGTGTGAGCGGCGTCGGGCGGAGGGGCGGCTCGTATCGCGATTGCATCGGAGAGCAAACAAGCGGGCGGGGTGTCGCGCCCGGGGCCGTTCAAATCATATTACCCCCGGTCTCATACCAGCCTCCGCGCCACACACGTCATTTGAGTGTGCGTCGCTATGGCGACGGCCCGGGCCGTGCATGATATTAGTACGTGCGCGTCTCATCTCCGGGTGTTTAAACTAAACGCCCGCCGCCTCGCGCGGGAAATTAAAACCGGCCCCGGAACCGGAAGGCGATCGGCCCTCGCCCGGTGCACCGGCCGTCGCCCACTCGCCGACTCCCGACCACTCTAGCCGGCGTTGCATGCGAGCATTAGCTTTCAAATCCTCTTATTGTACATGTATTTACGATTTATACATATATGAGTAATTTTGAAATAGATGTAATTTTTTTTTGCTTTTTTTACCTCTTTACTTTTTAATTAGGTAGGTACTAACGAACCATTCTAAAATTTCCTTTAATTTAATAGGTAATACATATAAGACGTAAGTTTATAAAACTGATACGATTGGTATGAGCTTACCATTTTTTCCTTTCAAGTCAGTGATTTAAAAACTCACTAAAAGATCTATTTACCGTTATAGATTTATGATTTCTAAATGATTACAAAATACTATAGGTTGCATCAAAGTTAATCAAAATCAATATTTTTTATAATTAAGTTAGGTAGATAAGAAGACGTGATCAAGTAGGTAATTTACATATACATTCCGACGTATCTATGAAACGGAGTAAGTTGAGATAGGAGGAACTCCTCCCCTCATATGTAGATACCTACACATTTGCTTTGCTCAAAGACATTGTCGCTTTCAGGCACCTCATTAGAGCGCGTCCCATGTGAGCCTACCCACCGCCACCCCGCCCGACCCCACACATACAAAGGAGAGCAATTCTTTTCCTCAGCTCGCAAACTTGGATGTATAATTACAGTTAGGTAGCTACTAACCCATTCGTTATTTAAAGTAAACGTTCTATATTGTATATAGCTATATATTAAAGATATTAAAAAGTAATTACGATATAATATTACTATTTGGCTTTATACTAATTTTACATTTTACGTAATATAAGCTTACGTAAGTAGTCAAGTCAAAGTAGGTATAGTGTTTAATTAAATTTAATTTTTAATATGAGTCCTGAAAATGTAATAGGTAACTACATGGTATGTATTAATCATAGAATCCAAACAGACAAAAAGATTTACTAAAGTTTGAGACACTGCTAGTCCAATAAAACCAAATTTAATAGCTTATTATCGAACTGTCACACAGACTGTTACGTGTCATAACCCCAAACAGCACTCGAGTCGCAATAAACTATAAAAAAGTGGATAGTAAAATGTTATAAACAATGAGAGCAGGACTAAAACGTTTTAGTGTTAAGAGTGGGCCCATAAACCGTTGACACGCACCCGTAAAATATTAACGATAGCGAAGAGAAAAATGACGACTATCAATGTACGTACCGATTTTCGGTCGCGAGGACGCGCTACAAATAATGGTGGGGCCGAATTTATACGCGAACCCGAATTGAATATTTTACCACGCCACGAATGCGTCCGACGATATTTTTCTATTTCGCCGCCCATTTCTACTATCAATTGCTTAGTTTCCCCTTTAATATTATTGGTGCGATCGGAGATTAAGGAAAAATACAAACGGCGATGCAATTTATTGCATACAAATAATTTTTTTCCATTTTCAAATGAAATTACTTATCATTTCGCACCGAGAACTCTATTAGTTTTAATTTAAGAGTTTTCAATGATGACTGTATATTTAGAAGCACTTATTTCTGACAATTAGTTTAATTTTAAAATATTTTCTGCTTTTGTTACTTGTAACGAGGTTTAATAGGAATAAAATAAATGGGAACCTGCAGAATAAAGTATCCAGCGTTCCTTGTAACAAGGGAATCATGAATTATGATAGTTACTCGAGGAGCCTGGCGACTAGTGCTTTGTGTAGCGACCTATTTTACGATTGCAGGTACCATACTACTCTAGTGAAGACGGATTCTTTTCAAAAACATTTTTAATATTTCCAAGTAGGAGGACATCATTAAGCTTAATCTATACATATAATAAAATTGTAACTAAGCTGAATCTGTACATTACATATTTTATGGAAAAGCTTATTGAAATAGACTTTATTATCGATACAGAGGTCGAATCTACAGTTTTTAGAATTTTTGTCTGTCTGTCTGTCTGTTACCGCATCGCAGAAAAACCACTGGAGGGATTTTGATGAAATTTGGTATGGTGATAGCTGGTTATCCGGGTCAACATATAGGATACTTTTTACCGCAGGAAAATGTCTAATTTCGGAGAAAAAATACAAAAACTGCATTGTAAGAAAGAGTATACTAATATGTAAAACCTAAGAATTTGGTTTTTGGTCATCTGAACGTGGACGGAACCGCGGGCTAGTATTAGATATATGTATACTTACATTTGAATATAGGTACATAGATATTTAATAGATTTAGAGCAAGTAGGTAGAGCATAAACTGGTGTAAGTGTCTTGACGAAGTTTTACATTTTGACTTTGGTTGTATAGTGTATACAGTATTGTTTTGAGACTTTACAAAATAACGCACAAATGCATGAAGACAGTTCTAAAAGATGATGGTAAGCAATAAGCGTTTCGGAAACACAATAACCTTTAAAAGGCGTAAAGTCACATCCCAGTCAGACTTTAAAATAACTTCTCGGAGGCGGATAGTTTATTGCTTATTGAGTAGCTCTGACGATCGCGCCTGTGAAACTTAAACATTCTGAAGTGGAATCTCAGTCAATATCACAATATACGTGGCGACATTGAAATTATCGCTCAGTGGGAGGTGCGTCGCGATGCCTGCCGATGAGATGGAGCGGACCAAAACAAAATGAGAATCGTTTGAAACAATGAGCATTGTCGCGGTGTCCGAGCGCGCTGGTGCATGCGTAGACGCAAAGCGTGCGCGGCCGCGGCCGCGAGAGCGGGCACTTCGTTAGCGGGCCGCGCGCCATTGGCCACCGTTTGGTGGGCGGGGCACGCGACAAACTGCGCACACGCAAATAGCGTACTCGCACACAAATTAAAATAATAAAATGAAAGTAATAAAACAAAATAAGCACCAAAGTACTCGCTATCGAGGCTTAATGGCCGAGCGGAGGCGATGCTGTTTCGATTTATTGAGTGAGGCGCTCTCACATCGCCGCACTATGGAATGCCCGTACTCTTGCAAAATTTATAATCTTTATTAACCCCACGAAGGTGTCCTCACTA